TATGTGAAATGTGGGGTGGATCCAGAGAGAGGCTGCGAGACGTAGATGGACTGCAGAGGGACTATTCACAGATTTAACTTAATATGGGTTGATTAATCCAGGAGAAAGTTTATTAGATAGGGACTTTAACAGGATATCATAGGTGGATAACCAAACTGTTCGAGCAGTTCTTTTGCGGTCTACAAGGTGTTTATTTCGTTCTGAGGTGTTATTGAGAGCAGTTATCATATTTCTCCAGATGTTTCTGCAGCAGTGGATGTGGTGTTGAACTGAGGTGACTGATATGTCCTTCTCATCAGAGGGAAAAAGAGGTGGCTTATACCCTAGAATGTCTACAAATGCAGAGAACCCAGTTGCGTTAGAAATGTGAATGTTTTGTGCATACTTAACCCATGGAAAGAACTTCATGCATTCAGTTTTGCCATTAGACTGTGAGTGGTATCTGGATGTTAATGTGATTTTGGTGTCGAGTCCTGAACAGAAGTGTTTCCAGACTTTTGAAGTGAATTGTGGTCTGCAGTCTGACAAGATCTCCTGTGGTATTCAATGTAGTCAAGAAACCAGGTTGATGAGTAACTGGGCTGTCTGGAAGGCTGGTGGGAGTTTTCTGAGAGAGACTAAATGACATGACCTTGAGAAACGGTCAATGATTGTGAAGATAGCTGTCATACCTTTAGATGGGGATAATTAGGTGATGAAGTCGAGAGAGATTTGAGACCAGGGTTGTTTTGTTATGGCGAATAGCTGGAGCAGACCAGACAGAGGCTGATGAGAGGTCTTGTTTCTGGCGCAGACTGGACAGGCGAGGATGTGTTCCTTCACATCTTTGTGGACTGAGGGCCACTAAAACTTACGGATCATGAGAACAATGGTGGACTTGGTACCTGGGTGAGCTGAGAATTTAGCATTGTGGATCCAGTGGATGAGATGTGCATGGACAGAGGTAGGTACATAGATCTTGTTATGGGGGCAGGTGCCAGGATCAGGTTCGTTTTGTTGGGCTTGTTGGATGAGATCTTCAGTATCCCATGTAACGCATGCAACAGTGCAGCTGGGGGTAAGATGGAGGCAGTTTCTTTCTCTGACTCATCAGGTGAGTGGAGTCAGGTTTGATGTTCCTGGAACTGGGGCGAAAAGAAATGGAGAGGTTGAATCTGGAGAGAAACGGTGACTAATGGGACTGATGAGGATTTAATCTTTTGGCAGACAGAAGATAGGAGCTTGTGATCCCATGCTGGTCTGTCTAGACCAGCATGGGATGCTCTGTGCCCTCCAACCAATGCCGCCACTCTTCCAAGGCTAGTTTAATGGCTTGCAGTTCTCTGTCGCCCACATCATAGTTACGCTCTGCGAGGGATAATCTGCGGGAAAAGAAAGCACAAGTATGGATTTTATGGTCAGAATTTGAGGCTTGAGAGAGGATGGTTTCAGAGGCATCAACCTCGACTATGAACTGTTTGCTAGGATTGGGTTGCTTGAGAATTGGGCATTGGAGAAGAGGGACTTGAGGTGAAAGTTTCAGGTGTCCACTGGAAGGGGATCTTGGTTGAGATCCATGCTGTGAGGGAAAAGCTGTCTGACTGTAATTGCGAATGAATCATTGGTAAAAATGGGCAAACCCCAGGAACCTCCAAAGTTGCTAGCAAGTTTGGGGAGTGGGCTAGTCCAATACTGCTTTTATTTTCTCTGTGGTTGGTCTTACCTGTCTGCCCTCTACAATAAAACCAAGAAAGGAAATTAACTATTGATGGAATTTCCATTTTTCAGCCTTGACATAGTTTGTTTTTGAGGAGACGCTGCAGGACCAGGCAGACATGTTTCTTGTGTTCTGTAATGTCTTTGGAGTAAATGAGAATATCATTGAGATAAACAAAAATAAAAATGTTCAAAAAGTCATGTAGCATGTCATTAAGTAAAGCTTAGAAAAAGGCCGGGGGATTGGAGAAACCGAAAGGCATTACCAGGTACTCAAAGTGGCCAATTGGAGTCTTGAAGGCAGTTTTTGCACACGTCTCCCTGGTGGATTCAAAGGAGATAGTAGGCATTTCTCAGCTCAAGTTTGGTGAATACTGTTGCACCATGTATCAGTGCAAAGGTATTCACCAATACTGGTGCATTCATCAATATTGAAGAGGGAGAAGATACTTGTTGGAAACTGTGATCCCGTTCAAACCTCAGTAGTCGGTACCTGGTCTGAAAGATTCGTCCTTTTCAATGATGAAAAATCCAATGCCCAGGGGAGAAGAGGGGCGGATAATGACGGCTGTCAGGGAGTCTTTCATGTATATCTCCATGGTCTCTCATTCAGGTTGAACGACCTGTATAATCTGTTGGTGAATAGTGGGGCTCCAGGAAAAAGATCTATAGCACAGTCATAGGAACAATGAGGTGGCAGGGAAAGTGCTTTGGACCGGTGCTAGATTGAAGCACCAGTCCAAAGCACTGTAGGAGTCAAAAATTTGGATGAGGTGGCCTTCAGGGGTAGGTGGACGAACCTCTGAATACCTAGGCCGGAATAGTGGAGTGTGAACCAGGTATAGTGGATAGATCAGGTGGATGTGCTTCTTATAAATTGGTGGACCTGAAGGAACTGCTGAACAGAGGCAAGTGGAGTGACAGTTGTGTGACCAAGATTCTATATGGAGTGAGGAGTCTGATGGGTCCAAAAGAAGAAACAAAATCTTCTCGCTCATTGCTTCCAGCTATCCTATTCTTCAATAACAATTTGGTTAACCTCTCCATATTGATAGACTTGGGCTGCGAACAAAATCTAATTGACTCCTTCAGCAGGCATCTATTGAGACCATCCCACTTCCTTCATCTGTCCATGTCTGTGCTCTGGACGGTAAAGCCCTGCCACAGATCACCACTACAATTAATCATTTCTGGAAATCACAAAGAACATATCTCATTCTATAATTTTTCTACTGCTAACTCATCACTTGGTTTCGACTGGCTTCAGTGACACAACCCAAATATTAACTGGTCAGAACTCTTACTGATGGGCCCGAATTTTTGGCCGAATGGGACATGCTGTAATGAAATGACCTACTGTTGGGTTTATTTTGTTCCCCAACCTGCAAGAATCAACCAAAGACACAAATTACTTTTCCGCAGAAAAGGGGAGAAGAGCTCGACGCGGAGAACCGCTGCCAAACTCTGTCTGAGATCAACTCCATCGGTTCTCAGTCCCCCACTGCCTTTTATTATCATGTGAATACACAAAGAGATTGGCTTTCTCACTCAGACATGCAAACAATTGACCAATACACTGTCCTACAGGATGTTCTGGAAGTCTTCCGTTGATGTCCCATCTTTGGGACACAAGGATGACCACTCTCAGGATACAGACAAAGATCATTGTGGCTCCTTAACACAGGAATGTGTGAGGCATTTCCAACCTTCAAGAGAACACTCTAAAAGACAGTTGAGAATATACAATAAAGGAAAGAGAAAGAAAACAACACACGGAATAATATGAAAACATAACCATCCAATATAAAAGTAAATGAACTAAGATAATAATTTTCCTAACACCTACAGAACCAGAAAACACTGATGGTTTGAGCTCATTCTTCTTTGTCATTCTTCCAGGGTTAAACGGGTGTGACTGACCTGCATAGGCTGTGGCTCAGGTAACCTCTCTGGGGAAAAAGAAAGAGATGGTGATAGAACTGTAGGAGTCAAAAATTTGGATGAGGTGGCTTGTTTAGACTTCTCTTTATTTCGCTTTCTCAAGCAGTTGTCGACTGACCCCAAGGACATGAGCCAGCATAATGAGTTTATTCAGGGTCCCAGGTTCATCTCGAGTTGCTAACTCGTCTTTTAGTGTTTCACTAAGAGCCTGAAAGAACATGCTCGTAAGAGCAGACTTGTTTATTCTGAAATCTACAGCATAGCCTTTGTCCTTGTTTTAAAGTCCATAGACTTTTACATGTTACCATTTTGTCTGATCCTTGTTGTATAATCTATTTAAGCTCCTTCAAGAACTCCTCAAATGTGCATCTAAAGTCTGCAGGATTGGGAAACCTGGACTTAAGGCTCTGCTGGACAGGAGGGAGATAACGCAAGCTATATTGGCTATAAGAAAAACTTTGAAGGGAATGGTTAAAGGCGAGTGAACACTGTAGAAGAAATCCTCCAGAACGACTTACATCACCTATGTATTTCTCAGGGGTAGGTGGACGAACCTCTGAATACCTAGGCTGGAATAGTGGAGTGTGAACCAGAACAAGATCAGTGGCAGGAGCTGGAGCGGTGCCCAGCTCCAGTATAAATATAGCTGCATCTCATTAGTACAAAAGTGTTTATATCATCAGTATGTCATACTGGAGAACAGAGTATATTTCTCCCTCGTGATGGCTTAATCCAGCTGGAGCTTCAGCTCTATGTTCACCTGAGGCACAGCAGGACTGAAGCCGTTTCATTCCCTGTAGTAGAAACTAGTACCTTGTACTTGCTTTATCCAGAGGGTCTGGGCTATTGGCTGTTGAGAAACGATTGCTTCCTGGGGGGATGAACTGTGTTTATGTTTTAAACTTTTCCCTATAGTTAATGTTTGCCTGTGACATGTAATGCGCCAAAAACTCTGCATAATATTTGTATTGACTATGATTTAAATTAACACCTTGATGCACTTCCCTTCCTTTGCATGAATGTTCTAAAACATTATTGAGGCAAAAGTTGTTAAAAGTAATCTAAAATATGTGTCTGCTTTGGTTTGGATACTAAATTAAGGACAGTCAGCTAATAGGTGCTTAAAGTAGATAACAAAGAGTGATTATGTACGTGGAGGAGTACATAGTATTCGAGAAACCAGCCATTAAAAAAAAAAAGGAAATCTTTAGAATTTTTTTAGCTTAAGCAAAAACAAAACATGCATTTGCTTTGTCATTATAGGCTACCTATTTTTTTGTGGCAAACAGGACTATTACCATTTGAAGGGATGATAAGTCATTCCTTTAACTTTGAAGTCAAAGGAAAAAGACACACAAAACCAATTCTACTGACGTAGTCTTTATATTTTAATTGGCATCATAAACAAGGCAGAAGAGACATCACTAAGTTTAAACCTTAGTAATGACAAAAATTCTAATCTGCTTTTTTACACAGTATGCAAAATATCTGTCATCCTAAGTGAGGCTAATTTACCACCATATATTCATATGATACATAATTTATGCTTAAATTAGAGCTGAAGTATACTTAAAACACTTTAGAAACTGGCTACCAATACTTGTTATGTCATGAATTACATTAAGATTAATATTGCATAGATGTAATTTTAGCTTGTCAGGGTTGAGATACACAGTTTCTTTCTGGAAACCCAGTTCATATCTACAGATTGTCTAAGCATAGTAACTTATATCTACTAAAATCAAACCTACCCCCGCTTTTCCAGAACATAAATAAAATATCACCGTAACCAAATAATATTTCCAAGTGTCAAAACTAAAAAGATTTTCTCTTTTTACCACTGAACAGACCATGGGTCATGCTCTTCCTTACATCCTGAAAACTCATACTGCTGAAGCTCACTACTTCCAGATAACTTTAGTTAGTTATGTCTATTTTGTCTTCATTGAAAAATGTCTGGAGAGACTTCCCCTTGGAAATATATTTGATGTTTTCAATTTCACCACCACTGTTGTTGGGCTTCTGAAAATGAATTTCCAGGTGGTCCTGCAGGTCCTCCTCATTCTCCACATCATCAATGCCTTCCAGAAGAACAGTTCGCCTTGATGAACCACATGATGTCTGAAATGAAAAACAGACATAAGATCAACTTGCAAAATGATGTGGGACATATGTTGCCCAAGAATCTCAAAGCACTATCAATCAATCAATCAATCAATCAATCAATCAATCAATCAATCAATCAATCAATCAATCAATCAAATTTTATTTGTATAGCACATTTCAGCAACAAGGCATTTCAAAGTGCTTTACATCATAAACACAAAGTCATGCATCATATAATAAACGATACATTGTTCCATATTACATTTCAAATACAATTCTAAACAGGTGTGTTTTTACTTGAGATTTAAAGGAAGTCAGGGTTTCTGCTGTTTTACAGTTTTCTGGAAGTTTGTTCCAAATTTTTGGTGCATAGATGCTGAAAGCTGTTTCTCCTCTCTTGGTTCTGGTTCTGGGGATGCAGAGCAGAACCAGAACCAGAACCTGAGAGTCTGGAAGGTTGATACAACAACAGCAGATCTTTGATGTATTGTGGTGCTAAACCATTCAGTGATTTATAAACTAACAACAGTATTTTAAAATCTATTCTTTGAGCTACAGGGAGCCAGTGGAGGGACTTTAAAACTGCTGTATAACATAATTCAGACTTGATCCATCAAATAATATTTAGAATTACTACCATGGCAAGACTTTTATTTTGAAGACCAATTCTACTATAACAGGGAGTGGCATGTCCATGTGATTAGCTTATAAAGTAATCTATTGAATATTGAGTAATCAATAGATGCTTTTCGACTGGCAAGTGACTCCCTAACCAGTTAAGGTGCAGTTTGGTTCTAAGCCAGGGAGTGAGCTTTTCCATGATTCTCTGTTCCTATTGCTGGTGGGATGTGAGCAGCAACAGCTGCGCTCAACTCTCTGAGCACAGCTGCTCAGAGAGAGTGTTGATGTTTGGAGCAACACTCAGCAATGGAGAAACCTCCGGGTTCTGGTTCTGATTGTTGTGGATCCTCGGAAGGCTGGATGGTGTATTTCCAGCTTTCCTCACCAGAGGGCGTCCTGTTGCTTCGCGGTGGGCGTGACCGCCAAAACCACCTGCACACCTGCTGCCACTTAAGTTGACTGGAGGAGTACTTCAGGAGGATTAAGCAGACACTCCAGTGCCAGAGTGTCTTAGTCTGTTAATGGTAGATATTATTAGAATGCTGACCTCAGACCAACCTGACCGGTGCCTAATACTATTTTTGTTGCTTCGCCTCAGGTGTCGCATTCGTGAAGCCTCCGGTTAGCTGTTCTGTCCGGACTCCAAGTGGCTGGGTGCAATCTCTGAGATCCCGTGGCAAGCTCTCCCTTGGATCCTGAAGACTCGTCTCTCCTGTCCGCCCTCCAACGCCGCAGCTGCTCGCTTCCTCCTCTCCATCACCAGATCCATGGTGGTTCCTTACCCCTCCCCACTCCGCTCTCTCCGCCAGCAAGTAAGATCAAGAACCTCAGAACTGCCTTTCCCACAGCACCCTTAACTCACTTCTTTATTCCTCCTCAGAACCCATTGATCCGGTCCTGCTCTCCCAAGTGTCTGATCCTGGTTGTTGATTGTCACATCGCACTTTGTCTTATAATAAATCAACTGAACTTTCACTGGTCTCTCGAGTGTGTTCTGCGCATGTGGGTTCACCGAGAAAATCGAAACATGACACTGATGGCCTCAAAATATTCATATAATTCATTTCATCTTATAGAAATTCATTGCTGGTTGAAACATAATGATAAATACTCAGATCAGCTGATTATTTTTGCTATACATAAAAATAAAATTACATTAATTAAATGTGCAATGTTTTGGATTTAGGTAAAGCAGTCAAAAGATGTAAACCAATATCCAAACATGAGGTTTATAATTTTTTTTTACATCCAAAGGAAGAAATAAAATTCACATCACAAGCTAATATTATTTAGTTCAGGTGTTTCACACTGTCTCCACTAAACTGCAGCTCTGACAGTAATAAAAAGATAAATGGTTCAGTTGGGGTCAGCTTTCTGTCAGTTCTTCAGAGAGACGAGCTGCTACTCTGCTAAATCAGTCATTCTGCTCCAAAACGTAAAGTGTTCCTGGCGCTGAGTGTGATTAAACTCATAATTACACTCCTCTATACAGAGTAGCTCTCTTATAGCAGACAGCACGTTTAACCACAGTCCACAGCTAAACTATAATGTTGTTTGGAGTTTTCAGTGAGGTAAATCACAAGCCAATCATCTACTTTGAAAAGTGGAGTGGGAATATAGAGCCACATCTAAAACTGCAGGGTAGTGCTCACTGCCACAAAGCAAACTCTGTACAGAAATGGTTTGAGAAGAAAAATATCTGTTACTTTTGATTACTGTTGCCACATCCACTACCAGGCTTGCCTATCAAGTCACCTCACATCTGTTTGTTGTTTTTTTAAGAATTTTTTGATGGAACATTTAGGACAGTACAGAGGTCAAGAGCAGGGCAGAGGTGTGCCTCCAAATGGTTTGTTCCTGGTCCACCATATTCATTTTCCATTAGCAGATCCAGCATGGCTCTGCTTTTTTGCATTGTGACTTGGAGTCAGACTCAAGTCACAAACTGAATTGTCAGTTTGCTAAGACTTGAAAGTAAATGTTAATCTGACAAAAAAAACCCTAAGCCCATTTGTATTAGAAAGCAGGATTTTTTTATGGACACTTTTGCCCACAAAGAACAAATTCTTTGAGGAATGAATGACGGACAGAAATACTTATGAAAGATAAAATACACAGAACTGTTTGTAGGACGGGTGTATTGTCTCTTACTTGAAACTTCTCCAACTTGTACTCATACGCTGGTCCAACCTTGACATTAACTTCAGATTCGAGATTCACTTTGTAGACTCCTTTTCTGGCCAAGCTCCAGGCAACTACACACACACACACACACACACACACATGCCCACACACAACATTTCAGCATGGAATTCATCATCAACTCAAAAACGTGATTTTATTATTTTTACACCAGTGTCCATTCAAAACACAATCAATTGGCAATTTAATAAGTATTTTTTTCACTGATTAAAAGAACTGTAGAGTATTTATGGCATGGTCTCAGTCTCAAACTTCTTGCAATTTCAGGGTTCAAATTATATTATATCACAAAATTATTGTACTAAATTATTATTGTATCTGTCAAGTTTTGGATCTATTTCAATCTTAGTATAAAGAAATTAATCCTTGATATGAAAATCTTGTAGTTTCTGTATTATTCTTTCCCTACTTCAAGTGCATTTCTTTGACAAAATAAACCTTTCAGACAAGTGTCTAAATGGTAAAAGGTATTTACATAGCACCTCAATGACTATAAAGCACTTCACACACACACTGATGCTACTGGATGGCAGCCACAGCTTGAAATAAACCTAGAGCAATTACTAATAAAACACTTAGCTGAATCTTAGTAAATCTGTTGGGTCATACATTGACACTCAGACAATAATTCTGAGTGCCACACCTTATGACTTGCTACTAAAACCTGTCATGTAAACTTCAAGGTAAAGGGGTAACAAAGGACACGCTCAGATTGTTTTGACACTTTACTACATCTACATCCGTGTGACTGAGAGTATTACCTCCAGATTTCAAAAATTTAATAGACCCAGTTCCAGTCTTGCCATCATAATCCACACTCTCCACTTCTCCTCCTCCCCTGGTTGGTCTGGAAAAGCTGATCTCCAGACGATCCTCCGTTCTGTCCTCCGGCATGGCAGGGGGGATGTTGTATACTTTCAGCTCTTTTCTGGACACGTCCACATGGACCTCCACAGATAAAACAAAGGTATTGCAAAAAACAGTTATTTCAAAATACAATGTTTGAGTGGTAATGACAATATTTACACTATGTTCACTCTTTATATATTCTATGTAGTCAGACTTCAGTGTATCATGCAACCCTTGAAGATGTTAAGTGTTGGTGCAGAACAAGCTAAATAAAATGAGTGCAATTTCACAAAAAGTGAAGAAGCAAGGGCAAAAACTCAGTGCGTGTGAATTATGTAATCCTGATTATATTCAACATCATCTATCATATCAATGTACACCTTTGTCCATCTAACCATCTGTCTCATAAAAGCCCTTCCACTCAGTGTCTAAATGGCAGCTGTCAGTTTTTTGAAAAAGTGGAGCTGAACCAGAAGCATCTGAATTGAGACTACATAAGTAATCGCTGGAGTGACCTCTAGATTCAACAATTACACAAGGAAGGAATGAGTTAGATTTGTTATGGACAGCTGTGTGCAAATATATCACTAAAACGTCTCCTTCAGGAAGTATTTGATTTTTCCTTTGCTGTGTTCTGACATATTAATCAATCAATCAATCAAATTTTATTTGTATAGCACATTTCAGCTACAAGGCATTTCAAAGTGCTTTACATCATAAACACAAAACACAAAGGCATGCAAAAGAGAATAAAATACCAAGGTTTTTTTTTTCTTTTTCTTTTTTCCCTTTTTTTCTTTCTTCCCCTTTCCCTTTGTCACGGAATTTAAGCGCCTGTTACCGCCGGACTCCGCCGTCCGTTTAACCACGGGTATTCGCCGGGCCCCGTTGCCCACAACGGGAAAAGGTCTCAACCTTTTCCTGTTGTGGAAATAATGCATAATTAATGCATTATTTGTCCCAGCCTGTTTAAATGTAGTTTCCCAGTCAATATTTGTCTAAGTCTTTCACACTTAGAAATTCGCTGTGATTCAGCAACAGTCACACATCACACTCACATACCGGTCTAAACCAGTCAGAAATTGTGAAGGGTAGGAGCAATCCAATCTGATTGACAATGATGCCCTCACCCTCTCAAATTTTTTTAAAAAGTGGTGGATTGATCACAGTGATGGGTCACTCAAGATTAATAAAATTAATTGGAATTTGTTGGTATTTTCATTGTGATTTTAAAAAGAGTAATTTGTTCTTCATATTTGTTTAAAATCACTCAACAAATGTGCAAAAATTTGGTGAACCTGGATTTTATTGTATACCTCAAACTTCACAGATGTTTCCAAGGTGAGTCCTTTTGTTTTCACATTCAAGGTGGTGTTTTCACAGGACACACGGCAACCAGGGAGCTTCAGGATTTTTTGAGCCACTAGAGGATTGACAACATGACAGAAATATAAATCTTATGAAGAGCCGATGATATGCAAGTCTGAGACACTCTTAAATGAAACTCAGCAACTACTTATATGTGCAAAATGACCTGCAGATCCACATATGTGTCGACTGAACAGTGCAGTAATTTAGCTTTTCGCAAGTTTATTGGAATTACTACTGTGAAGAGAAAAAACCTTGTGATTTTTTGTTATTCGCAGAATAAACATATGATTGCTCTGAAGTGGAGGAACACAAAAAGACCAAAGATAAATGAATGGATCAAAGTATTGAGCAACAACCTGATAATAGAAAAATTTACTTATAAAGAGAAAGGGAAGCTTGACTTTAATTATATTGGTTACTCTTTCTCCATGTAAACTTTTTTTGTACAGAGTGGGGTGGGTCGTCACTGTATGTTTTTAATTTTTATTTATTTGTTCATGCTTTTTGCATATTTGTATAAGAGATTATAGTTTAACCATCAAAAACAGGAAGTCAGTCAACTGTACAATTTGCAAGGAATGATACCATAAAACTAGATATGGTATATTAAGCGTGTGCAGTCCCACATGTTCACAACCCATGTTTGTATTAGACAAATTAATATTGGGCCAATTCTTGACGTAGTTACTAAGGCATCACTGTTACCACATTCTGCCATCTTGTCCGTTCCAAACAATGTTATTCATTAGAAAGATGAATAAGACTGTTCAGGCCATCATTAGGTTTCTGATTCCTGAGCAGACGGCCAATGTAGGGAGTGGACAATTTACAAACATATTTTTGACATGATGATAACTAAATCACGTGGCCTAGTAGTCTGTGGTGGAGACTGTAATATAAGACTAAATCCCTCTGAAGATACCTCTAAACAACCCAGAGTTAGTAGCAATGTAGACAAGAAGATCAGGAAAATGATCAAAGAGCTGGGGATAAGTGATGTTTGTCGCAAACTCAACCCCAGAAAGAGGGACTATACATTCTACTCAACCGCTCACCACCTATATTCCAGAATTGACTACTTCTTCATGTACAACAAAGACTTAGGAAGAGTAGAAAATTGTCATATTGGACAGATGGACCTCTCGGATCACAGCCTAGTTCACATAAAAATAAATATTAACAACACAAAAAACCCCGTTCCAATGGAAACTTAACTCTAGCATACTCAAGGGAAGAACTAAAGAAGAATTACGACAAGAAATTTTGACATATATTCAGGACAATGACAATGGAGAAGTCTCCCCTGCAATTTTATGGGACGCATGTAAAGCTGTCCTTAGAGAGAAAATAATTGCTAAATCGTCTCTCTTAAAAAAAACTAGACAAGAAAAATTAAATAAATTGGAACTCGAATTGGCAGAATTAGAGAAAGAAATAAAATTAAAGTGGACTCAGAAACCTCACGAAAAATAAAAACAAATCAGGGATAAAATCAATCAAGAATTACAGATCAACATACAGAAAAAAACTCTTATTCTTAAGGCAGTTACTATGAAGCAAGTCCAAAATCCTCAAAATTATTAGCATACTGGCTAAAAAAACAACAGGAGGAAGAACTATATACAGAATCAGAGATCCAACAACTAAAAAGTTATCTATAAAGGCATAGAAATAAGCAAATGTTTCAAAAAATATTATCAAAAACTATACACTTTAAAAAAACAAGAAGCGATGGACGTAGCAAATGCATTACTGAATGAACTATCGCTACCTACAGTATCAAATGAACAAAATGATGCCCTGACCAAAAATATAACATCACAAGAAATGAAAGCAATAAATAGATTAAAATTAATAAAATCACCTGGTCCTGATGGATTTAATGCTGAATGGTATAAGCTCTATTTAAAAGAATTGTCTCCTGTTCTCTTGAGAGGCATTTAATTGGGTCCTAAAACGGGGGCCAAACTCCTCCCTCATGGAGGGAACATTGATTACAGTTATTCAAAAGAAGGAAAAGACAAATTGAATTGTTCAATTACCGCCCAATTAGTCTACTTAACCAAGACTATAAATCTTCACATCCATATTAGCTAAAAGACTAGAACATATCCTTCCAGAAATCATAAATTTAGATCAAACAGGGTTCATAAAGAACAGGCGAACCAGAGACAATATTAGAAGAACTCTAAGCGTGATAAACCACATTAAGAAGACTGATAAAGATACAATGATACTGGGACTAGATGCACAAAAGCATTTGATACTGTAGACTGGTCATTCTTATACAGAGTCTTGTCCCATTTCAAATTTTCTAAAGATTTATAAAGATAATTCAGGAACTATACAACAAACCCATGGGTAAGATTTGGATTAACGGGGGTTATCAGAAGAAATAAAAATTGAACAGGGGTGCAGACAAGGATGCTCCATGTGCCCACTGCTATTCGCCATTTTTATTGAACCTTTAGCACATGGATTAGGCAAAATACTAAAATACATGGCATAAAAATCACCACAATGAACAAAAATTAGCGCTATTTGCGGATGATATCTTAATCTACCTGGCAAGACCCCAGGAATCTCTCCCAGAATTAAATGAAGTCTTGTGGGAATATGGAACATTTTCAAACTGAATTCCCATAAATCTCAAGTTTTAACTTTCAAATATTCACCCAGCAATATTGACAAGGAATATTTTAAAATAAATTGGAACATGGATTCAATGGTTTACTTAGGAGTGACCATTCCCAAAGACCCAAAGAATATTGTCTCGGCAAACTATGATCATTAATGACCAAAATAAAAATGATATATCCAGATGGGAGCCCTGCTGCCCTACTGGGCCTCACGCAAAGAGTAGAAGCTATCAAAATGATGGTGCTGCCAAAACTACTTTACTTTTTTCAGACAATATCAGCAGAACCAGACAAATCTATGTTCCAAGAAACTGACAAACTGATTTCAAGATTTATTTGGCAAGGGAAACAACCAAGAACCAATTTAAAACTTTACAGCTGAGTAAAAGTAAAGGAGGCCTCTCTCTTCCAAACATGAGCAACTTCTACAAAGCAGCCCAAATAAACCCAATGGTGGAGATCTGTGACCCCTCCTACAAAGCAAGATGGAAGGAGATTGAATGCTCAAATAGCGGTGTCCCTTTGCAAGCAGCAATTGGGAATATTGACTTAATAAAAAACTTTAAGGAACTTAATCCCTGTTCTGAAACAGCATTTAAGACCTGGTCAAAGCTAGTAAAAGACAACAGAGAGTCCTGTTTACCAATCAGATGGATAGCATATGACCAAGATTTTACCCCAAATAAAATAGATAATACCTTTAAAAGATGGATTAACAAGGGTTTAGTAAAATACAATGATTTGTATCATAAAGGCTGTCTGAGGACCTTTCAAGACATTAGGCAAAAATATGACATTGATAAACAGGGACTTTTTCCGTTATCTACAAATCCGGCATTATTTAGACAAAACAAATACAGAAGATCCAAGCAGAGCATTTGTTGGAATATTAAATATCTTTCTGAAATCATATCAATCAACTTCCACTACTAAATTAATATCCAAAATGTATGATGAGCTACAAAATCTGGAGGGAGGGGACACGCTATATATTAAGGAGAGATGGACAAGGAAGGGAACCACCAAATTCACATTGAAGACTGGTTAGATATTTTGAATAACTGCTGGAGATGTACATCTTCACTAACATATAGAGAATTTGGTTGGAAAACGGTTCCATGCTTCTTTAAAACACCAGCTCAAAGGGACAGAAATGCAGATAAAACATGCTGGAGGTTATGTGGATCGGAACAAGCAGACCACTTTCATATTCTATGGAGCTGTCCTAAGTTGTCTTCTTACTGGAGGACAATTAAACAAAATGTGAAGACTGTTTATTGGAGCCAATCTTACACTAAACTTTGAGATTATGCTTTTAGGCAAACGACCAGATTGTGTAAAGGGATTCTGTAAAACATATATTTTCGATATATTACTAATTGCCAGTAAAAAAGCAATTACTCGGAAATGGATGACGGACAAAATACCCACATTAGAAGACTGGACAAGCATCATTCAAGACATTTGCAAGATGGAGGAATTGACATTTGCATTGAAACTGGAGCAAGACAAATTTGAAAAGTGTTGGACCCCATGGTGGACTTTCATGAACACCAGATCTGAAGCCAATGAGATTGTGGTTACACCCATTGTTCCTTTGCTACTCTGTTCAACCCTTGTTTTTAAGGGTCGCAAAAGTTATTCTAGTGTTGATACTGACTTGTTTTGTTCTTCCTCCTCTCTATTCTTCTGAGAGGAGTGACGAGGAGGGGGAATGGGGGGAGGGGGAGAAAAAAAAAGAGGGGAACACTAAATACTGGAGATGGGACCATCACAAGAAGGGGTTAACTGTTTTGATTAATATAACAAACTGAATGGATGATTGTACAGGTCTATATCATCTGGACGGGATGTATATTTTCTATGTTGTTCCTTAATAAAAACTTGAATTAAAAAAAAGAAATGTTTATTTGTCAATTTTGAGTTGTATATTTATTATTCTCCATCAATAAATTTGTCTGTATTATTGCTTTGAATTTTGTGAAACTGTAGACATTTGTTTGAATGGATGCTGTGTAGTTAAATTACATTTAATCTTTTTCATTTAAATCACATTACATAATGTGCAGACAGTACCGCATATATAAGAAAACAACAATGAAGTCCTGTTTACCTTTCTCCTCCTCAAAAGTGATGAGAGCCTGCCCTCCTAATAGCAGCACTGCGGCTCTCTGGGCGATGGTAAACACTCCTCTGACTGAATGATTGCTGTCTTCTCCATCCCCATTCTCCTCTCTGATAAGAGACAGAAACTTCACTTCTGTCTCTGGAATCTGGGCATAGATCTAAACAAGGAATACGGTTAGTCTTCATTTAAATTTATATGCTGTACTGCCCCTGTGAATAATCAAGTATCTATTTAACTCAAACATCTTTAATCTAAACAACTATTATTATTTGGGTGATTTTGTTAAAATACCCCAAATCATAAACTTTAGTAGAAAAGATGAACAAACAGGACAATTTATGGTTAAAAACCAGAAAAAATGACATTCTCACCTTGAATTTGTGCTTCAGTTTTGAAGCCTCGGTTCTCTTAGCCTCCAATTCAGCTTTACAACACCTCAGTTTATCCAGTATATCTTGTTTGTGTTTAGAAAGCTTCTGGATTTCATCCTTTATAAAAAGTGATTAAATATATATTGTATTGATCTCCTTCCCAATAAGTGTAAACAAAGAGTCAGACATACCTTGACCTTTTCCAAGTCTTGATTGAATTCTTTCTGGCAAGACTCCTGCTTTCCAGCTTTAGCCATCATTTCTTGTTTGGCTTTCTCCTTGAATTCATCTTCCTCCAGTTTTTCCAGAATCATCCTGGCTTTCGTGTCGTCTGCTTTCTCAACTTTAATCTTTATATATACATACACACACAGACACACACATGGATCACAAAAAAGGAATTCACTACTCTTTCTGATGTGCAGTATGTGTACATTGGACTTGTGGCAGAAATCTGTTTTCTCTTGTTCTGCTAAATTAGCTATACTCTGATTAATAAACCTATTTAAAGAGTTTAAATTCTAGATGTAATTCCAAAAGCTGAGATGCTGCTTTTACAAGTGTGGAAGGTCAACAAATCCTGCTACTGTCTGCATCTCCCTTCTTCTCTAGTCTGTCGCAGTGATGTCAGTAATGCGTTATGAAGTGAAGAGTAATCTAATGTGTTGCTATTTCAAATCCAGTAGTCAGACCACAGTTACTTATCAAAATCACTTTGCGTTATTATTTTCTATTGTAATTTCATTTTATGTCCTCCACACGTCTTGGGGAGTGACAACAGTGGAATACACACACATTACTAAAGTTCTTTTTGTACTGTTGTAACCATTAAAACAATCTCCCCTTAAGTTCAACCTTTTAAGTAGAGACATATTGTTGATGTTACCATTATAAAATAACTTGCAATTAAGTATTAGCGAAGCTAAACATAATTTTCACACATGGCAAGGCATTGTTGTTACCAGCTGCTGAAATTAACTAAAAAGTTACTTATAATGCAACTTATTTACTTTCCAAATCAAGTAATCAGTAATCCAATTAAAGTTACTTTTTCAAAGTAACTATGCCATCACTGGTCGCAGGCTGATCATATTCCTGCAGTCTACACCTAGACTCTTCTGAAAAGTTTAGCTAATGTATTTGGTCTAATTTATGGCAAGAGAAAAAGATCCAGCATGGCTATGCAATGTAAAAACATGATTTAGGTTCTGTTCTAGCTGTAAACCTTCTGACGGAAGCGGTCACACTCAGACTAAGAGACTTTTATGTTCCTCTAAGCTGCACTTCTATCAAAGAAAGCCATCCCCTCCTCCACCTGTGTCATAAAAACAAAGTAGCTGAATACATTACCAAAAGTTTACCTTTTGGGTTGTTCCTCTATTTCCACAAGGTAAGACTGCATCTCTAGTTTTGTAATTTGAATGTGTGATATGGCACAAAATTTGGCCATATATATACAGTAGAGACCAAAAGTTTGGACACAACCTTCTCATTCAATGGGTTTCCTTTATTTTCATGACTATTTATAAGGCAAGAAAGCCACTTATTAACCTGACAGGTCACACCTGTGAAGTGAAAACCATTTCAGGTGACGACCTCTTAAGCTCATCAAGAGAATGCAGAGTGTGTGCAAATCAGTGATCACAGCAAAAAGTTGCTGCTTTGAAGAAACTACAATATAAGGCATATTTTCAGTTGTTTTACACTTTTTTTGTTTAGTACATATTTCCACATCTGTTGATTCATAGTTTGATGCCTTCAGTGTGAATCTACAATGTCAATAGTTATAAAAATAAAGGAAACTCATTGAATGAAAAGGTGAGTCCAAACTTTTGGTCTGTACTGTGTGTGTAATATATATATATACATATATATTCCAAGCGACTGCAACATCAGGAAAAAGGAGCACGAGAAACTGGAGAAATACCAGTTTCTCCAGCATGGCACCACTGTGGTGAAGACCACAGTGGTGAAGACCACAGTGGTGCCTGTGGTCATCGGGGCCCTCGGGGCAGTAACCCCCAAACTGGAGCAGTGGCTACAACAGATCCCAGGAACAACATCAGACATCTCAGTCCAGAAATGTGCAGTCCTTGGCACAGCCAAGATACTGCAGGACCCTCAAACTCCCAGGCCTCTGGTAGAGGACCCGAGCTCAGAGGATAAGAACCACCCGCGGTGGGTGAGAAGGGAATTTTTTTTTTTTTGTGTAAAGAAGGTTACATTTTATTTAATCTTAAGCTTGGTTTTGTATTTCTTTAGTTTAGTTTTCCAAGCCTAAATCAGTAAATGCGGCGCAGCCCGGGAGAGGAGACTCGTATCGCGAGATTCGTTGTTTTACGTTCTGTTTATTCTGCTCTTGACAGAACAGACCTTAGCAACCACTATCTAACAGCTGATCCGTTATGTTTCTGTTGATGGTCATGGCATTCACCGCTCACTCCCCGGACATAGCTAATTGCTGTTTGTGCCAGAGCTAGAGGCCAGAAGCTACACAGTTCTTCAGTGAGAACAGCTCGGTTATCGTTGTAACTCATCTGTGCAGGAAGAAGTTCATGCAAGAGACACTTCGTTCTTGTCGTGCATCTGCAACTACCGCACGCCTCCATCACACCGGAAACCAAAAGCACGACAATATATAAAAAATGAAATGAAGAATTCTGCGGAGTGCTGGTGGAGCTCAGGGGCCAATTGCAGGCAGTCACATTTTGAAGAATTGTCATTCTTCATTGTTCTAGTGACAAGCAAACAGGGAGCGTTACACTACACTTAAGTTAATTGTCTAATACCCAATGCTCACAGTGTTCAATCTGTCCGCTCACCTGTATAAATACTCCTTCAGCGCTCTTCCCCACTATTTGCTCTGAACCACCACCAGGCAGCAGCTCCAGGAGGAGCAAAGCTGCCGTATCCCAGGCATCACGCCAGTCATTTTAAGGTTGATCATTAGTCCCCCAAAAAACCCAGACATTATCATCAATCAGTAAAATCCTCCGAGGTTGAACTTGAAAATTGGACGCCATGCTGCAAACTCTTGGTCAACAACTCGGTTGTTGACCAAAGTGAGAGCACTGCACAGTGCAAGTAATAACCCGGCCGGGGCTATTATTTAGCACGGTGCACTAATTAATAAAATATGATTTAATGAAGCTTCGAGGCAGATACATTTTCCTCGAGGAATTTTAGTAATCAAGTTACTCGAATCACATGAGGAATTGTTTCAGCCCTGGATAGAATCATGCAGTTGCTGCAGTTTTGTCAGGGGCACATCCATGATACATATCTCCCATTCCACTACACTCCAAAGGTGCTCGTACGGAAAAATTTTGAAAAGTGTGGTGCACAAAAAAAATCGGATGCATAAAGCCATGCGCACGCGCACCTTTCCGTAACACATTCTAATTTGCGGGAAATAGAGCACAGGTGCTGGTCCGCCTTGTCGCCACCAATAAATACATGTAGTATAAAAACCCGGAAGTCTGCCACCAGGTGAAACAATAACCATGGCAACGTCCATGTTCGAAGCAGTATAAGTATTTATAATAATAATTATATATTTTATTTAAAAGGTGCATTAAGGACACATGTCACCTCACAAAAATAAAATTTAAAGAAATAAAATCAAAATTTAAAAAATAAAGACATCTCGCTGTTTGAATAGTTCTGCATTCAGCCGGGATTTCAAGACAGACAGGGTATCAGAGTCCTTTGAGTGGGGAATGTGAACGTTTATTCTAAATAGTAGAATGCTTTATGTCTGTCCATATGACTGACTGAAGGATGACTGCAGCAGGACCGCTACCGGTAACGCATGGCTCTTTAAATTTTGCTCAGAGCTCCAGAAAAAAGTGGGTATAAATTTATGCAAACTTTGACACAAAGTCTGCTTTGACCCAAGATTACTCAAGTTTGCAACACACACACACATATATGTACACATTATTATTTTCAATCATTTTTATATTTACAGCCATTTATCCATCCATCCATCCAATTTCTTAAACTCTTGGCAGTAGTAGGGTTGGGAGGGGTGAGTTGCCTATCTCCACCGAGACATTTCGGGCGAGACGCGTAGTACACCCTGGACAGTTGCCAGTCCATCACAGCAGAGCCATTTATATCCTTTTAAATATAGTCTATATCCCAAATAGACCCTACAGCAGCTTCAGTCTTGAAGCTGCTGTAGGGTCTATTTGGTGCGTGTTTTTGCCACACTAGCAAAAACACCTGCCTTTAGTTTTGAATATCACAAAGAAAAAAAGAAAGTGAAGTCATCAAGTAATTCTTTGTAGTTTCTGGAATCATTTTGATACTTGGGACCATTCCCCTCAGGCAAATGAGAATCCAGCGATTGTTTATAGCGCCCCCGTCAGACCACCCACTTCCGTCACAAAACCGAAACCAAAACAACATTATGAATAAAAGTAGATGGTTTATCAATGAAATAAAACAGTGGTACAAAACATATTTAGGCCTAGGCAGCCCTGGTTCTAGATGAGTTTAACAGTGGGGATATCAATTTATTTTGTGTGGGGGACGGGGGGGGGCAAAATGAATCTACGTAGCTGAACGTCGACAACAACATCAGAAGTCTGCAGGCTACTTGTTAATAAACTTAAGGTACTGTATTATTAGCTAGTCATCTTTTAGCTAACATTACCTGCAATCAAACGCAATACTCAACTCAGTCGGTTAGTTTGGGGGGAAAACTGTGCCAAGTTCTTTGCGTTTTGCTGCCATGTTTCTAACACACACCGAAGTAGCTCTGCACAGCAGCAGAATGATGTCGCACAAGTGTAAACCTAGCGCGAGCGTCGTAGCGCTCATGTTGCATTTAAAAGCGGATCGGAAAAACAGAATACGACGTGTTAACTACGAATTAAACTGTTTTAACTGCTGAAGACAGTGACAGAAGCCACAGATATGGGAAGTGCGAAAGTCCCTACTTTATCAAATTGATATAGAAATAACAGAAAGTTGTCCATTCTATGGTAAAAACAACAAACAGCTTCTAGTCCGGAAGGGGGGACGGGCAAGGCTAACAACTCTGTGGGCAGGTAATGCCCTCCAATGCCCCCCGTGCCGTTGGGCCTGGGCATAGGTTTCCTTTTTCACCTTCAATTCTTTCAGCTCCTTCTTCGCATCTTCAAGGTTGTTCATCTTTGGAATACTACTCATCTGACAAAAAGAAAAACAAGGAAAAAAATAGAATCACTCTATTATCCGTCCGAACCCCTAAAGCTCTAACATATAAATTATTTACATGAACAACAATTACTCTTCAATCCATTAGTATAAAGCCTGTCATAACTTGGACGACGAAATCGAAACTTAAACTAGTACGTTGGTAAATTACGTCGCAGGTATTAGGTATTATTATTGTCCTACCTTTATGATTCTTTTTATCAAGGAAATTTTGCTAGTTTTTACGAAAGAGTTCGAAAAGGTATAAAAGATGTTTATAAAATCTCGGAATGTATTTCCCCCAACACTTCTTGTCTATTGAGTGTCACGCGCTGCGACGCAGCATTTTATAACCGACACACCTAATGGTGCATTCAAGAATGCCTCGTACATCCAAGAACGTCAAAGTACTAGTGTTTAGTTAAATAAAAAATGATTGAGTTATGTGTTCCAATCATTCAACGTCTCCAGAGTCTATTTCAGTCCTTTCTTGTCTTTGGACGTTTTCAAGGGATTTTAATGTCCTGAATTTTTTTTTAAACCTATTAAACGTCTTTCCTATTCTTTAAAGCAGGGGTGCTCAAGTCCAGTCCTCGAGAGCTACCGTCCTGCAACTTTTAGTTGCAGCCTTACTCCAGTAGACCAGGCTCAGCTATGAACACTGGTTCATTCATTTGATTCAGGTGTGTTGGAGCAGGGATGCATCTGATAGTTGCAGGATGGTAGCTCTGGAGGACTGGACTTGAGCACCCCTGCTTTAAAGACTCTAAAAACAAAACATGACCAATTTAATTAATGCTAACAATCTTGTGTATTCAGATCTTATATATAAAAATTCCCTTCTCACCCACCGCGGGTGGTTCTTATCCTCTGAACTCGGGTCCTCTACCAGAGGCCTGGGAGTTTGAGGGTCCTGCAGTATCTTGGCTGTGCCAAGGACTGCACATTTCTGGACTGAGATGTCTGTTGTTGTTCCTGGGATCTGTTGTAGCCATTGATCCAGTTTGGGGGTTACTGCCCTGAGGGCCCCGATGACCACAGGCACCACTGTGGTCTTCACCTTCCAGGCCCTCTCCAGTTCTTCCCTGAGGCCCTGGTATTTCTCTAGTTTCTCGTGCTCCTTTTTCCTGATGTTGCAATCACTTGGTATTGCTACATCTACCACAACGTCTTTCCTCTGTTGTTTATCCACTACGACAATGTCTGGTTGGTTCGCCATTACCATTGTGTCTGTCTGGATCTGGAAGTCCCACAGGATCTTAGCTTAGTTCTCCACCACCTTTGGGGGTGTTTCCCACTTTGATCTCGGGGTTTCCAGTCCATATTCTGCACAGATGTTTCTGTACACTATGCCTGCCACTTGGTTATGTTGTTCCATGTACGCTTTCCCTGCTAGTATCTCTATCTCTGGGCTAGACATATATACACATATACATATATACCTTCCAGGCCCTTTTTTTTTAAATTACACACACACACACACATATATATATATATATATATATATATATATATATAGTATATATATATATATATCCAATCATGTTGGATATATATATATATATATATATATATATATATATATATATATATATATATATATATATATATATATATATATATATATATATATATATATATATGTGTGTGTCTGCTGCACCACACCTGAATAGAACAATTAGGTCATTAGCAAGGCTCTGCAGAACTTGTCTACACATGGAAGACATAAATAAGCCATTTCATCCCAGTGTTTTGTACCTGTGGCAAATCTAAAAACTGCAGAACACCGGCCCTTGAGGACTGGAGTTTGACACCCCTGACCCAGACAGACAGACATATATCCTATTATCACTGATCCTAAAGTTTCTGAATTCTCCAGGATCCCTGTGCATTGCCCTGCTCTGTTGGAACTCCTTCAAGCATCAAAACACAAATCCCACAAAACCAATGTTTATTCCTTTTCCCCAATGGGTTCTATGAAAGAGCAGTTACAGAAATCATAAATTTGTGATTTTCTTTCAGAAATTTACTTACAACAAACAAGGCACAATATATTTCAAGTACTCAAAGTCTTACCACCATCCCAAAATAAATATGCATGTCGTTTTCTTTTAATGAAAATACAAATACATATATATATATATATATATATATATATATATATATATATATATATATATATATATCCAACATGATTGGATATATATATATACTATATATATATATATATATTCTAAGTAGTCAGATTAACATAACATAAATAATTAAATAAAACAGAAAAATAGCTAAGCATCTTGCAAGATTCACAATTTTTAATGAAAGGACTAATCACCTTAGCAAATGATAAATTAGAAGTAATTATTCAATGTTTCAACTTAACTCAAAATGAGCATGTTCGAAATAAAAACCTTGCAAACTGAATTTCAAAATAAACAATTTCAGCCTGAAAACCTTCTAATCACATAAGTGCATTGATAATTTATTAGACCCGTTCAACCCCAGGCCCCAAGTACAAACAGACCACATTCCTCTTAGCAGCTAAGAAAAATAAAACTTTGGTGCCCTATTACAAGACAAAGAATACAACATATTAATCAGAAATAAACATACAGATTAAAGTGTGTTCAATTCAACAAATAAAAGTGATTTCATAATCTCTTTGGTTCAGTAAGGCAATAGCAGCTTCATTTCAGTGGTCTACTGCTTAAAAACAATGCTTAATTTGGGACGGCACACAGACAGCAAACTGGTACAAACAACTAAAGCTCACCTCCATCCACCAGAAAGATGATTTCAGGACTTATATAGAGAGATGTTGTCTGTGCCATTCTGATCTATGACTGATAGATGAATCACATCAAATTAAAATGACACTGCAACAAGAATACAATCCAATAAATGAATGAAAAACCCACATGGCAGTGAGCGCTACAAAGCTGCATCTGGTGCTGCTGGCAGGATGTTGCTCTGAAAGCTAACGCTGGGATTTTCACTACAAATGTCAAGAGAATAAAAAACAAAGATAAAACCCTGTAATCTGAATTTTTGATTTGATGCCTGAGCTTTGTAAGACTTCATATAATTAATATGACGCTACAAACATAGACCATGAATACTAGTATTGATATCTGTAAACAGCATCTGTAGTATATGGTTCAAAATGAAGATAGGCTCCAAAGAAGAAGCCCTGTTTTTTAGACTCCTGCTAGAGTCTACTATTCTTCCCAAACTGGAGCAACAAAAACTACTATCCGAATGTAAACATGACAGCTAATTTAGAGTTGTAGATTTGATGATTGTTATAATTAGAAGGATTCTGTCCTTCCTTAAACAAGGATCTATTAAACTTATCTCAGTAAAACCAAATCAGATTTCTCTGTGGGCCACACTTGTTAAAAATAAAAAGATTGTTAAACAGGATTCAGTTGCGTTTTCAAGAGATATATGAGGAAAGACACAAATAAGATGAATGTACATGAAGCTTGAAGTATGCTGCTGTTTTGAGCTTGATTCATTTTCAGTTACCAGCTCTTCTCCAGAGTAAATTTTGTGCATTTGAGCCCGACATGTTTTCCAGGGATTGGCTGAGCTGTCCTCCTTTCCAGGCTGAGACGAGTGGTCAGTGTGTGGTAACAGTGCAATCATGGTGCTCAGTGTTCCTTCAACCTGTGAAGAAGAGAACATTATTTCGATGAAGAGAGTAGGTGAGGTTATGTTGTACAGTAACAAGCAGTAAGCTGAACTTTGTCTTTCCTGAGCGAGTCAGAGCTAAGGTCTGCTGCTTCCTGTACACACACTGCAGTGTGAGCCTGAAGACATGATTCAAAGTTTCCATCCACATCCATGTCTCTTATTATCACGGTGAATCCTGGGACCTTGTACTTAAATAAATGCCCAACATTACCAAAAGTATTTAGTTGTCTTTCTTCACACATATAGAGTGTCCAATATGTGTGTCCACCCGGTTTAGGAGCTGGAATTTTGTTTTGTTACTATTTTTCCAGAAGCACATTGATTGGGTCAGGCACTAAGATTGGATGACGAGGTCTGGCTCACAGTCTCTGGTACAATTAATCTGAAAAAGTGTTTTATCAGATTTAGGTCAGGCCTGTCAAATTCTTCCACACCAGGCTTGCTGACCCATGCCATGTCTTCATGGATCTTACTTTGTGCACTGGTCGGCAATCATGTTGGATAAAGAAAAGACCAACTCCAAACGTTTCCTACAAAGCTGAAAGCATTAAATCATCTATGATATTTTTTTCTTCCATAATTTAAGAGAACTTGAATAATGAACTTGAAATCCTACTATCAGTCTGAAAGTAGGATTTCATGTCTTTTGTTCTCAAAGCTTTTAATACTTCTGCTTACATTTTCATTTTTAAAGCAGGACTGCATGTCTTTCTTTTCAAAACTCAGGAATGGAAAGTTTGTGGAATGGAAAGGAACTGAGTGGACGCTTGTACCCACAACTTCTCTTTGCGCTCAGAACTTGTCTCTGCTCGGAGCAAATATTCTGCTCACTTTCTGCTTGCTTTTGGGACAAAAATACACCATCGCCTGGCAACCTCTCAGCCATTAGAATAAAAGTGTTGTACTGGGTGTGTTTATTTCTTTCTAGTGGGTGTGTCTGTGTGGGTACTATTGATTGTAGCAACACGCGCCACCTATGCTCTCAGCTTTATGCTCCATGTTACACTAAGCATCCACCAACAGTGTGCTCTGATTGCTAACAGCATGCTGATATTAGGCAGGAGTTTATTCATCCAACCAAAGAAAATGGATCCATAGATTCAACCGTGTTACAACATAGTCATGATATCATCTATATAGATCTATCTTTCAATATATAGACCCATCTACAGACAGACAGACAGACAGACAGTCAGTAAGATGAACATCTAATGTCATCAGTAAGAAATAGTTTGTGGAATGGAAAGGAACTGAGTGGATAAAGACTCACTCTATCGCAGAGACAGGGGGGGACTTGGATGAGCACAGCTCCTTGGTCACCAGCCGCAATAAAAGCTTCAACACAAACAATGAAAACATTTTATAAGCATACAAAATATTTGTGATGAATTAAGGCCTGCAGCTACGATTCACTTGGTAGCAGCAAAAAAATAAAATAAATTATAAACAATATCAAAATTTGACATGACAGAAATGTGGTTTTCCTTGCGCTTGTCTTCTGAGAAGCTGAAATAAATGTTTTTCTCATGTCTGTTTGATCTGTGTTGCTATGAAGTCTATTGAAGGTGGCTATTTGCCGTTTCTGTGATTGAGTGACATAGTTGTATTTTTCTTCACTTTATTATAAGCACTGTACACTGTCCAGAAAAAAAGCAGAACCTAGTTAATGAATAACTTTCACTTTAGCACTAAAGCTAAACATAAGTTTTTATTGCTGAGTAAAAGGGTGAGTTAAAAAAATGTCAAAAAAGATTGAAAAGCTGAAATTTTGAATAGGTCTTAACATTTCAGAGCTAATGTGTTACTATTTATACTAGCATTCTTTACTGTTATGATCAAGGTTTTCCTAACCTTCAACTAAAACATTTCACATGAGCAGTAAGAGAGGGCAGCTCCACCTCCATTTTCATGCTTAAAGGCCAAACACAACTAAAGTGAGTAAAATTTGTTCCAAAAAGCTTGAAACTACAGAGAGGAATCTTCTAACTTCTAGATTCTTGATGGAGCATTTCCACTCATTGAGAATTCTGACACATTCTAACCCTAAAGTATGTCATCAAACTGTTGAAATATCTCCAAACAGTCACTGCTCTGCACTCACCAGCAAAGCAAGGAAGTCAGCAGTCATTAGCATGTAGAAGACCTGGTTCCAGCCACCTGCAGACAACACACCTGCCAGCAGGGGGCCCAGAGCTGCACCTATCACCACAAACACAAATAGTTTTAGATTTGGACTGAAAATTGACTAAAACTTTACATTTCAAGATGTGAGCATATTTTGGGATTTGACTACTTCAAATATACAATGTTGTGCTGAATATTCACTGTTTGCATAGCAGCCAAGCAAAGCATGAGAAGCTGCACTTCCAGTAACGTAGTTGATGTTTACATCTATAATTCTGGTTCCTTTCTTCCTGAAGTCAACAAGCAGCACAGCATGCTGCTATTTGTACTCTGTACAGGTGGAGCTCTAACAGCATTAGTCTATCAGAGGGCCCCACAGGCTAATCACTTTTCTGCAGGTCTAAGGGAGGTAAACATTTCATCATAGACTTTATGACTGGCAAGGTTCCCGGTGAACACGTTGAGCTTAGTGGTTGCATGTAGAATAGAATAGATACTTTATACTCACTCACAAAAAGGAACATTTTGTGAGTGAGTGGCTACAACACAGGTCATTCAGTTGGACTTATAAACAAACAAGAATAAACATGGATAGCAACTTGCATATCAAAATGTTGGAAATATGTGCATTTCTTGTCCTTTTCTTTTCTTGGAACAAGCAGGTTCTGATTGGGATACATAATACGTCAAAAGTGTCACCATGGTCACCATGTGACCTGGTCCCAGGTCACTGAGGAACCTGTGGAGGTTCACAGGTTGTGAACTTAGCTTTTACTCGCTACTGAGAACAATCTGTGCCAGATTTCCTGTCTTCAGCAGAGGTTGCATTCTGGGAAATGGTGTTTAGGGTTAGGCTGAGGGTTACATCAAAGAAACCGTTAATCAAATAAAATAGATGGGAAGACTAATTTATCATTTCTGTTTTTGTCACTACGCTGACAGGAAATAATTTAGTCTGCTGCAAAAATTTGACTCCTGTTTTTATTAATGGTATGTGGTTAAACAGCAGCTTAACCACTATCTATCTATTGGCTATCTATTGGTAACTATCTATCTACAGTTACTAAACATTGATCAGGGGCTTCACGTTTAAAGCGGCGTACGCACAAAAAATGTGCGGTGCCATATTTTACGCATAAGTTGGCATGTATACTAATGAACATTGTGTCAAAGTTTGCATAAATATACCCACAGCTTTATTGTGTGCAGCAGCCACAAAAGAAACGCAAACTTTCCTGTGGACAATAACTACAAAGTGTCAAAACTCACCCAAATCCACCGAAATCTAACTACATTCAATGTTATTTAGACCTTTTTAATTACCGCGGACCGGTTGAAACTAGGCACTTTTTGCTGTACCCCGGGGTGGGTAAATTATTATTATTATTTTTTTTTTACCCAATTTTCCCTTTATGATAATCTTACAACGTCCTGCAGTGTGTGCTGCTGTGTTGAATATGCCCAATATAAAATCGGCATTTTCAACATTGACTTGTCCCGATTATCGCAGCCTGTGGGGGTTTCCTGCCTGGGAGCGAGAGGGCAGCCTGTTGAATGTGACAGGTAGCCAATCAGAAAATGCTGTGATGTAAGAACAGAGGGAATCCCAAACAGCTGACACGGCGCAACTGAGAGTCCGGTGGACATCGAAGGTGATATGTGGAAATGTTTATTACTACATGTACAATACATTTTTATATACGTTTATTATATGTGGTTATGCTTATTCAGTTAAAAATGTTAACTATGAAAAATCATAACTCGTCACCAAATCATAGTGCAGAAATAGAGCAGTTGCTCCCGCTTTGTTTTATCCAATGCCTTTTCTTTTTATAACGTCCACAAGCTATCTCTACTGCTTCTACATCGTCATCTGTGTTTGATTATTATAAATTCCTGTATGGTATGTTGGGAGTTTTACTGATATTTCTTCTGGAATCGGGATGTTTGTGACTGGAATCGGTTCTTGTGGTGTGTTGCTCCTGCCATGTGGCTGGACACATGAACTGACCGAACCTGTTGGACTTTTATTGGCTGACAATCCTTAAATCGTGCTGTGTGAACCAAACCTAAACTCAGAAGCTCTTTTCCTCTCATCTCAACCAGTGTCCTGATGCTCACTGACTCTGGTCGCTATGGTAACGTTTACACATCCCTTCAAAATAAGATACAGATGTGCAACAAAAGCAAACATTTTACTTTTGTGAAAATTTTAACTCACATTAACGACTAATGTCCGTGACTTCTGGGGCAAAACATAGATTTCTCCTCTCAGTGCCTCAGACAAATGATCTGCCAGTGCGGATGAAGGAATTTTTTTTTTCTTTTACGAAATATTTTAAAAGGGAGCCGTGAGCTTGTTTCTCCCATCTGGGAGTGATGAGAGACAATGACACCCGAAGTGCTGCCAATGCACACGGTCTCTACGTGGAGAAGCAGTTTGAAGCATCATTAACGAATCGGTCACCATATCATGCAGAGCGTCTTGGAATGTGGGAATCACCTACCAGGATAAATTCACTCTCCTGTCTCTTCTCTGGACCTTTTCCCCTCAGCAAAGAAACTTTACAAAGACATGTGATCTGTTTCTTACTCATTTTGCTGCTTGTGGTTTCAATGTTGGACCACTGATGTAGACCACGAAGCATCAAACCCTATGTTTTTTTATGATTTAAACATAAACATAAATATTGTTTATGTTTAAACAATATGTTATTGTTTAAACATAAACGATGAAACTGAACTGCCTTTATTCTCAGACAATGGATTTTTCTTTAAAATGTATAAATTTTATTTTTGTTAACTGAGCTTATGTTCCCTGAAAGCATATTTTAAATAAAATATATAATACTTTTTATTAAAGATTCTTATACTGCTACAAACAGGGATGTTGCCACGGTTATTGCTTCACATGGTGGAAGACTTCCGGGTATTTATACAAATTTACATAATGTATTTATGGGTGGCAACAGACGTACTAGCAGCTGTGCTTTATTTCCTGCAAATTGGGATGTATAAATGAAATGTACGCAGCCACATGCAGCTTTATACATTTTTTGTGCGCCGCACTTTTCTAAATTTGTCCGTACGCCAAGTTGTAGTGTAAAAACTGCACACTCTTTTATACATGAGGCCTGGTCTTTTTGTGCTTGACTGCTATGTTTCAGCTAGGAATAACAGGAGAACAGCTACATTCAACGTCTTGATTAGTGATGTATTGCTAACTTAAGGGAGAGAATAAATAATACTGACCTACAGATCCTGTTCCATCGATGATGGCTGTGACTGTGGACAAAGCCCTGGCATTGCCTTTCAGGCTTTTGTGTGTTCCCTGTTATCAAAAACACAAAAAGAGAGAATCAGAGAGGCTTACATGTGAGAGAAAAACTATTGAAACATAAAATAGTTATTAGTGTGAAATATCTACCAGATCTGCTGACACAGCAGTTGTTATGAGAGCATATGGTCCGTTCACCAGACCTCCACATACGAGCAGCATTCCTGGCAAACACCAAATCAATCAAACTTCTATTCCTAAAGACAGCCTCAATGTCCACAGGCAGCATTTCCCATGAAACCATTTGCACTGAATGCTGTCAATCAATCAATCAATCAATCAATCAATCAATCAATCAATCAATCAATCAATCAATCAATCAATCAATCAATCAATCAATCAATCAATCAATCAATTGTATTTATATAGCACATTTCAGCAACAAAGCATATCAAAGTGCTTTACATCATAAAAACACAAAAATACAAAGTCATAAAACACACAATCAACAAGTGAAACAAACACTAAGTGTCATCATTACACATCAGATATGCTGGTTAATGTTCCGGTGATTATGGTTCAAAAGCAACTCTAAACAGATAGGGTTTTTTTTTTTTTTTTACAGTTTTCTGAATATTTGTTCCAGATTTGTGGTCCATGTTTGGTTCTAGTTCTGGGAATGCAGAGCAGATCAGAACCAGGAAACCTGAGAGGTCTGGAAGGTTGATACCCCAACAGCAGGTTATTAATGTAATTAAGCATATATAAAGCTCAATTTCAAAAACTATGAGGATAATCGGTGACAAAAGTAAGCATAAGGAAACCAATGTGAAAGAATTAAAGTTTACATTCACAGCAACTAACCCAAATACTTCAGAACCAGGTTTATCATTTCATCTGGGAAACGAAGAAAGCAGACCAATTTATTTTACCCAAAGTAACTTGATTAGATTGGACTGGAAAGATGAGAAATTCCTTTTTGTGCACACTCTAGAAATATTTTATCAATTAAATCCAGTCCAGAAATGGGACTGGATAGGCATTTGACTGCTCCTCATGCTGTGTGATAATGTCGCCCTGACAAGAGGAACGACAGGTTGTTGTTAGGCAGCTATTTCTGATACAGTTTCTTTTTTCTTCACTTTTTCCACCCTGATAAAAGGGCTTTATTCTCCCTCAGTGTACTCTCTGTCTGAAGCACGTGCTCAGGCTCAGGGATCCTAAAATGCTGGACTTGACTGAATTGATATCAGTACAGGAGAAGGCAGTGCACTAAAGGTGACCCTAGCTCAGCTTTGTCTCAAAGATGGGGAGCTTTCTTCACCGTTTCTGTACATTCTACTCATTGACTGCATAACCCCTCAAGCATTTCTATTTACATAAGCACTCATACAATAAATACAACAAACATCTCTAAATGTTTTCCATCTGTTATTCCATCCATCTTGTAGACCTACTAGTCCTGTCCAGTCATCAATCTTCTCATCTATTCCAATGAGAACATTTAAGCGTGTCATTCAAGATCTATTTGGTCGTATTGGTGCAATAAGACTGTTGGAAAAGAACATCTGCAATTTTTCTCACATCCCCTTTCTTCTAAAGCTTTGCACATTGCTACATTTGCTGCAACCAAGACTTGATGCTTCTAAGATCAGTGACTTGCAGAGATCTAAACTTCTGCTTTCCAAGACATTTTCTATGCAACTGTGAACATAAAACAAAAGCTCTACACAAATATTTGCATCTAGTATGGCTTTAGAAATGTAAGAACGGAAATGTGTGGATGTGCCAAAACTTTCTCCAGCTGAACAGAAACAAAACTGAAGTCATTATTTTTGGACCTAAAGAGGAACGATCTAGAGCTATAGATCTAGAGTTATAGATCTAGATCTATAGATCTAGAGTCAATGCACAGCTTCAGTTATTACAACTAAAAACTAGAGATCAGGTCCGAAACCTGGGAGTAGTGATGGACTCACACCTGAACATTGCGAGCCACATAAAGACGATTACAAAGTCGGCCTTCTATCACCTGAAGAACATCTCCAGGATTAGAGGACTAATGTCTCAGCCAGATCTAGAGAAACTCATCCATGTGTTTATCTTTAGTCGCATTGATTATTGTAACAGCGTCTTCACAGGCCTGTCCAACAAATCAATCCTCCAGCTGCAGCTGATCCAGAAGCTGCTGCTCCTGTTCTCACTAAACCAGGAAGATAGAGACATAACAGCAGTTTTAAAGTCCCTCCACTGGCTCCCTCTAGCTCAAAGAATAGATTTTAAAATACTGTTGTTAGTTTATAAATCACTGAACGGTTTAGCACCACAATACATCAAAGATGTGCTGTTGTTGTATTAACCTTCCAGACTCTCAGGTTCTGGTTCTGGTTCTGCTCTGCATCCCCAGAACCAGAACCAAGAGAGGAGAAACAGCTTTCAGCATCTATGCACCAAAAATTTGGAACAAATTTCCAGAAAATTGTAAAACAGCAGAAACACTGACTTCCTTTAAATCTCAACTAAAACACACCTGTTTAGAGTTGTTTTTGAAATTTAATATGTAACAATGTATCGTTTATTCTATGATGCATGACTTTGTGTTTATGATGCAAAGCACTTTGAAATGCCTTGTTGCTGAAATGTGCTGTACAAATAAAATTTGATTTGATTTGAATACTTTTTATAGATTAGTTATTGCGAAAGGATTTTGACATCTCTTTGGGTCAAATTGACCTCCTCTCATTGCGTGCGAAGCACAAAGTTGGACCAAAATTTTACTTGAGAAGTATGTTGTTCAGACAGATAAGAACAACAATTTGTGATTAATTGGCTTATTCTGCAATTCTGAAAAGGAGCAGATGTTAGCATGTTCATTTATGTCAGATCAAGAGGTCAGATTATTTCTAAGAAAGTCCAACACACACTCAGTCAAGGGGCTGCCAGAATCCTGATGTAAATTAACAGCAATACGTGATTGGTCAAAACTTTCCAACACACATCAGTGAAGATGAGACTGTAAAAGAAGGTAGATCCTAATAATATTTTGAGATTTTTTGGGAAGATTTTGGGAACTTTGACTTTGTACTGATGAAGCTGTAAGACGAATCCATGGTAGAAGTGTTAATAAATCTCCCAAACCCGTTGTGGCTGGCAGTAAAGGACATGCCTCTGAGTATATATACCTATATATTGTTTACCTATATAACAATATATAGGTTTTGTTTACCTATATATTTAAGAGCACCTTTCCATTCCTTTTCAGAAATTCCTCCAGAAAAAAAACAATCCTGTTGAAAGAAGACAGGGAAAAGACAGCAGCTTCTCACCAACGGTTGGTCCCAATCCCAGCTGGCTGATCATCGAGAAGCCATAGAGCTGCAGAGCAAAAACAGAAGGATAATGTACATTTATGTAACATACATTACAGGGATTGGTTATCAACCCTGTTATGGAAAATTAAATACTGTGCTTAATTCCTAAGAACCAAAACATGGGGAAGCTTACTGTAGGAGCAGCTAGAAGTAGCATAACTGCACATGTGCTGGCTCTCTTCCCCAATTTATCAGAGATCACTCCTGCCAAGATCCCACCTGTATGGTCATGGACACATGGACACACACACATGTACGCACACACAAGCAGACACAGAGTTCATTTATGTCATTACATCAGGAAAACATTCATGCTAATTCCTGCAAAAATAAACTGAAGCTAATTTTCTATTTACACAAAAAAAGCAATGAAGAAAAAAGCCTCAGATTCCATTAGCAATTGAAAAACTAAAAACTAATCGTACTCAATGAAAAACATGAAACAAATGGTTGGAGAAAAAATGTTAAAAATAAAATAAAAAAACAAAAAATCACTGACCCACAATTCCTCCAACATCAAACAAGGTGGAGAGATCTCCAGCTTTCTTTGCATCCAAGTGAGCTGAATAAGAAACAAAAGCATCAGTTTTATCACATACCTCTCGCCAGAATAAAGGGATTTCAGCACAGTACAGTTAATTTAAAATGTGCAGATTCAAAACTAGATGTAAAGCATGTTATTCAAAAACAGACTCTTTTTTCACAGAGCATAGAACGCGCCTGAAGAGGAAACGATTCACTGAAATCTGTTTTCTGAAACTGTTTCCACAGATGTGGTCCTTCAAAGTCATTTTACACACATGGAACATCGTGTATGCTCCATGTGCATAAATTTGCTCATTTCAAGCAAAGTGAAATGAGGCAAAATTTTAAGGAGGAAATTGCTGAGCAAGGCTGTCAGGTTGTTTTCCCACCTGCTTTGGTGATGTAGAGGGGCAGCCAGAAAAGGAAGGTATAACTGACCAGCTTGGCAAAGAGCAGGCAGAGAGAAAACTCCACCACTCCCTGCAGAAACAAAGAGCATGTGACAACTGACTGATGTGACAGCAAACACAGCAGAGAAGCAGTGTCAGTAAACTGACAGGTATTCGCAGCGCTCCCATGAAGCTGATAGCAGAAGGCTCTGACTCGCTCTTCACCACCACGACCGGCTGGGCAGGGACACACACAGCGTCCCGGGGCAGCAGCAGCTCCGTGTCGTAGTTCTGCACCAGGATGGAAACGGGAACAGGAAGGCCACAGATCAGTTACAACCCAACAGAACCGGCTAACACCAACACCAGCTCAACAGCTAACCGCCTCAGAAAAAAGCTCAGTAGCTCAGATTCTCAAGAGGTAGAAAAATGAATTGATGATGCTTGAAAATGTATATTCTATATTTTTAAAGCAACCAAATTATTGTAAAATTATCTGTGATTAAATGCTATGAAAAAGATAATAAAAAAAAATTAACGGAGGAAAAAAAAAATCAAAAAGTTCCACACAGCTTATAATTTTCTGAATTTGGAGGAGGACATTCAATCAAAACTCAACTAATTTAACAAGCAGCAGCAGACAGTAAGACAGTGACAGTAAAGAGAAACTCCTCACCAGATTTAAGTTCAAGCTGGTTTGTCAGAATAAAGAAAAGTAAATCTTTTGGTCCTCATCAATAAAATTATCAGTATTTCTGGATATTATATCTATTTCACTACCTGAAAAATGACTAGATCCCATTTAACAGCTCCACATGGTTACACTTTATGTGAAGGGGTGTGCATAAGACTGACATGACATGAACACATATGGAGCGAAGGCCAGTGCACGGCAAGATGGGGTCCTCTGGACTTGATGAGACGCTATTCAAGGTCAAAGCCATTTCCCATAACACCTGTCATAAACATGAAGGAGTCTTCTTGAAAATGTGTGACTGTTGTAATGAAGGGTCAGTCGGTAAATAATGACACTTCAATACAAAGTTGCACTAAAAGTGTCAACTTAGCATTAATCTGCAAATATTTTAATGCATTAAAAGTCCATTAAATGTGTCAACTTTGCATTGAAAGTGCCATTATTTACCAAATGACCCTTTATGACAAAAGTCATAAACATTCAAGAAGACTCCTTCATGTTCATAACAGGTGTTATGTCACATTTATGACAGTGTTATCTTATGCATACCACTTCAAATAAAGTGTTATCTTAAACACTATAGCTACAGGCATACTAACTGTCAAAAGACTAAGAATCTATGACTTAGTTTAATAAACCGATTTAAAAGTATTATCTCTCAAAAGAAAATGGCAATAAGAGTTAGGGTTTTTTTTTAGGTCATAACAGACCAAAGACAAGTTATATTATACACATATTAAAAATGCATTACACCTTCTAATAGCTATGCAGAGGTACATGTGATAAAAACTGAAATTAAACCAAATAAAAGTAACAGGAAATGTGAATGGGTTCAATCCTGCCTAAGGGTTTCCAGACACCTCAGAGCTGAGTCTGAATGTTGATGCTCTTGAACATTTAGCAAAACTGTACACCCATATTATTCAAAGCCAAAATCCCAAATTTGTATCCAAATTTAATATGATTGAATATATTGTTGTTGTTGACAAAGACTTAAACATTTAGATCTAGCCTAAATGTTTAAGCGAAGCTGGAGATCACTGACAGAACTGACCTTCCTATTTTGAAGACATTCCTTAAAAAAGCTGTAGGCCTAAAACACAATATGAAGGAAACATTATGTTCAATTCAAAAATACTTTGATTAAAAAAAGAATAAATGTAACTCATACGAGTATCAAGTTTGTTCAAAGAGTAATAGTGATGTTGAAGGATTATGATTTAGTAGTTACTGAATTGGAGCTTCTTATTTTTGTCTAGTGTTAGAGAATCGGAAGGTGCAAAACTCTTGATTTTATAAGTAAACAAGTAATACTCAGAGATGAGTCCTTTACTGCCAGCCACAACAGGTCGGGAGATTTATTATCACTTCTACCACATTGTGGGACTAAGAGCCATTTTATCTTTTATTGTTTTGATTTCCACTTAGATATAGCAGCTCAATATTTATTTGTCATATTTCACTACATATGAAATATGACAAATTATAAAGTCCTGGAGTTTCGAGTGGGTGGTTAAAAACTGCCCAAAAAAAAAAAAAAAGGCTCTTGAGATAAAATAGCCTGACATATAATTGCAGCTGACCTCTCCATCCCTTCAGTTCTGTTACATCCTCTCTGCACGATAAGGCTAATGGACTTCTGTGTTTAAAAAATTTATATGGTCAAATATATAATTAGGTTCATGTCAGGAGTTCACAGAGCAACATTACAGCATCTTATGTAATGACGTATTCATCCAGAGAGATGCACACCTGCTTTTTGTTATCCTTGTATTGCAAATATACTTTTGGATGTCCATTTTCTCCATTCCAACTTTTGGCTGAAACCTAAATAAAGAAAGATTTACTACATGAAACAGGTAAACACACACGGGAAGGCTAAAACAAATATCCTTTACTCACTCTGTTGCCAGGAGACGGGTTCTGAGTGTATATGCCTTTCAAGTCATTCGGATCTGCGGAGGGGAAAACCGGTTAGTTGAATATGGCAAAAATGTGGAGTGAGAAAATCCATCAGCCTTATCCATGCTTTTATTTTGAAATGATTGCTCCCTCAGCAAGTCTGGAAGGTAAAGTGTCTGACACGAGCATATCAGGCTGGAGTCAAATAGTAAAATCTCTGACCAATGACTAACGTAACATTTAGAAGTTATTTTGTGAAAACAATGCATCTTTATTCCTCTACACTTATAATTTTAGAAATTATTATTTAGTATTATCACTATTATTGGTGTGAACATGTTCATTAAAAAAAAAACAACTAAGGTGGACATTTTGACGCTGTTAAAACTGATATGTTTTCACAGATCGGTGTTGCGCTCTTTACATAATTATGATTATTATTATTTTAATGACTTTTAGACTTACGTTCAATAAGGAAAAGGAAACAAATGACTCCCATGGCTGCAATGATGAGGCCAGGTACAATGAAGGAAAGGCCCCAGTTAGAGGAGACCCAGTACCCAGCAATCAGAGAACCCAGGATGTTCCCCACTGAGGTATGGGAGTTCCAAAGTCCCATGATGAGTCCACGCCTGCTAACACCACAAGGTTTCATCACTAAGCCCGTCATGCCTCAGCCTTTATAAGCTCCATTCATCTTGACATGAAAGCTGTGAACTTTTCTACCTTACCTTCCTTTTCCAAACCAGTTGCCAATGCAGGTCACGACACTGGGCCAACCAGTAGTTTGGACCAAACCATTGGCCACCTAGAAAAACAAAAAGAGAGCCACATCAACATCCTGTACACATATCAACTAAAGATACATAAGCAGAAGTAAATGCTCCAGCCCTCCAGACTGAAAAAAAAGAATGCAGCTCCAACTTTAAGAAACTGAGATAACTTGTTACATGTAATCAAATTACATTTGTCAGACTTAATTTTTGTACGTTTGTCTAACATTGTAAATTAGTAAACTACACATATTGGATAATTTTTATTTGATTACTTGTAATAAATTAGCTAAATGTTTTATAGTTGGATCACTGATTTTCTTTTTTCAGTACAGCTGTCCTGACTGAGAAGTTCCAACCAGCCTGGTTAAAACGGGTGTTGTGTGCATCTCACCTGAACAAATATATAGAAGCCGAGACTGTGAATGTTGTAAATGTAACCAAGTCCAAACAGGCAGGTGAAAAGCCCACTGCTCAGCATTCCCACTGTGAGATACAGCCGGATAGGTAAGCGCTCCCCAATGATGCCGCTGCACAGGGGGAACAGCAGCAATATGCTAACTCACATTCATTTATGATGTCAAATTTCTTTTGCTTACGTTAAAGTTTACTGAAGTAAAACAGAACAAACAGAACATGTTACATCCTTGTATCTGTTGATAATTTTGTGTTTTTGCACTAAAATAATTCTGAAACTGTGAAGAAGGGATCAAATACTTGATTCCCTCATTGTAACATCAGATAATTACTTCAGTAGAACTCTAGTACTAAATGATCTAGTATCTAGTAAACTCCAAACTAGTATTAATAGTTTGTGCTAGTTTTATTCTACAATTGTGCTAGTTTTATGCTAGCTTGATTATATTAATGTCTCACCTGAGGTACATCCCAATGGCATAGGCACAGAGAAATGAGTAGTCCATGGCTCCTAGCAGCTGCTTGTAGTTGCTTTTATCTAAAATTAAAATATTAATTACTAAACAAAGATTATGCAGCTAGCAGTTTATTACTGTTTAACTGATCAGGGTTCTTTCCAACTTGATTGCCCTGCTTATGCTTTTCTCTTTAGTTTGAGGCAACAACATTCAGAAATAAAGCAAAAAGCAGTAAATCCACTAAAGCTCAAGTACTATATACAATTCTTTATTTATACTGGAAAAATCTTGAGTCTTATTGTCTCATTTACAAGAGAGACCTGTTTCATACATCACAAAAAATATACTGACAGCTCATTGTTACTGTGGAAAAAGGTTGTATGGATTGTTTGAGTTCAACTTCACAGTAATTGACCTTTTTACAGTGTGCTTTCAGTACGATACCCTGCATTTCAAAGAGCAGTGTGATCCATCAAAAGCATAACTTGGATTTCTTTCAGTTAAATAAATTCCCAAATGGGTTTATTGGACAGCGAAAGAATGACCGACATACTGTACAAGTTGATTAAGCGAACATCTCCCTCTCCAGACAAACCTTCTGGATATCTCAGCAGTCTTTTCAGACAGTCTAACTGTAGGTTACAACTGTGAGTATTCCTGATTACATCAGACCAACTAAAACAGAATATGTCCATGAATCTTTGAACAAATAAATTATTTTGCAAAAAAGGACAATAAAAATCAGTTTTTCTCCAATGAACTATTTCAGTCACATTGCCTCTGTGAAAAGGACTTTATTCTGACTAGCCTCGCTATTTAAATAGAGGTGGAAGAATGTCCAACATATAAAATATAAAAAATAATCTAGCATGCACCAATTGCAGTTTTCTGATCAATCACTGATCACCTATCTTCAAACAGCTCATGGGGCCTCATGTATAAAAGAGTGTGCAGTTTCCAAACTAAAACTTGGCATATGGACAAATTTAGAAAAGGTCGCGCACAAAATTTGTTTAGAAGTATAAAGCTGTACATACTTACATGCCTGCGCACCTTTCCTTTATTAATCCTAATTTGTGGGAAATAGAGCACAGCTGCTGATCTGCCTGGTTGTCACCCATAAATACATTACATAAATTATGTAAATACCCAAATCTGCCACAAGGTCAAGCAATAACCATGGCAACATCCTTGTTTGTAGCAGTATAAGTACTTATAATAGCAATAATTATTATTACTATTATTATTATATATTTTATTCAAAAGTGCTTTCAAGGCACATCAGGTCACCTAACAAAAATAAAGAAAACACATTTTAAAGATAGAAAAATCCAATTCTTCCATTGGCGATGTTCTATATCATAGCCAAAGCACTCCTCAGTTAGTGGCTCACCAACTTAGATACATGTGATTGCATACACACCTTAAAAATAATCAATCAATAAACAATATTCTGATTTAACCCTGTTTTCTTTTGTAATGAGAATGAAATGATGCATTTCATGAGTATCGGCACAGAGACCAATGCGCTACATCTTTGTGCGACAAAAACTGAGGAAAAGTACTATTTACATTTGAGTGAGGTTTTCACATGCTTTCTTTTTTTATTTTTTTATTTTGTGTTTGTGTTAGCTTATTGCCGGAGGATAAATGTGGTTCAGTTTCATTATTTACATATAAACATTAAAATATTAAAATCATGAAAAAACATCTGGTTTGATGCTTGCTGTTCTAAATAACACTTGATGTCATCAGATTTCAGTGTATTTAGGTGAGTTTTGACGCTTTGTAGTTTGATATTGTCCACAGAAAAAGTTTGTGTGGCTCCCACACATTTTCACAAAAAGGTCAAAATTTGCGTATATCTATGCAAACTTTCCCACAACGTTCATTTTTATACATGCCAACTTGTGCATAAAATATGGCACCAAACATTTTTTGTGTGCATACTCACGCTTTGTTCATGAGGCCCCAGGTGTTTTGGCTGATATATTGTCTGAAATGATGCTAAATATAGCAAGAAATTTGCTGAGATCTCAATAGTCATGTTAACTGCCAGCATACAGATATGACCTGGTGAGTGAGGAGGGCATTTAAATTTAGATATTTGCTGTGGTAGCTCAGATCAGCTTCACATGTTAAGTATTGGTTGATCTCCCAAAATAAAGTAAATCTTGGCTATTTATCTATACACTCCTAAAATAATCACAATAGAGTAGATCAGATAAATACCAAATGGTTTCCAGCTGCACCCCATCTCAGTGTGGAGTGAAGGGAGAGAGGCTTCCTGGCTTCCTCCATTGCTGGCCACAGTGCCGGTGGCAGCAGCCAGCTCACTGGCTGCTGAACAGTTCTTATGAAGCTCACTCTGGCAAAAAATAAAGACAATTTATGTATTTGAGATTCAAGAACTGTTCAATCTCAAGCTCCATGTACACATGGCATTCATTTCCCCAAGGATGTTTTCTATGCCCAAAGAGCAACTTCAGATTTTGTTTCAGGTCCCTGAAGTTAGTCTTTTGCTGTAATCAGAAGAAAAAAAAATAAAATAAAACCTTTAAGCTGAAACAGGCTGTTCAAGACTATTCACATCAACAAGTCAAAAACCTGTACAGAAATCTGGTTTTCAGTCTGTTTTCAGATAAACATGAGACCCTAATGGCATCATCAAAATAGCTTCTATCATGGCAGGTTTGTTGAGCAGAACATGCCAGGCCTCTCAGAAGAAGCCATCGCTGACAGAAACCTAGACATGTTTCATGATGGGAAGGTTGTTCGAGATCACGGCATGATGTTCCCATCATGCTGTGAGCCCAGGTCCACAGGCTGGTCAATCAATCTTGATTGGAACCTATCAATCAAATGCTGGAATCTATCAATCTAAAAATGATTGATAGATTCCAGCATTATTGGATATAGCACTAAGTCTACTGGCAGGGTCTTCTGTTTGTCCCAATGGAGGAGGTATTGACCGGGTTCTTCAGCTGGACAGGCTGGAGTTCCCCTTAAATTTGTCTTCAAGGGGAACAATATCCCTGTTTTAGACTCTGAAGAGGAGAGGAGATGGATGGCGAAGGACGTTTTAAAAACAAATCATGCAGCAACGTTCCCGTCAACCTGCTGGAAAACTCACATCAAACATGTCTAAAAAAGATAACCAACAACCTGAGACAACACTGTGCTACTTTTCACACTTCTGGTTCTATTTTAGGTTTTGCTTGAGCCATGTTCTGTAACTCTAGACAGTGAGCAGCTTGTTTGAGTTTAGATGTCATTTTCAAATAAACTGCCTTCCCTATTTGTTTTATCTCTGTTTCTTTGTTTTGTATTAAAGCAAAAAACCTTCTTATAATCCAGCAGTGTGAAATGTTAATTTCTTCCTAGCCATCGGGTTTTGATGTGTAGATGACACACAGAGATGTTACCTTTACGATACTGATGGGTTTCCTGGAAAGGTGAAAGCTAGTATAGAGCAGGAAGGTCAGCATGAAGGTCAGAGCTCGGTACCTGCAGGAGAAACACAGCATCATATATCCGCAACATTTCCTCTCCTCCTCATGCTAGCAACAGGAAGAAAAGCCATATCCCAACATAGAAACCTGGACTGTGAGAATATGATCCGACTTTCCAGCATCTGTAACCGGTTGGTCGAATGCATGCAACTAAAGAGGTGAAGCTGAAAGCTTACTTTTCAACAATAATCTGCTAGGCTCACCCATCCAAATGATCAGAATCAAGTGTTTCGATCACTTCCATGGACACAAATGTATAATATGAAGAACCTGGGTAGGCAGACTGTTTTTCAAACATTTATGAAAGAATGGCCTGTTCTCAGTAGCTCAGTGAATTCCAGTGTGGAACTGTAATAGGATGCCACCTGTTCAACAAATCCAGTTGTAAAATTTCTTTCCCCTTCAATATTCCACATTCAACTGTATTATAAGAAAATGGAAGTATTTGGGAATGACAGCAACTCAGTCATAAAATAGGCCATGAACTGACGAAGTGGATCCAGAATAGCATAATGCAAAGGAATCGACAACTTTCTCTACAGACCTCCAAACTTCACGTGGCCTTTAGAGTAGCTCAAGAACAGAAAGCTTCATGGAATGGGTTTCCATGATGAAATAGCTGCATCCAAGCCGTACATCACCTAGTGCAATGCAAAGCCTTGGATGCAGTGGTGTAAAGCACACCACCACTGGACTGTAGAGCGGTGGACATGCGTCCTGTGGAGTGATGAATCGTTCTTCCCCATCTGGTAATCTGATGAATGAGTTTGGATTTGGTGGTTGCCAGGAGAACGGTACTTGTCTGACTGCATTGTGCCAAGTGTAAAGTTTGGTGGAGGGTTGTATCTCAGGAGATGGGCCTGGCCCCTTTGTGCCAATGAAAGGAACTCTGAATGCTCCCAACTTTGTGGGAACACTTTGAAGTGTATTTGGAGAATAAACATACTCTTAAAACTTGAAGACAGCCTTCGCAGAAGAGTTAAAGCTGTTCTAGCTGCAAAGGGTGGCCCAACGTCATTTTAGACCCTATGGATTAAGAATGGGATGTCACTTAAACTCATGTGTGAGTTAAGGGAGGTGAGCGAATACTTTTGTTAATTTAGTGAATATGTCAGTATACATTATTATTTTTTGGAACTATACTTTTAACAGAAATTCCCAAACTTGTTGCTTTTTATTCAACACCTGGAGAATAAAAGCAACAGCTCGGTTGTAGCATTAATTTCTGGCACACATTTCTTTGGACTTTTTGTCCTCAGTCAGAAGAGGAAGCAGCTGCCTCCATGTCTCTCATCTATAAAAAGTTCTTCATGAGTCTGCTTGTTCATCCTGTGCCTGTGTGGGTTCTTCCCAGGTTCTTCCTCCCACAGTCCAGAAACATGATGTCAGGTGACTGAATGCACTGATTTGCCAATAGGCATGGGTGTGTGTGTATGCGTGTGTGTGAATGTGCGTGTGTAGCCCTGTGATGGACGAGCGACCAGTACAGGGTGAACCCTACCTCTGGTCAATAACTGCTGGTCAAACCACCTGCAAAAAAAGCCAATTGCAGGGATGCAGGGACAAAGGAGTGGATAAACAAATAGAGGGACAGATGGAGACCTACCACTGTTCCCTGTTGAAGGACACCAGCAGACGGATCCCTGGAGGAACAGGAGCCATGATGTGGAAAAAAAAAAGTGAGTTTCAGGTTAGAATTTGGTGAAATAAGTTCAGCATTCCAAGCGGCCTCAAACTCATCAAGATGAAGTTAGTCATCTTCCTCGTCACAGTAGACAGGCAGGGACAAGGACGCCTGGAGGACACATGGCTGACACCTGCAAGTGGAGGAGACAGAAGAGTGAATAGGTGGAAAAAATTAAAGAATCATGGAAATGAAATAAAGAAAGGAAAGATCTTAAACAAGAAAAAAGGTCTACAAAGGTGTCCATGCTGGGCGAGGGTAAAAATACTTTATATAAAATATACTGTAAAATGAAATGTAGATGACTGTATGCCACAAATCAAGTTTCATTGCTCTGATACAGGCTTACTCTTACTAATCAGCCTCTTAAAAAGTTGACTAACTTTTAGTTTATTATTGCTGAATTTGAAACGACAGTTGTCTTAAATCTTCTTTTTTATCTGTTAGAGATGTTTGCATTATTCTGTGGAATGCTGCATTTTGAACTGAGCAAAATGAACTCCCCAGTCCTTTCTTATATTCGCCTGAGGAAACTCATTCAGAGTGCAAATCAGATAAATGTTATTTTTTTTATTCTTGTCTTTATGCTTCTTTTTTTCTATTGCTGTCCTGGGAAACTGTCCAGTTAATCTCCAGTGTTCATCAAGTTTTCTGTTACTTTACCGCTGATATTCAGAAAATGACGGAAAGTCAATTCTCAGGAGTAATGAGTCATGGCTTCACTCTTGAAGTTCCGTGGTTACAGGCGCAAAAACAACCTGCAGGTGTTGCTGAGGTTTGAGTCAAAAAGCTTGAAGCCTTCATCGAAAAATTCAATCTTCAAATGAACCGTGTTGCTCTTCAGCTGCTTCTCTGGTCAAGCATCATGTTCGCTGCTCAAGGCTGCTGTGTGTTGAGCAGAAAGCCAAACATCCCTGCATAACCATCTTTAAAAATGACCGGATCTGTCATTAAATACAAATAGAGCTAGAGAGAGATATAGATTCAGGAAGAACATCTCTGCGTTATGGTTCAATCGATACTCAGGACAATGTTGTCTACCGTCGAGCTCTAGGTTCAAACAGCAGCTAGCTAAACCACATTAAAGCAGGACTAACTCCATCAGGACTCAGTATTCTTCCCAGGACAACTTTCAGCCCCAAACCACGTTTATTCTGCTCACCTTACCGTGTTCACCGCAGTCCCGGACTTTATCTGTACGAAACACAAGAGCCGCCAAGAGCCGCCACTTCCTAGAGCCGCCACTTCCTAGTTTGCTGAAAGCTGGCAACTGTCAACAGCCAGCCTTTTTTTCCCAAACTTTATTTACAAATGAAGAGTATACAATTACAATTAGTGCTGAGCTAACAAATCCACAGGACTCCACGAGAAATGAATAAATAAATGAATTACAGTTTATAACAGGTTATGAGTTGGTGCACTTTTTGAAAGAGTCCAAATCATATCTTACATAAGCTCCAAAAACAGTGAGGTTGGGTTTGTTTTTAGCTCATTTACAGGCATGTATGTGAAACTTGGCTAACAGAATAAAAAAGTGTATAATATATTCTTTCCCAGGCATACTATTATTGGAAATACCAAAGAAAACATGTTTAACATTCAAAGGAATAAATATATCACATTTCTGACTAAAAAAATATTGAAGACACACCAAAACGTTTTGCTGAAAGAGAATTCCCAAAAAAGGTGGGTTAATGTTTCTAGTTCAATGTGACAAAAGAAACAAAGAGGATCAATATTTGGAATATATTTATTCAGTCCTGAATTGACAGGGTAACTTGTTAAATTTTAAGAGACACTGCCTGTATTTCATGACACAAAAAACTTTCTTGGCAATAACCATGTTTGTTCCCAATCAATATCTGAATAAAAATTGTTCCAATAAAAGATTGAAGCAGGTTTGCTAATAGTACTCCTTTGGATTATTTCTCTAATAACTTTATTTCTGGTTTTAAAACAAAGAAACGGGTCTGAACGGGTCTCTGGAAGTCTGGGATACTGGATATGGGCTCCACCTGAGGTTGATATGAGAAATTTCAAACCTGCTGTAATAGCATTGAAAACAATAGCAAATTTTTTAGAGGTTACAGGGAAATTATATTCACAAAGAAATTCACCATAATTAATCAGTTGACCATCCCATTAAACAATTGTTTTACGATAGAATGTCATTAGACTTAGACTTCCTTTATTGTCATTGTACAAAAAAAAACACAAGGTGAATCTTGACAACGAAATGTCGTTACTTGGCTACCAGTGTAGCAGAGCTAAAACCTTATACTATCCACCCAGTTCTTAAGAAATAGGAATTTATGATTGAAGCAAATATTTTGGTTATTCCAAATAAAACAGTTATTAAGGGAAAAGTAATGTTTATAAATCAATGTCCAGGATAAAAGTAGTTGTTTATGGAAGCTAGATAAATTAACAGGGAGCTTTTCTGTTTTGTAGTTACATCTTAATAAAAAGTCTAGGCCACCCAAGGATTTAAAGACTTGTGTAGGAATCCAATGTCACATTGAATTAGGATTTTTTAAAATATCTTTGGATCCACCTAACTTTGAATGTAGAATGTAGGGTATTAAAATCCAGAACATTGAAGCCAGAACTTAGTCCTTTGATCATAACATTCTTCCGAATAAGATGGGGCTTTTTTCCAAATGAAATCAAAGAGTATTTGATCAATTTGTTGGGTCTATTACTAGCACTCTCACTGGACATTGATAAGGACACAGGGAGTCGGTTAAATTTTCTCATGGAATCTTCCAATTGAGCTCTGCCCAGAGACATCTTGTTATCTCTGTCTGTGGACCAGCACGTTCTAACGTGCTCCTCTGCAACTGCATATTTTATTACATTGAGGCGTAACTTAATTAAAAATCATTTGCATAGGAGTGGCAAACAGAATAGACAGCTAACACATTTCAGTCAATTGCAAGTCTCTATTCAGACATTGGTGTCATCCTGTATTTATGCAGCTGTTGTCCTCAAGCGTTGCTTATCAAGGCACTGTCTTTGCATCTCCTGAGGTTATAAAAACAGAGTTGTTTGTTGTCTCTCTGGACCATAAGACCTCAGCTCTAATATTCTTCTGGGTCATAAAACAAGAGTTTCTTGGGACTCTTAGTCTCTGATGTTTTGCTCCTGCTAGGTGTCAACTGCTTCTCCCTGGCTGGCATCTGTTGTCCATTTGTCCTCCTGTCAGGACAGTTGTGACTGCAGGCATCCTGCTCCTCCAGAAGCAAAAGAAACATGCATCCCGAAGCAAACAAAGATCTCTCAGCCCTTAAAGTCTCCTAGTCTTTAATATTTATATTTACCTAAAAACCTAACACAATTTTGGTACATAGGCTATTTGATACATTAAGAGCTGAACTGGTATAAAAAAGACGAAAAAGACCTTCAGTTTTGGCCAGCAGGACTCGACCAGTGATGGTCAAGTTTCTCTGTAATCTTTGTTGACAGGAGGGTAGAATTGGATCAAAGTTTTGATAATTCTTGCTGTTTGCTCTTTAACTATAGTTACTCAAGATATTTGATTTCAGACTTCACGAGAATTCCTGACAAAGATAATTGATTACAACTATTGGTTGGAAGAAGTTCACATCAAGAGGCACAATGCAGCTTGTTCTTCTACAGGGTGCCGGTGAAGTCGCTTCAGGAGAGGAAAGTGATTTACCAAACTTGATTTTGATTTATCCTGCGCTTGTAGGAGAAGTGCAAACTAAAGCATTTCCGCCAGTAGCTTCAGTTAATCTGTTCTGTTGTGGTTTCAAGCATTGATGATGGTTACTGTAACAATGTGCCACTAGATTTACATGCACCATCTTTGGTATCTAAAGCCGAACTCCAGAAAGGCTGATAATCTATCAAGCAGAGCAACACCTCCCATGAACTCAAGTGATTCAACAATGGCTGGCTTGAAAACCATTGTATGAGTTTTGGAGTGGATGGAAAACTGCTTCATGAGGAATAGAAATGAATGGAAGAGTGGAAGAGGGTGAATGAACTTCACAGTGAAGAAGGACAACAAACTGATTGGGATCTAGTATGATGGGTTGTGAATAGTGAACCTATTCATTTGTTGGCATTGAACCAGTGGAAAATGTTCTGCAATCCCCTGGAACACTTCATCAGTGAACAAGGCCTTAAATATATGCCTGGAGAGTTGTAACACCTGGTCTTTGAGTCTTCATCAACCCTGGCAGAGACATCAACGTATGGAACTTGACAGTATTTTCTCCATTTGTATTATTTGTTCTTCATGTTAGTCTTCACTGATTAATTTCTTACTGTATCCAGGGTAGTTGTCTGGACCTCAATTCCCATATCGCTCTGGGTTACACTTCGATCTTCATCAGTGAAAAAAATTCAATAAAGTATTTTTATCCGCAAAATCTTCAACTTTCAGCTTTATAATCTTTGAAACAGCATAGAAATACTGAGAAGCAGTAGACGTTAGTGGTTTGAAAAAAATTCTGTTTTATGAACATAAAACTATCAAAGGCCAAAAACACTTTATCTCAGTGAAATATGTCAAAAATGCACAAATGTGTAATTTTCAGCAAAATATTCAACTTTCAGCTTTATGATTTTTGAAACAAAAAATCTCTCGCTGGAAATAGGCACTAGCAGCCCTACCGACCCCTGGTGTAAGAAAATGGATGGATATGAAAAGAAATAGTCACAGGACTAAGAAACCAAAACTTATGCTTTCTCTTCTTATTTTCAAATAGGTCACCCTGACTTAAGAAAATGACGTGGGCAGCAGGTGATTCATATGATTGTTGACATGGCTGGTCTATGGGAGAGACATGGAGAAATGCTTCTGGCTCTTGATGGAACAATAGGAGGAGAAACAGGAACCAGATCAAGCACAGTCACAGTCTCTTAACGGTTCTGTGGTACATTTCACCAAATGGCAACAGACTTACACACTAAAGACAAAGTCTGCTCCAGAAGTGACAGATTGCATTAGAACATTTGTGCATCAGAAGGAATGATGTGACAACCACAAAAAGAATTTTGAGGCAAAGTTGTAAATGGCCACCCAAACACCTGGGATGAGTACGCAGATGCTGTGTTATTTAAAAAAAAGAAGCAAATAATTTTTGAGTCTGTATAATGTTTGAATATAGCAGTCTTCAGATTTTGTCAGTGAGGTTTGTATAAGACATAACGCCCTGTTGACATCAGCATGAGATTAAAAACTGTGCTATTCAAGTATTTTAAAGCCTGGGGAAGGATTGCTTCACAGAAAAATGGCACATGGTCAAGCGAGCACATAGCATCATTTGCCAGCAAATTTATGTTACAGGTTGTCCATGCTTCACAAAACTCCCGAGAGATACTGAATACAATAGAGGGAGTGCTCAAACAATTGCTACTCCATTTTTTTTGTGAAATTATTACCCATCATCAAAAGTGATTGTTAACATCATAACATGACATTAAGCATGTTGTACATGAATCTCCTGATGTAGAAATAGTGGAAGTAGAAGAGATTATGAAGTGTAGCACCTGATCTTTCTTATGTGAGCTTTTGTCTTTAGGACTTTCACACCAGGGACTGTGCTATAGAAAATTACTGTCGATCACAATATAATGTTTTCTGTTGGATTCACAAAAGTGATGTTCATTTCTTACAAGAGGACCACTGCAAAGTCTGCAAACTGAGCAGGAAGGGTTAACACACAAAATTGTTTTATATATATATTTTTTTCTCTGTCTTTAAATTCATAGCTTGGGAAACCTCAGCCCTTCGTTCCACGCTCTTCTTCGCAAAGACTGGGCTCTCAGCTAGTAAGAAGCAATTGTTTGCTCGAATGCAGAAAATCAATGTTATTGTTCACAACTTATTCTGTTTGCTGAATGAATTGGGTGAAAATTTTCCTGGTCAAATGTCTTAAAAATAATTTTGTTAAATATTTCCAGAAACATTTCTGTTTGCTTGAGTGATGTGCAACGTGCAGTTGCAGGAGGAACGCATGGAGGGAAAATGTTTTCTGCTGGTCATTAAAAAATGTATGTAGCAGAAGTCCGGGCATTTAACTAGTATAAATGTTTTACTTCTTTTGATAAAAATATACAATTTCTATGACTGTTTCAGGATGGTTGGAAAGCAGGATTTTGGAAAGAAACATGACAGATGGCCGAGAAGAGAAGATTAAAACAATTTCTAATATGTTGGAAGCAGTAATTGACTTTATGGTTCTTAGGAATCATATCTTAATTTGAAGAGTTTGTGAGGAGGAATGATGACAAACATTTTCAAACCAGCAGTATTTTTGTTTTTACTTATATCCAATAGAAAATGTACTATGAGAACACACAAAGAATCAATTGGTCCGTCAATTTAAATTTGGTCTACATTATTCCGATATTTACTTAATTTGATTTCACTTCCTGAAACCTTTAGTTTAACTGAAAGATAGAAGTGATCAATGATGCAATACTTAGAAACCAAAACACAGTTATACATTTATTTTTCACAGTGATAAGACTGTAAGTACATTTCCGTAAGCATCATCACAGTTCCAACATTCAATTTTTGAATAAGAAATGTTTGTTATTTGGCTGCAAATGTGCAGCCAAATGGCTGCAAATGTGCCTCAATTCAAAAAGTTTAATTATGTTTTCATGTCTTGAGTTTCACTTTTTTTTCCTGCTTTTCTTTTGTTCCCCACCAGGATGTTTTATCTGAGAAAGGGACAACCTTCAACCTTGTGTCAAAGTCCATTTGACTGTCTTCACTTTACACATCTGTCTCGTTGGCTGTTGTTAAGCTCTGTTCTTCACTTTGTTATCATCCTGTTTTACATCATCAGTCGCCATCTTGTTTTCTTCAGACTTGAAAGGTTGGCCACTTGTAAATATCTGAAAGTAGTTGCAGTGAGAAAATTAATGAGTAGCATAAGATCTAGAAACCTTCAGTTAACGCAGTTTGAATTCAGGCTAATGTCTATTTAAGTTTATAAACTTAAATAAAGTTAAACTTCTGTTTGTCACTACAGAAGTTGGAGATATTGTGTAATGTAGCTGATTCAGACCCTTAACCACCCAGACTTTGTTGTCTATAAAGATTAGTACAGATAGTTTTCAGATACAAATAATAAAAATGTGGCGTTCAGTTTCTGAGTTATTAGATCAGATCAAAGAAACATTTTCCTCTTGGTTTTAAATGTAATTTAACAACTGCAATCTGTCTTTAAGCGCTTTGTACTCTGAGTTCTCTGAGTCATCAGAGTAGAACTTGGATCCCTTCTGAAACTCTGTTAGCTTCAGCGCTGCACGTTTGGTCTCACTCTGATTTCTGCAGTGTCTCTTTTACCCTACAGAGTCCCAGTGAAAATCACTGCTAGTATTACTGACACAAGCACTACCTTGACACTATCTACATAAATAATTAATGTGAGTGCTCAATGGCTACTATAGAGCTACAAAAGCCTTGTGTTAGTAATTAAGCAGTGTCAACAACTTGCTCTCCTTGAAGTTTGAAAAATAAATTAAAGCTATTGCACAAATGAAATATACATTGTCTAAGACATCAGCAGGGTTTTCTTCAGTGTTGGACATTGATTTCATACAGCTGTGCAAAAGGAAGCACCAGCCCTTTTACTTACAATACTTTATAAGCTTAAAAATAAAGATAAAAACCAGCCCAAACATCAAGATTTTTTTACAAACAACACATGACACAAAATGCAGAATCAGTTGTGAGAAGATCTTGACTATTTTTCCATAGTTCAGGTGCAGATTTGCTGTTGTGTTCACAATCACTGACTGCATTTCCATTGCAAAAATACTGAAACCTTTGTCAATATTCCGCTAATGTTGAAAAAAACACAATTTCACTATTGCGATGTTTTCATTAAATAAAATATCCATTTAAAATCATGTGACTAAGTTTGTAAATGCATTTAAAAAATCATTAAAAAAACATGTCACGCCATTATTCTCCTTCCACTTCCTGTTGTCTTCTTTTGTGTTTTCCACTGGTAGTAACATCTAGTGCTGAACATGACTGCTGATGCCAAAAAAATGTGTTTCCATTGCAGTTTTGAAAAATACACAAATTTTGATACAGCCAAAGAACCATCTGTATGTAGTGCCGGGTTATGGGCAGGATACATATTTTAGTCCAGTGTGTCCTAAGCACATTCTTCTAGTTGTCCTGTTATTCCTGCTTATGCAACTTTTTCAAACCTAAATTATGGGAAACAAAGCAGTTTTCAGCCTCTTTCATTGTTCTCTCAAGAGCAGAACAATAAAACACTGACTGACTCTAGAGTCTGATATGGTTTTAACTAGACCAACATTCTCTCAGTATTACTCAGTCCTTTTAATTTTGCCAATTGTCTTTGATGTTTATCACTAAATATCAATTTTACATTGAAAGAGGACTGGAAAAGTTTGGAAATTCATTTCACTAACACTTTATTTGATGGGGTGTGCATAAAACTGACATTACACTGTTACACTAAAAGTTGCATTAAAAGTCCATTAAAAGTGTCAACTTAAAATGTCATTATTTACCAAATGACACTTTGTGACAATGGTCAGGAACACCAATAAAGACTTCATATTCCTGACAAGTCGTCAGTCTTCTGCACACTCCTTCAAATATTGATTGATCAGCAGCAACAAAGACCAATGATCCATTTCCTTTTTGCTGTTGTGTGTGAGAACCAGGAGCCGGTCAGCAAACTGAAAAAAAAAGCCTTTGCTTTCATAACACGTCTCATACTGACTTGGGATTGACTAATCGATGCTTTTGATTAACTGCATATGATAAGTTACTCTACTAAATTGTTTTGTCATTAATGTTGCTTGTGTATTTTATTCCCACAAAGCTTTTTTTTTTGCAATGTTGCTTTATTTTTCTGTTAAAATTAGATATGCAATGTGTTACTTTTACTGATTTGGCAGATTCGTCCTGCCAAAGTGTCAAGTACTAATATAAAAAGGTAGTATTTACTTCTTAACAATCTAAACTCAGTCAATGCTTTCATTAGACCACAGGCTACATGCATGGCAAAATCCAGCCGCACTATTATATGACCATTGCTGAAATTTCTCCTATTAATAATTGTAAAACTTCTTACATCATCGGGGACACTTTGTTACTACTTCCATCACTGATATCATGTCATGGAAATGAAGAAGTACCCTTTGACTTGCCGGGCCTTGGATGTGGAGGTGAGGCACAACAATGGATTAAAACCTCTTTGCTTAGAACAAGATGAAGTTATGCAAACCGACATGTAATGAAAACTGTTCTCTTGTTGCTATTGATTTGGGGACCTCAACAGGCAGTGCTAAGCTCCAGATTCAATCTCAGACAACCAGCCACTGACAGTTAAGATGGGAATCTTACCTGGGAAATGCTGGTTGGAACTTTAGGAGAAGGAAGTGATGACACTGGCTCGAAAAAGGAGAGATGAACTTTAAAGTAAGGGTGTCAATGGTTCATGTGAGATTGGAGAGGCTGCTAGGTGAAACATTTTATACAAATGTAGTAAAAATGTACGGACTGTTTGGGTAGATGTGGAAAAATTGGCAAACATAGAAGAATGGAAGATGTTAGATGGATGACTCCATCCGTCTAACATGAAGGAAGTGAAGGATGCAGGTACATACATGTTGACATAATTCCAAGTTAAGGTCCTCCCAATGAGGTGGAGTAAAATAATTTAGGAAAGAGTTTTGTTGGTTGGAAGAAACGCGAGAAGAAGGCTAAAAAGACATTCCATGGGTTAAGCCAGGGATTGATAAAGAAGATGGAAGTCCCTTGTTGTGTTCAAACAAAGACTAGTTGTGTCAGAAGGAGCAGGAGGCTTTTGAAATTGGAAGGCAGGAAGGTAAATAGGCAGAAAAAGGACAGAAAGAGCAGAGTTGTTAGGAGTACAGAACATCAATACCTGCAGGAGTGAGAACCAGGGCTTGCAGAATATCAGACAGAGAGACAATCCCTCTCACCACATCTTCTCCATCGACCAAAACTAGTCGATGGACCTGAAAGGAAAATATGAATCAATTTGGTCATAATATTTTCAGTCACAAGCACAAGTTAAATGTCCAAGCTGGCTTTCTGTTAGAAAAACATTTTTAACATTGTTAAAAATGAGCGGTTGAAAAAAAGAGCTTTTTTTTTCAACCGCTATTTACAGGACACCAGATTATCTTGCTTCTACTTCACTCAACCCTAACACCATCCTTCATCACTTCAACGCTCTGCAGCCACTACATCCATAATCCTTCTCTAAGGGTCGTTCTTTTTTCTTTTTCCCTGGCAGTTCTGTAGAACTCTGTCCATTTTTGGTCACTCCCAATGAAATACACAGGACCCAATGAAATACACAGGACCTCAAAGTGTAACTGGGGATGTTGGGAGTTGTTGTTTTTAAAATAAAGGAGCCGCTCCCTGTACATTATTCAGACAGATGGTTTTAGGGTCACTGAGCTCTATCGGTTCTCTTCATGAGAGAGCTCTCTCGTTGTGTTTCAAGTCTACCTGGCTGCCACAGGTGCAATGTGTTGGAGCTCGTCAGCCACCTCATAAAGAGCTTCATACCGGAGATGTCAGATCCCTTTTTCCCTGGGCCTTGATCTGAAGTGATCTCGTCTGTCTGGCGACTGATTGTCGGGACTTAAATCATTTAAGTTAAATGATTTTGAAGAATTAAGTGTCTAACTAAAGTAGTGTTTCTATTCTCAGTGGAAGCTGGTTCACTGCCATTTTGTTTCACTGTTTTTTCCTGTTTTGTGGTCAGGTTTTGTACTTTTTTTCAGTTCTCCTCTAGAAAGTGTTTTTCTTATTTTATAGTTGAAAGGGGGTGTTTTGTTTTGTGTTTTGGCCTTGGAGACCCTGAATCTTAAAGCTTCCCTTTGTTTTCTGCCTCCTGTGGTTGAGGTTTTACCTGAACAGTAAAATAAAGTGTCTTTTGCTACTGACATGACCTGTTTAGATCATTGATTTTTCTGTGCCAGAATTTACCCTTAGTGGTCTTTGGGAGGGGTTGTAACAGATGGAACAACTGCTTCACATAAACCAGATTTCTTTTGCATATTTATGACTCGAGGGAAGACTGGTTTAAAGTCATCTTGCAATCAGAATGTGTGATTCATTTAAGTTACATTCAGTAACTTAAATGAATGTAGATTTGAGAATTACCTCAGCTTTAGCTATGCGGTCGATGATGGTCTCCAGTGTTTCGTGTGGATAACATTTAAGGACTCCTTCAACCCAGCAAGATCTCGAAGCGAGGGCCTCTTTCATTGTCATGTTTAAATTGTTGTAATTTTTTTGAGCAGCAAGGTTCTTGAGGGGAGAAAAAAAATCACAAACCTAAGTTTCCCTTTGTATACAGAGACTGAATATATAAATTCACTTACAATGACATCAAATCTGGAGTACAGTGCCACAACTTTACCTGAAACGGATGTAGAAAAACATAAATGGAAAAAGTATTTGAAATTTTACTAACTGAAATATTTTAAATTATTAAACAATTATCAGAGAAAGATGTCACAATTATAGTAAAGACAGTCAAACAAGACATCATGATCTGGAAATCATGATGCTGTTGTGCAGCAAGTCTACATGACTTACTACTGTTAATTAAACTATGTATTTAGAATTCTAGCAGAAAATCCTTCAGCAGATTGTCCGCCCAACAGTGCATCAGCTCAAGCTCATTTGAACAATGATCCTAAGAACATGAACAGACAGATGGTCAAATGCAGTAAACACTCTGTTACTACATCTGTAAAACCTGTAAAAGTTTAACTTACGCTGAACTGAGAGGTTGTGGCTTGCTGGTTAATGCTGGAAAACCCTCAAATGTGAAGTAGCACTGATGTCTATTCACCAAATGTTAGAATTGTTTTGGTATACCTTGATCATTAATCACAGGAAGGGCTGACACTCTTCTTTCCACAAAAATAGCCAGAGCTTCATAGACAGAAGCAGATTCCTGGATTGTTGCAATCTCCCTAAAGGTACCAATCGGCACCTCATTGATCTGCTTCTGAAGAAACTTGGGTTTAGGAATCATGGATCCCTAGAAGAGTAGACTCATTAATTTGATGAAGCATGGGCATTTCTAGAGCACAGAGTGCAATCTGGAATTACAAACATGAGTCTTTCCTTACAAAGATGTGAAGGAATTTGAGGATCCGCTTGTGAGTCAGGATGTGAAGGACATTTCCAGAAGCTGGGTCAATAACTGGTAGCCGGTGGATCTTATTCTTTAACAGGAAGTAGATGGCATCAAACAAACTGAAGAGACAAAAATCATTTCTTTAGGCAAATACTGGTCATGAGGTGGCTTGGTTGAGGAGGTGAGGATGGACGCGGTAGACCCAGACTGATATGCGATAATGATGGTTTTAATGACAAACACGAAGAGAACAAAAATCCAGGCAGCACCAGTAAAAAATGAGGCTAAGAACTAAGACACTCTGGTAGCTCTGGGAGGACACAGGACTAATAACAAAGATTATGACAGCAGTGACAAAGACCCGAAGGGGAGCAGGTAACACAGGTGGGGCTGAACAATGAGGGAAACAAGAGGAATCTGGAGACGATCAAGGGGAAGACGAGACACAGGAACTTAATTAACAGAAAAACACATAGAAAAATCCATATCCTCACAGACTCACTATTTGCTCAAGCTGGCACTGTAACCCCTTCTCTTCTGACCAATAATCTCATTTGATATTTTTTTTTATTTCAACATTGTTAAATCTAAAGACTCTAAAGCAAGCTATTTGGGTTATATTAGACTTTTCTCAACTCCTCGTGTTTTGCCATCTTGATTGGGCCGGTCAGACCAACGTGCTCCTGTTTGGTGTTTCTAAGTCCAGACAATGCTACTGCCTGTATACATCTCATGTACTGTAAAGCTCCCATCGGTGTGCCATCTGTCTGCGTCAGCACCTTTCTACTAACTCTTGATATTAAGAGCAAACTTCAAAATGATTGAAAACAAAATTCTGTCAAATGCACAGTAAGAAAAAAAGCCAGACATTTGTTGAGGATCCTCATTATGCTTTTTCTTTGTTTGTTTTTTACAAATGATTTTATTAACAAACAAGCAAAAAAAAAAACAAAAACAAAAAACAAAAACAAACAAACAAAAAAACACTAGAATAAAATTAAGCCTTTGAGGCATTAACAAAAAATAATATTGTAGGAAGTTTTATGGTTTATTTGTGATATGTACCATAAAGTAATGGCTGAACGCTAGCTGTTAAATTCAGAAAAAATGGTTTAAGATTTTCAACGAAAATCTTAAAATCTCTTGTTTGGAAATCTCTTTAACAAATTTAAAAATGAGTATTGAATAATTTGAGTATAGAGCAGTCATATTCTGCTCACACCAGCACAGTCTGGTTTCTGTTCTATCTTCAGGATTATAAATAAAATTAAACATCTTTTACAAAATTCTCAATCCAAAAATGTTACCATGTGTTGCACTGTTGTATTTTGGCTTTCCTTCTAAATACTATGAGGCATTTTTAATAAGTTCAAATATACGTTGCAGTGAGGCATTATGCAAGTGTTATACAGACTTTTCATTAAGACCAGATTTCTCTATTAAAACATGTCTATAATTCATATTCTAATCCCAAATGTGATGTAATCAGAAAATACTCATAAGTATCAGAAACATCAGTCTTTGTGTAACTGAAGGATAAAATGTACTACACTTTATAAAGCGAGTTCCTGAAATGTTATTTGAAATGAATGAGCTGTATTTCAGATGGTTGCTATTTTAATTGTGTCCAGTAGATGTCAGTAAAAACTGACATCTACAAAACTATTTAATGCAAAACATTCATTTATTAAAGACAATATTATCATGGTGAAGTGAAGTTTTAAAACTTGTTTCTCTTTTACATTCAGTTCTTTGTAAAATTTGGGAAAATAGAATTTGAATAGTTGTGCAATGTAGAAATAAATACAAATAAACTAAGGCAAGAAATTAAAATAATAAGTGTGCCTTTACCTGGACTCAGGTTTGATGCTGATGAGTCTGTTGACTGAAAACTGCAGATAGATTTCTGTACCCAAAAAAACACAAAGAGAAGCAATTTTTAAACAAAAAAGAATCAGAATTTTGTGAGATTGTTCTTTTCAATCAATTTCACTCATTTTCTTTGGCTTCATAAAGACAATGCAATCAGTACAATGATTGCATTGTAAGTTCATAAGTTCCAGCTGTGATCCTATCAGTGCATTGGCCTAACGTCATCAGGCCCAACCCACAGTGCAGTTGGTTATTAAAAATATTTGATTTTGGTTATTAAAAATATCAGATTTTGTGGGACTCTGCAGTGTAGAGCTAAGCTTCTCTATACAGCTGCCTGTAAACGTCACTGTGCAACTGTTACTGAAGAGACATGCTCTTCAGTAACAGTTGCAAAAAATAAAACATTTTGTGTCTTTGTTAAAACACAAAATGAATTAGTTACTGTCTATTTAAACTTACATTTGGTCATAGGCTTCTGTAAATAATTTGCATGTAATAGCAATGGTTTTTTCTTAGCTTTAGTATGAATGTAAAGAAAAACACATCAATAAGAGATATCTAAAAGTTTCATAGTAGATCCATGAATGGATCTTGATATTGAGCAGAAGTTATAAACGAGCAGGGTTTTCTTTTCAGACCTCTCCATGTCTCTATTTTGTGTTCTTCCAGTTCGTAGATCTGAACCTGCAGCAGAACATGCATCCATTAGTCCTGCCACAGAGAAACTTTAGTCAGACTAAAAATCACTCAGTGGGAATGTAATTTTGAAGCTCACCAAGGGAGACTTGTAGTAACGATGAAGGATGTTAATAAAGTCTGTAATGGTTAGCATACCTGCACAGACAAACAGAATTTCTAAACTTACATGTTTCAAATGTTTGGATATTTGCATGATGAGGAAAAAAAAAATCACAGTGTGCATAAGTGGTACCTTTGCTTGTATTTAACTATTCAGTTACTGAGAACTTTTGCATCAGAATTTATTTTGATGTTGGCTACTACTGCCATGATCAGACATGTTTCCTCTAAGGTCAGAGGTTAAGGTAGAATAGGTATATTACATCTACCAAGGTGTGGTGCTCCCTTTTAGTCCTGTGCTGCTGGAATGTTGCTGTAACTTTTAACCTGTTTTGGCAGCTGCAAGTATTGAAAGCGTTAGAGCATAACAACTACAACAAAGTATTTGAAGCTCACACATTGACATAGAACTGTAGAACTGAAACACTGCTGCAAACAATAATCTTTTGTCAGAAGAAGAAACAGCTAACAGACACATGCAGCAGTATCGTATGATCCAGAATTAGAATTCTGGATCTGGAGTTGCTGTGATTAGTAAAGTGACTCCAGAGGTCAGATAAATTGGTATCTCCAATAGATGTAGAATGACTTCTGTTGGATGGCCCTGTAGTAGCTGAGAGAAGGAAACAGTGAAATAATCTAAGTGCAGCAGCACCTGAACTGAAGGTTTTTTCCATCTCTTAAATTAAGCTTCCTCTTGACTTCACATCCAGAATTTTCCTGTTTAATTTATTTGACTTTTCCATTGAAAGGTCAAAAAAGTATGTATGTAAAAAACATGTTAGTGTTAATGGTGATCATGAACCCAAGTGTCTCCTTAACCTGTTACTGCCTGGAAGCTTGGCATGCATTTTTAAAGCTGCTGGCATTTTAATTACAATAGTCATGATGAGGATGTGAGAATGTCCTCCTGTTTGTAATACAACACTGCTAACTGCTGACCCACTTTCCTTAAAAACATGTGAAACCAGTGAGCTTAAAAGGCTCACCTGTTTCACCGGAGGCTCTCTGGACCAACGAGCCGAAATTCTTTTCACAGTAATGATTCTATAAGCAAAAAATTCTTATGAATTATTGACTTTTTACTGCTATTATCCTTGAATCAAGTTTGCATAACAAACAGAATGAATCCAAGAGACTTCATTTTTGTATTATCAACTTTGTTCCACTAATATTTGTTCTTGTCCGGCTTCCATAAAGCACCAAACATGGAATCTGGACAAATTTCAGTGCAAAAAGGGGAAAAGTACCAGTGGGAGGCCAAACATCTTGTGATATCTGATGTCAGGCAGTAATGCATCAGCAACCGTTATCAAGAACCACGTGGGCAAGAGAATCACTATGGAAAATCTTTCTTAGCATTCCTATGCATTATATTCACCAAAACCACTAGAAAATTACAATGGAAAAATTTAAGCATTGATTTTTATGAATCATCACTGTGTGATGAGCATATAGGTCAGGTGGTCCAGAAAAAAATTGTAATCTAAATCCAAACTCCAGGCTGTGGGATCAGCTCCCTGGTAAAGTTCAGCATTAACATAGAAAACTGCAGCAGAGATCAAAGAACAAGATACTGCACACTTCCTTCAATGATGAGGCTTTTTCAGGGTATGTCCATTCTATTTTTAGCACTATAATAAAAACAATTCATTTGTGTACATTTTTAAAGCAGCAGTTCCCGACTCTATGTGATGAAGATTATCTCAGAAGTCAAATAATGATAATAGTTAAACATACTGCGTTGTAAGGGACGCAAGGAATTTAAAAAAACCTCGTTAGGAATAAAAAACGTAGCAGAGTTTACATTGTTATGGTTTGTTATGTCATTGGTTAAGACAGCAGTATGCATACTAAACCAATAATTGGGGTAATGTTTCCCTTCCATGGCTAGGAAGGGAAACATTCCAGCTGTGACCCTGTCAGTGCTTTGGCCTAACGTCATCAGGCCCAACCTGAATGTCAAAGACAGAGCAGAATAGAGCAGTGGATTAAAGTCATTCCACTTATGAAATGTCACCTCAAGCCGGGTAAAGGTTGATACAGGATTGTGGAACAATGGGGTTAGGGTCAGGGGTTAGGGTTTGGGTAGCGGATGTAGGAAAAGGGAAAGACACCAGCAAATGGTTCCGGTCACTTCTTCACACAGAGTGGACACGTCCCATTATCCTCCACTGGATGTCTGATCACAGAAATATGCTGATCGGCTGATTATGATGCAGTTTATAACATGCTGAAGGTTTTGAGGCAACAAGAATAACAATGACAGCAGCAAGAACTAAAATTGCTTGTAAAGCCATGCACTTCATAATGAGCTCACAACATCTGTAACGTTTTATTCTGTAACTGATGTAATAACCTGGATGGCAACTGATCTGCAGAGTGGAAAATATGAAGCTCGTGGATTTAGTGGTTGCTGGTTTCATCATTTTGAAGCTGCACTGATATTTCAGCAGAACTGGACAGAGAAGCAGCAGCTGTGAACCTCTGATCTCAGTGGAAACAGAGAGGCAGCAATAATTGCTGAGAGTAGGAGTTGATCAGAGCTTCATCATAGCTGAACAGCTGCAAAGGTTTGCTGAAAAGTCTGATGTGTCCACTTGGACTGAACCAGTTCAGGAATCATGAATAAATATTGAGATGTTCCTGTTCCCACCTACAAAACACTGCAGCTTGCTGTCCCACAGCGGTGCCGCCCGCACGCCGTTCGCCACCAAAGCAAAGAAAGCCTTCTTCACCTGAGTCAGACAAAAACTTGATTAATAAAATCCAAACCTATGAAAACAATTTGAGCTTTTGTTGCTGAAAAGTTTGCACCTGCAGCGTTGTATCAAAGATGACCAGTTTGGAGCTTCTAGGCATGGCGTCATAGCAACTGTGACTCTTCATGAAATTCATGTAAATGTTGGTGTCAGGAGCTGCTCCTGCAGGGGGCGCCATGGGGTATGTGGCATATGTACAGACACCTACAAAAAACACATAGTGACCTTGTAACAAAACTGAGAGCTTGTGTGAGGGTGATACATTCTTATGTGGGCTTTATAGAATGTAGGTGCATGTCAAGCTGCAGTGAGGTTTTAATGATCCCCATTGCCCATAATTTACAGAAATTCAAACTTCCTGAACAGCCACAGAGACATTCTGTCAGTGCAACATTAACTCTGTGTTACAAACTGTTTGGGTACAGAAGTGCAGCTGAGAGTGGAGCAGTTGATGCCCATAGACAATCATAATGCAGCAGAGATGTGACTGGAAGGAACCACCTCTCCCATCTGACCCCATGTAGTGCTTTGATGTTGGACTTCTGTGTAAGGCACAGATTGTCCAGGACAAACACCATGTTCAAGCACAAGGTGATTCGTAAATGAATCACCTTGTGCCCTTGGGCCAAAGGTCAATGACTGATTTTGTAGTTGTATCATCAGACCTGCAGCATTCTGTCCAGGACACTGAAGAGAGGAGCAGAGCTGTCCATTGGTCACCCCCTGACTGGGAGGTGGACTGTTCAGACATTTGATTAGGACACACAGAAACTGCACACTGACTCATGAGTGCTACAGTCAGCCTCAGTGGTGTCTGTTTGTCAGCAAGACAATTCATTAACCTTGTTCTTTTCATTTAGGAGATATTTTAGAACATTGCAAAACATACATTTTTTTGTACTGGATGGCAACTATCTTCAATCTTATATGAATTATATATTTTTATGCACAACTTAAAACATCATTTGAGTCCTTAAAGTTGCTCTATTAAGAGAGATCAAGCCAATTTAAAAGGCAAATCAACACCTTCTGGTTTTATTGTCTCTTTGAAATGGATTAGATACCTCTGCTCCTCAGCGAGAGAACATCTTCTTCCTCATACTCATCCATCTCAAACAAGGGGATCTGGAAGAGGGAACATATAGCATTTACATACTGTAGGCTTCTAGGAGAGTACACTTATATGGAGGAAAACTACTCTAATTGTTATGCCTCTCTTTGTTCGACCTTAGGAGTCACAGTTTCTCTGTTCACCTAGAAAAACTCACCACAACTCTTAGAAAATAGGAGATCAGAAGTCACTAAAAATAATGTTGCTGCCACTCTCCTTGAAACTGGTGATAGTTGCTGTGATAAACTGATTTTCTTATTATATGACTCATGAATCAACACTTAGTCATAATTATAAACCAGTATGTACTCAGATAAAACATAACATTTTAAGCTCAAAGTTCTTACTTCATACGCAACTGAAATACCGAATTACTGGAAGCTCAATGTTCTCTGTAACAGGCTGGGAAATGAGCCGACACATCCAGGGGAGTAAAATTACTCAAAATATAAAGGAAATCTTGAATTCTTCAACTTTTATCACAGTCATTCAGTGAATGATTGAAAAAACTGCCATGTTTCATTTGATAGAAGATAGATTTTGTATTGAGTTCCAGTAAGAATTGCATGAGGAATGAGGCAAAGAGATCAGAACACGTCTTTTATGTGACAGAAACAAACATGACTACATACAGACGATGCTATGATTAGCCACCCCACAGTGAAATATGCATACCAAATAAATGATTTTTATTGCCACAACAGGCTTATAAATCATCCCAATCCTGCTATAGAAGGAAAAAAATCCATCATTTCAAAATATTTAAAATAATATAAGAATCTGAAAAGTGTGGCATGTGTTTATGTCCGGGTCAGGGAGCATTGGATAACAGCCAGAGGAAATCCACAGCTAAGGTGGGAGAACTAGTTGTGCTGTTCACAATTCCAGCCTCAACTGAAACGCATCAAGAAGAAAGTCTTTGTGGAGAGAAAACTTTGGGATGTCAGTTTAGTAACAAACCGTGCAGGGTGGAAGGGCCTCTGACCAAACATGGAAAACTGTGTGTGGCAGACAACTTCTGTTTAAATCCAAAATATTTCTGGATAACTTCGCTGTCTCCGAAGGTGCTTAGAGAAGCTACAAAAATCTCCCGTGATATGGACCATGCACCAACATTAAAACCTTTTCATGTCTGCTGGTCATCAACTGGTCAGCTGGTTCCTACAGTTTGGCCTGAGTGTATTTATCTTCACATGTTGCACTTGAATTGACAAACTTTACTGATCATGCAGATAGAAGGTGAGGAAGGAGCATTTAGGACTGGACCTGTAATAGTAGCTGGCATGTTTTCCTTTACAGCTTCTCAGTTACAGAGCCGTGTCCAAACACAGATACTAACATTCACAGTCAAATCACCAAGGAGACTCACCTCTGCAAAGGAATCCATGGCCAGGAGGACTGGGAGGTCTGCCTCTGTGGAGACCAGAGCATCAGATTGCACAGCAGGCTGCACAGAGAGGCCAGAGAGGCCTGGCGACCATGTTAGACCATGAAGTGATGAAGATAAAGGTGTAAAGACAAGTTGAAGACAGCCAGGAGAAAGAACGGGAACAGTGGAACAGAGTTTGGTGAGGATCTCCTGTCCTCCGGACAGCTGGGTCTGAGTGCCCAGCTGTCCGGAGGACTGGGGGTCTAAATCTGGACTGAGGGGTGGAAGACCAGTGTCATTTACAGAGGGAGAGGGAGGGGAAGTAGGAGTGTGCAAGCAGGGGCTGACAGAGATTCTACATACTCATTTAATTGAAAATCAGAGAGGACATCATCTGTCAGTGGGAATAGCTTGCTTGTGTAAGCTAAACCACTGAAATGCATCTGAATGAACAGGATGTTGCTTTAAACAGAGAACTGGTGACAGAGGCTGGTGGATGGGTGGGTGGTCCTATGGTCCCATGAGGAACCATAGGAATCATAGCACAGAGATCTCACACACATAAACACACACGCACGCATACACACACACACACACACACACACACACACACACACACACACGTTTTGGGTTTGTTTGCCTAAATGGACAGAAGACCCTCATTGAGCTGGAGGTGTAATGTGTAGAATGTCTCCAGATACACAGCAGTTCTAAACAGAGACGTTTATTAAAAGGTCCTGATGCAGACAGAGAGACGATACCAAAACTAAAAGCTTAAATAGAATATTGTATTTTGTAAATACAAATAGTTTGATACAACTGTGATTTCTAAATGTAATATGAACATTTATGCATTATTAGAACCTGAGTTCTAAACCAAACAAAACCATAGGTTAATGAGCAATAAAATGTTTTATACATCTGATGTATGCACCTGGGGGTAAATTTACTGTGTGAAAATCTACTGGTCTCTTCCTGAGACGTGGCAGAGAAACGTCTCCTCCTGACGTTTCTCTGCCACGAGAGGAGATGGACTTTATCTGTAAACTGAAGCTCTGAAGCTTGTTGGACTGCTGAGGCTTTCGGTTTGAACTGCTGCGCTCATCAGCTGCTGCAGTTTGAGAACTGCAAATAGGATGTGAACCAAGAAAGTTATGGGTTCTTTGATCTAAACAAGTTAAGATGTGAGCATTAAAATCCTGCACAGCCTCTTAGAACTACTGCAGAAAACAATGGCATGACTGAGTTGGTGTTTAGTATGATTTACTTAAAAAAATGAATCCATTATAAATGCTGAACTGAGTTCACTGTAAACCAATTCCACAATAAAAGAAACAGAAACAGTTGCAGTGCAGCTTTAAGGCCCCTGCTGTGTGACACGTTCAGGTTACACTGAGCATTAACTATTTATAGCGGCACTGAGCTGCTGCAACAGAATCACTCATTCTCTGCACAGATAGCAGTTTATATTCAGCTTCAACTTTTTTCTCATATTTAGAAGTTTATTTTGTAGAATATCATCTGTCTCATTATGTTTGTAATACTAAATGAACTAAAGCAGGAACGGTCAGCCCAATTTATTGTTAGACAGCAAGAAGTAAAAAAGGTGATGTCTTTTTTTTTTTTACAGAGAAGGTAAATATCTGGTTTCATTTAAATGATACACTGCTCTTTGCAACAGATTTATGCTTTTTTTTTTAAAAAATTTTCATTAAAGCTATTTTAACTGCAACTATACTGACTATAAATTCCCAAGCTTACAGCCAAGCACATTATTTATCCTCTGGAAGATTTCAGTTTAAACCAGAAGAAACATGCAGAGTCTGATTGTGTCTTGGTGTCTTGCTCTGATTGATCTTCTATCTCTGCTTTAATCATATTTTCTGGTTGTTTTTGCTTCTTATAGATATAATTGTTCAAAAAGTTTGCTCATGTGGAAGAATCCCTCTTAATAGTACTATAAACAAGGATTGCTAATTTAATGGCATACAATAACCTCATGATCTATCAGAAGCAAAAATATTGTATATTTCCAAAGATCTATCATTTGTGAATTAACAATTCTTAATGTTTAGTAAATCCAGCAGCTTGTCTTCCTTCAGATGATGTCGCAAAACTAGTTCACAGGCTTGGTCAGTAAAATCTCTCCATTAACATCTTGTTCGTTAACCAAACAATTGGATTGGCGTTCCAGGCGAGAGGCGGGGTCGCCCCGGACGGGTCGACCCGTCCGGGGCGACCCCGCCTCTCGCCTGGAACGCAGCTGGAGATGGACACCAGCAACTCCCGACCCCGTTAGGGAGAAGGTGATCAGAAAATGGATGGATGGATATTATTGCATCTGTTTTTATAATGTATTATTTAGCATTGCCACCGTTCAGTGCCTCGTAAAGTTTTTGAGTATTATTAATAAAAAAACAATCTGTCAGATATGAAAAAAAACGGACCCCTTAACTCCATGTACAGAAATAGTTTTTCAATGGTTTTGTTGCAAAACTTTAATTTCTGAGTTGAATTAATCATTTTTCTTCCTCAACATTTCTTAAGTTCAAATTACAATTGAAATTTTTTTAAGGGAGTGTTCAAATCAAATATTTCTTTTAGTTTTATAATTCCAAATTCTAAATAAAACAGAATGTTTTGTTTCACTATAATATCTATTATGGTGAAATAGATATTTTTAAATAATTTGAAATAAATTATCCACATATTAGAATTGTATGACAAATAACTTTTATTTCCTCCATGTCAACCTGAGCATTTAAAACATCCTTGAACAAAGACTAGTGGATAAAAAGATCCAGAGGTGCATCTGTGAAAGCAAACAACAGAGAATGCCTCAGTATGGGGACACTGCTGTCACACAGAGGCTTAAGGCATTTCAGTAAACCAGCAGCAGCTTCTCCACAGACACCTGGAGATGGACATGTTTTCAATGGGATTTATTACACAAGTCAAACTTCACAATGTACCTGCTAGCAGTTTCTAACCAAGTCAAACGTTTACAAAAAAATAGCTGTTTCTATCATAAATATGCTCCGGCTTAAAACTTTTTATTCTATTTTATTCTGAAGAAGTCAGGAGGCCACACTTATTGAAACATGTGGTCCTGATCCCAGCCTGGGGAAAGCGCTGACCTTACCCATCAGATTTCAGCTAGCAGTTTCAAAATATTAATTAAGCAACAATTCACTCATGTTTCATCATCTTTCTCATGTTTCTGTAATGACACACAAGTCACAACTCTAAGGCATATGATTTTAGCATTCTGCTTCATAAAAACCTATTAAAATTGATGATGCTCTGTGCAGAAGGACCCCTGGTGGTCGTTATATGCATCTACACAACAACATCAAATATCCTAGTCTAATCGCTGCCAATTAGACTAGACTGATGTCAAACAGTAAACACTGTTCTACTGAAGAGAGCAGTGAAAACAGGAACATTAGTTTAGCAGCTGTGTATAAACAGGGTTAAAAACTTCTGGAAAATACTAAATATTCAATCAGCAGACACTGTTACAGAAACACTGAATGCCTTTCAGCTTTGTGCATCCTTGGTTTTGTGCCGCAGGAAGCCCACTTCTGTCTTTGGCATCAAAAAATCCCAACTGCCTCCCACAGCAGCTGGGTATGAACCTGAAATACTTGAACTACACCATTTACTTACTCTCATCACCATAACAGAGGTAGAACGTTAGTCCAACTGAAACTTGTTAAGGAGAAATACATGACGCTCAAACAAACTCAAGCAACTAGGAAACATGGGAGATGAAAACATAAAGTAACAGCTTCGGTTAGGCTTCAGCTGAGAGCAGCCCTTCAAAAAGCATTGAACACTTTGATTCTGCTGGGTCCTGCAGCCTGACTCCTGGAGAGGCAGTGAGGATCTGCACTGTACCAGCCTGGAGGAAAAGGTGTCAGCTGGTGTGATACATGCAGCAGCTCTGAGTTATCACAGTGAATTCTTGTTCTGAGCCGACAGATCTGCACAGAATCCTCTACTCGACCCACTGATTCTACACAGACCTCAACACAGCCTGATAAGCTTGTTTCCATCCCTATGTTCGACAAGCCTACTTAAATAAATCTTAAATTACATCCTATTCTGCTATCAAAGTTTCTCCATAGCCACAAACACCAGCACTGCAACAGAGTGAGACCATGGCAACCTGACAGGCCCAGGCGTGTCAGAGGTGAAGACAGAAGGGACACATCAGGACCTCTGGGTGTGTCCAGCTTTCAGGACAGGACCCAGTCAGAACATCCTTTCATCACCAGAGCAAACAGGGGCAGGGGCCACTCTTTGAGGTCCCCTGGAAAAATGTCCGAAAAAGAATTATGTAAAAGCTTCTCTGTACAACTTAGCAGAAGTTTCAAGATCGATTTTCTAAAGGTCACAAAAGCAGCTGCTGTTCATCCCTCTGATGGTCCAGTTAAAGTAAACCTGAACAGAGTCGCTCATGCTTTCTGCTCCAGAGACTTCTCCAGAGACTTTGGAGGACTCCACGGTACTCAGGTTCTGTGTCAGTTCTGGTACCACATATCATCAGAAGGAGGAAAAGTGCTGAGGCAGCAGGTTTGGAATGGGGGTGGGCTAAGGACTGGCACAGGCACTGCTGCTTGCACTGGACCCCGTACTCTGGGAGCTGTTCAGACTGGAGACAGACGACGACTCTGGGTCTGAACAGTCGTCATCAGCAGCCTTACAGTGGCTGACCACGACCCTGAAACACAACACACACATACAAAGAGACGCTGGTGTTAGGGAGGTCTGCAAGTCACACACCTGTGGGAAGGGATTAGGGGCACCAGAGAAAAAAAAAAATTCTGACTTTAATCTTCTGAGAACAAAAGTCAGAATTCTGAGATTCAGGTCAGCTTGTTTTCCACTCTGTGGCCCCAATCCACTTCTATAAACATAGGTTACATCACATAAATCAAACATGTTTCTAATTAATAATTGCTGGTTTTACAAAAAGCTTTTATTTCACAGGTATGTGTGAGTACCACTGTATGCAGGCACATTAATGTAAAATTGAGAGTACGGGAAAAGTGCAGCATCTCAAGGCTGCATGGATAACTGCAGCCTTGAGGTGCATCATGGTGCCTTTGTCCTCTATGAGACACTACAGGGTCACCATCAGACCTGTAGTGTCAATGTCAGAAACATGCTGGAACTGTTTCTACCAGTAAAGCAAATGATAAACTGCATGTCTAAAGTCGTAATGGTCAATCAGGAAGACAATAACTGAACTGAGCCAGTTTTATCTCCGAAAAGTTAAATGTCAGTGTTCTTATTTTGAAAATATTTTTGACAGCTTCATGGTACAGGAGTTGCATTGCTTGGATTGGCTTCCATGGCGCTGTGGCCGTTTACCTGGATCTGGATGGACTCACCACACCTGGCTTCTGGAGTTCCGTCCTCGACTTGTAGCTACACTTAGACCACTGCACACAAACAACCAGAAAAAGAGATGGACGTTTAACATCTGCAGCTCTCAGAGAGGTTTCTTCCCTCTTGGCTGCATGGATAACGGCAGTTTCTGTTTATCTCCTCTATTCTGATACTACAGCACTGCTTAAAAAAAAAAATCAAGAATTACTTCAGCCCCAGGCAGATTTTTATCTTTTCATTTAATGGTAACTTAACTTGAAGTAATATTAGTAACTTAAAGTGACTAAACCAGAATCCAGACTTGAATCTAATATGGAACTAACAGACAGAGTTGAGGTTTAGCTCCATCCATTAGGCCTTTCAACGTCAAAGCTCATCACCATCAATTCTTCAGATGTTATTTTTCATTACCCTGTCAGAAACAAACTGAATGTAAAATAATCTTAAATCTAAATGTCACAAGTATTAAGAATATTGGGCTTCACTAGCAGCCAAAACAAATTAGCGACACGCCTGTAGAAAACAGTTTCCTCTCCAGAAGCTTATAATTCTCTTATCTGATACCATATCTTTTGTGCTTAAACCAGCCTTTTGATAATAATAATAATAAAAAAAGGAAAAACAAACTGGTCTTCTTCCCTCAATAGCATCATCACATTTCTGATCAGGGCCTCTGTGTGAACAGCATGACTTCTCATGGGACTCTAATGAAGTTAGACGATGATAAATATGATGAGAAAAAAATTCAATCATCAAATAATTGTACCAAAAATCAAACTTTTGTAATCATGTTTTCATGTATGGCATTTTGGGGGTTTTACTAGATTTGCTTCTGGAATCGGGATGTTCATGAGTGAAATCGGTTTGTATGTGGTGTGTTGCTCCTGCCGTATGGCTGGACACACGAACCAATTGAACTTGTTGGATTTTTATTGGTTCGTGTCGTGTGTGGTCACAGAGGTTTAGAAAAAATGTCCGACAATCCTTAAATCATACCGTCTGAACCAGACCTAAAACTCACAAGGTTGACTCCTCTCATCTAGTCTCCATCACTGCTCTAAGGCTCTCTGACTCTGGTCTCTATAGTAACGTTTACATATCCCTTCAAAATAAGATACAGATGTGCCACAAAAACGAACATTTTACTTTTGTGAAAATTTTAACTCACAATAACGACTAATGTCCGTGACTTCCGGGTGCAAAACACAGATTTCTCCGTTCAGTGCCTCAGATAAATGATCTGCCGGTGCAGATAAAGGAGTTTTTTTTCTGATGGCTGAACTGATTTTATGTCAGATACAAAACATTTTAAATGGAAGCCCTGAGTTTGTTTCTCACATCTGGGAGAGATGGGAAACAATGACACCTGAAGTGCTGCATATCACAGGGTGCCTGGTTTCTACGTGGTGAAGCAGTTTAAAGGCTTCATTACCAGCTAAGGAGCTTCTCACCACATGAGCGGGGTCACTGCTCCCCAGATGGATTCCTTTCTGACAGAGAAGCCTCAGCAAACTGATGCCTACACACAAGACACAAAAAAATTTCAACAGGTTACGTCGCTGCCAAAAATATATATATTTTTTCCACAATGCTCACAGTGTTTGGGCCACTACTTTAAAAAAAATTCCAAGAAAGATTGCAGGTTTTCCCATGTAGCAAAACAGATGCAGTTCAAACAATTCTAATCGGATGTTTCTTCACCACATGGCACTAAGCTTCCTGCTGGAAAACAGAGCATATTTTGCCTGGGCTCTCACATTTGGTCCGGTCATTGCAGTGCTTCTGTTCCCACTGATCCAGCAGGATGTTGAGGTATCTGGGACACTCAAAGAAGTGAAGGTAGCGTGACGAAGACTGCGATGGGAAAATGCGCTCAAACTCTCCTCGTCGATTCAGTTCATCTTCGCTCTCGGCCAGCATGCGGACATCCTCAGAAGTCAAAATGTCCAACACTGACGATAGGAAGTCCTTTATGAGGCAGGAGGAGACAAACAAGTTAAAAAGTTATTTTTCTCTTTGTGAGGAGAGAAAATAGAAAAACTAGCAACATTGTGCATGTAGTTTCTTTCAAATGTCCTCTAATAAAAGCACTTATTGAAAGCAGATGATACTATTTTATCAGTAGACTCAACTGCTGTAACAGAGCTGTGTGCATTGTGTGCATGGCTTTGTTTACCTGGTCGGCATAGCGCTGTGTAAGATAAAAGGCTCGTTTTACTTTCTCATCAGCAGACAGATCAGATTTTCTCTTTTCTTTGTTCCCTCCATGCAAACTACAAAACAGAGGCACTAATTGTAATATTTTTCCTTAGAGTTGCATGAAAAAAAATAAAAGGTCACCGAGGCATCCCTTTTTTCATCCTGAACACAGAATCCCAGCAACAGAAATCAAGGTGTAAAAGTTCCTCCCTACCTGCTGGTGGAGCTGGAGGCACTGCTGCAGGAGGACACCACTTCTTCTCTCGGGGGAATCCTGAAGCCGGCCAGGTTCAGGAGGTCTCTGATCATCTGGCCTTTAATGGAAACGTCCAGGGCAGAGTTGGAGTGGAGGCTGGAGGACAGAGAGCAGAGCTACAGATGCGCTTCTACAGCCTTCCATCTGACAGCAGGTACAGCGGTCTGTGTGTCACCTGGGTGATATGTTGACCTCCAGGATCCAGGGTTTGAGGTTCTCGTCCAGCATGATGTCGAAGCCAAACAGCTCGTGGCAGCTGTGAGGTGTTTTCACGTACATCTTCAGCAGAGTATTCACATATGGCTCAGAACTGAGAAGCAAACACAGAAATAAGGAAATTTGTTTGCTTCTAGCATTGTTTCAGCTTTCCACACAAACACAGTTTATGAACAAGTCTGGGACAGTTACTGTGGCCAAAGTGATGTTAGAACAATGCTGTGTAGGACCTGGACTCCATTTCTAGTTCAAAGTGTAAAACTGTTTTACAGGTCGGAACTCACTGTCTGAGGTTCTTTAAAAACAGTTTTCAGACACAGTTGTGTTCAGAAAAAAAACAAAAACATATTTGGCTGATTCTTTATGAGCTTATTCATTCTTCTTCTTCTTCTTCTGAAACAAAAGATTTTATCATTCTCTGCATTCCTTGCGTTTATAAATCCTATGAAACATTCCAGAGCTGAATGTGTCATTAGACTTCGATAAGTGTGTTTGTGACAGAACACCAGGATCTGTAATGAAAGTTCTCAGTAAATGGAACTTACGCTATAATAGTTTTGATCACAATGTCTTTAATCTTCTCCCATATCAGGTTGGTGTTGATGCCTTTCGAGCCAAGGAAGTGCCACAGAGCCTTCAAAGCCCTGAAAAGACACAACAGAAAAATATTTCACTTTAATATTAACAAAACGGAAAAGAAGCTGTGTTTTATTGGCTGAACGTCACAGTAGGGCGACGGTAAATCAGGAAAACATGGAGCAGGGATCATGTTGCTAAATAATGCAATGACAATGTTTCAACACTGCTTCATCATTTCTGAGCTCTGGTATTTTGCAATTATTAAAATATTTATTGTGTGTGAGCGTCGAGGGCAGAGGCAGAGAGAATCCAGCCAACAGGACAAATATATAACTGAAATGCAGAATTTTTATGCATAACTTGCAAAAAAATAAAATAAATCCCACCAAATACTTCATTTAAGTATCCTCTGTGATAGTGAGGCTGCACTATAAGATTTGGTTCTTCCCCCAAACATTCCCCAAACTTCCTGAGTTACCATTTGTGTCCCTGGCAGGCCTTGTCATCGCTGTTTGCCTGGTACTCAGAGTTCTTCTTGTTCACGCTGTAGTTGGTCAGGTGCATGAACTTGTTGTTCAGAGTCTTCATGGAAGACGAATACCTGCAGAGAAATAGAACCTCTGCCTCAGCATGGATCAGTTCCAGTCCACATAACCCAACAGAATGTTGTTCATTCTCACTTGCAGCTGGCAAAGCGGACCAGTCCGTCAGAGAAGAGGTAAATTCGGAGCGGTTCGTAGGATGTCACATAGACGTAAATCCGCAAGTCAAACTTGTTCCCCCCAATGAGGTAGGGTTTGTGAAGGTACCTGCAGATAAGGAAGCAGAGGGAAATGTTTCCATACACATAGTGACAGTAAGTTTTGGTCAGATCTGTGCTGCTTACTTCTGCACCAGCAGTGGTCTCCTGCGGGGCAGCTGACTCCATTTGTGGATGACCTGGATCCCCATTCCTCTGGCTGACGCAGGCTGTGGGATAGAACAACAACATTAAGGAAAAATAATCTTTCATCTATAACAGACTCAGTGATGCATCAGATCTCTGATCAAATTTCCTGATTCACCAAACTGAAAACTGACAAAAATAAATAAATTATATTCTTTCATTTATTATTCTGGCATTTAGTAAAAAGGTATTATTTTGGTGATTTTGACTAAACTCAGGCAAAAGACATTTGGTCAGATTTAAGTTCAGTGAGGAACAAAACAAGCCTTTTTGTCTTTTTACTTGACGTGTGCGAACGTCTGGTTTTAACAGTGCAAGTCCTTCTTTACACAACATTTAGAAGTAGTTCACATAGTCATTCATTAAAACACAACATGTTCAGTTTCTTTCTGTTTGTTTCATGGTTTTTTTACCCAATTGATGTCATGTACTGCACCATGTACCTTGTACTCCAATGTAAAATAAATCTCTGATTGAAAAAAAAGAAAAAAAGTAGTTCACACAAAATCAGAAAGGTATAGAACGTACAGGTTTGATGATCCACTTCTTCTTGGAGCCACTATCTTCCCATGCCTTCCGCAGCAGTTTGATATCCTGAGGAAGGATGAACGTCTTTGGGAAGAAGTTAAACTCCTGCTTGCCAAAGCGATGCTGCATCTTGGACAGATTCCTCCAAAGTCTGTCCTTCCTACCAATCTGAAAGGTTCCTGGAAAGTGGTTCAGCTGCAAAAAATAAAAAAAGAACAGCCACACGTTCAATCTGGAGACTGCAGGGACATCGGCCGGAGTGAGGGTGTGCAGATACTCACCTTCTGGTGTTCGCCAATTGCCTTAAAGCCAGGAGATTTCATGTGGTGTCCCCAGCAGCCCAGCCAGCTGTTGCTCTCTGCATTAACAACATAATTCACTCACTCAGGGTGATCAAACAGATTCCCATTGCACTGTGTGTGATGACTCACTCTTGGTGGCTTTGAAGTGTGACCGAGCGATTGTGTGTTTGACGATGTTGGGGGTAACGGAGCTCATCTTCCATTTGAGTAGACGTCTCTGTTCGGCAGGCAGCAGCTCCACTGCAGAACACCAGACATGAGATCAGCTGGTAAAGAGCATCTCCTGGTTCTAAACTACAGAAGAGTCCCTCCTGACCTTTCTCATTGGCTGTGCTGAAGTAGAGAGTGGGGCGCATGAGGGGAAACAGGCTGGGGATGAGCGCCGGCCGCTCCTCTCGATCATCCTCAGCCTCCAACACCATTGGTTCTTCAATACTGACCAGAAGGGATGACAGGAAAAATAAGAAGAGTTGAACAGGTTGATGAATCACAGGTTTGGTCTGCTCTCCACAGAAAGACTAAAGAATCCAACCATAATTCCAAAAACGTTTGGATGTGATCGAATGCTAAGGTAATAAAAGGAAAAAATCCACTGACTTTGCAGGAATGCTGATGAACATTCACGACAGATTCACTCATCTGCCCTCACTCTCGCATGAACTTGAGACTTCCCGTTCTTAATATATTAAAAGAAAATAAATTAAAAAATACATCAATAATTATCTATATCAACTTATATTAAGATGTGTTTTTCAGCCATATTCTCCAGCCCTAGGGAGGGAAGCTGAGCTATCTAACTGAGAAGAGTGGAAGAAAATTTGATCAAAATCAACAGAAGCCATGAATGAAAATAAATTAAAATTTTCTTGTAATTGTAGATTTCCAGTGACCCACAGAGACAGCAGGGTAACTCGCATATCAGATTCGATATGTGCAGTCAAAGAAAACAAACAGCACACTGGACAGCATTATTCAACCTTATAAATATAGATTTGTCAACGGGATCCAAACAGTAGAGCTTGTAATTAACACAGCAAACCACAAGCTGAGCAGATTAAAAAGTAATGCAGCCAAAGGCGAACTCAGTGACATTTAACTAACACCATGCGGCATCAGGTCACAGACTCATTTTGTAACACAAGGTGCTCTACATGTGCGTAACATGATGCCAGGTAGGATTAAGTGGCAGAGGCCTTTACACACAAAGAACAGCGATTCTGATCTGACTGTTCTACAGTCATTTAACGGAGGATTAATAACGGCTAAACTTCATTTCTTTAAGAACAACAACAGTTCATACATACTTACATGACAGTCATATAGAAGATGAGATGAGATTTCCAGATTCAGCTAAACTTCTGACAGGTTACTTTGGACTTACAGATAGGTTTCTAACTATGTGGAATATAAACAAGTGGAGCTCTCAGGTGGAGATGTGGGGAGTTCAGGGTGTCAGTGAGCTGAGTGAATGAGCTGAGGAACAAACCAGTTGGAGAAGGAAACAATAGTGCTCCTGATCTGGGTTGTTTTAGCAGAGAATCAGCTGTCCAGAGACAATACAGCAGAGCTTTCCACCATCATCTGCTGCTTTCAGCCTGTCCAACAACAAACTGAGAGGACAACAGGGAGACCAGATCAGCTGGGCAGATGTTTGATTGAGGCCAGAAGGACCAATCAGGAAGGGAGTCTGAGTTACAGCTTTCTTTCTAAGTAAAGACAAAAGGAAGATGTAGAATATTTTGTTTCTGAAAAAAAAAAAAAAAAAAAAAAAAAAAAAAACATTTGTGAGCACATATGGATTTGGATTTATTATCAAGGATCCGTACCTTAAACTTTTTCAGATGTTTGTTACATTACAAGCAAAGAATTATATAAATAATAATAAAACATAGTTATGTCTTTCATCGTTCGTAAGTGGTTCACTTTCAGATCTCCTTATATTCATCAACTCTGACCAGATTACCTATTCAGCTAAAGAAAAGTGTCACCGTGGGGACGATGTGTTCAGAGTAAAATTCAGTGTTGTTATTTTTAAAAGCACAGTGTTTTACTTTCAGGCCTAAAAGCTCTGCTTGGGCTCATCTGAGCAACGTAAACAACTAACAGGACTTTTTATTGTTGTCTTGTTCCACTTCCAGTAAGGCCAGACTTGTGGCATGCATGACCAAACATTTTCCAGTCTTCAGACTCTTTAAAAACCTAACCTTAATCTTGCTTCAGGCTTCTACACATCGTTCTGCCTGACCTGTCTGCTGGGGTTCTTGGTTGTCATGACGCTATTTGCTCTCTAAAAGGCCCCTGCATACTTCATCTGATGCCAAACAGCTGTCTGCTGGTGGTTTTGTATTTGCACACACCTTTCTTAAAATGGAGCAGACCAATAGGGCTCTTCCTCCATCTGCATACGTCTCGCCTCTACCAGCATTGCAGAGGCAGGGAGCCTCCTACAGTAACGACGACGTTACTGTATCCATCCAGGACTTATTAACCATTCACCAGTTATTTAATGAAGAATCTTAAAAATGTACATAATTCTTCATCGCATAAGACAAATAGGCCTATCACGATAACAAATTTTGCAGAGTGATTGTCTCAAAAATTATTGCGATAAACGATAATATTGTTTGAAGACCTTTTCACACTGATTTAAGTGTGGACAATCTTAGAACGTTGGCCGTTCTAAGATTATTGAAATGAGGTCAATAGTTTTAATGTTTTTTAATTTATTGTGCCATTAATTGATTTATTGTTTATCGTGACAGGCCAAAAGATAAATGTTCCTCAAAAGTATCCATGCCTCCAGTGAATCTTAGAACGTAGGCTGTTCTAAGATTGTGGCTTGCGATTTCGTTACCGATCATCCTGTAGTGTGTGGTATGTCATGGTAGATCATCGAAATTGCTACCGCAGTTGATAAACCCAGTGATTTTTCGGCTGTTTTTCATTAACGTGACATAAATACGTTAATGATTTTCATTCAGTCAGGAATTTACGCTGATGCTAGCCACATGCATTGCAGATAGATTGTAGTAAAACATTGATTAATGCCTGGGTTTAAAATGAGTTAACTGGACTTGTAGCCATTATTTTGTGCCCATTGTTGGACACTTCATGGCACGAACCCAATCGAACGGTTACACCTAGGATTTCTGTCAGCTAATGTGTGGTCTCTCAGGTTTTGAAAACCTGACAATGGACCGACAATCGGTGACGTTTAGTGTGTGCTGGGAATTACACTAAGGAAATGAGAAAGGGAGGATCAGTGGAGAGCACGGGAGTTGAGCCTTTTTTCATTTTTTTCCATCTAAAAATGGCCGGAAGAAACGATAACACCGATAATTGAAATGAGGTCAATAGTTTTAATTTATTGTGCAATTAATGGATTTATTGTTTATCATGACAGGCCTAAAAGATAAATGTTCCTCAAAGGTATCCATGCCTCCTGCGAATCCAGAAACCAGATAGTGGAAGTCGACTACTTGAAGAGAAATATCAACATTGCTATCTGAGCGCATAAAGAACAGCAACAAACTTCTGACCAAGCAGACAATCCTTCATACAGAGCTCTGTAGAAATAGAGTAACCAGGGTCTGGAGTCAAGTTTGCAATTTTCATCATGCATCTGCATCAATGAGAACCAGTTTTAGTACTTTAAATGAGGTATGTTGGGGTCATCAGGGTCTAACACAACTGTTGAGAGCATGGTGTCAGTTAAATGTTGGTTTAGGTTGGGAATATACTACTTATCGTTAGGGTTAAAGTTAGGAGTAGGGCCTTAAAGCAATAGCCTTCGGTGTATTATAAGCCTGGCGATCCACCAGTCTTTACTTGTGCCCCCACCAGGCTAAGCATTGATTATTTATTTAATTTTTTTTTTAATGTATGCATTTTTAAGTCTTCATAGTTGGTGTTCAGGTATTAATCTTCAAAGCCACATAATTATCAAATGATATTTTCAAGTTTCTTGTCAATTTTAAACATTTTTAAATCAAAAACATGGTGGCCTGCTGGATGAAGTTCTCGACCACCAGGAACCAGCAAGTTTTCTGCGGGAAAACTTGGTCTTTACAAAGCACTCAGATTAAGAGAAGTACTACGATGAGTGTGTGTGTGGGTGAGTGTGTGTGTTACCTTGAGATGCAAGGAATTGATGCATCAGAAGAAGAAGAACGAATGATGGAATAACATTCTGAATCATCTGAAAATGGAAACAGAGAGAATTATTATGTTTCATCTCCATATTCTCCAGAGTTCCAGTTGAATAGAAAATCTGGATTTACCATCGGTGTTTTACATTTCAACACGCTGCCCAGCATCTGGCTCTGTCTTCCCTGTAAAGTTTATGTATGTGTTCCTGGTTGGTACACGTACATAAACGTGTTCATCATGCAGGTTCAGCCCACGGAGGAGCTCTCATGCTGACCTTGTAGTCAGGCATCATGCTGGTTTTATATCATTTTATTATTATTTTTAGCATTATTTTTCCGGTTACCAAATGCTTTGTCTCCTTAGTCAGCCAGAGTCAGTGCACATGGCTGCGTCGTTTCTGTGATGCTCATTAAAAACTCAAGAGTTTTTAATGGAAGAGCTACTAAAGCCATATTAGCAGCATTGAATTAAATTTCCAGTTTGTTGCGCATTTCTGCGCAGTGCAGTGGACTTAACTCATTATGTAAATAATTGATATTCATTTTAGTTGTATTTTTTGATTTGTTGTTTTAGGACTCTATAGTTGTGGGTTTCAATAGTGTTTCACTGGAGATGTTTTCTCATAACATATAATTACCCAGTAATATTTTTGCATTTCCATCTTTTAAAACAAAAAACATGGTGGACTGCCTCGCCACCCCGGCAACCGGGCTGTTTTCTGGGAGAAACCCTGCTTAACTGTCTAAATAATAAATCAGGTAATAAAATATACTTTTAATGAACTCACCATCATCACTGAAGGCATTTTCCAACTCATCTGGAAGCTCCTCCTCCATTCCATCCACCTGCATCACACTCTCTAAGCTGGAAAACAAGGTGAGAATGAGACATTCCAAGTTAAGTGGATAAATAAATAAACAAATAAAGGTGAGTTAATGATTAAAACCATTAACTCACCTCATCAGCTGCTCCTCTGTCACTGATGAGGATGAGTACAGGGACCGAATTGAAGTGGAGGAAGACTGTCCTTCCTTGGTGAGGTGAATGGCTGAAATCTGATTGGTCACTGAGCCCACCAAAGCTCCAGCAAGACATGGAGCCACACCTTCACCAGCATGGAGCCCTGTGGGCTGCAGACGCTGACCGCCACACTGCACAGCTGGCACATTGCTGCAGGGAGATGAATCCAGTCCTTTGCATGTAGGTAGCCGGGGCAATGTTGCACTGTGGGATTTGCGGTTTGCAGCTGCAACCAGAACACCTGCAGGACCAAATTTAACAAGCCGCTGAATCCTTGAAGGCGAACGTGTTGCCCGGCCATTTTGAGTCTTAGTGTGTTTTGTTGGCATCTTAGCTGAATGGCCCCTTTTTGGAGCACTCAGCTGCCACTTTGTGCTTCTCGTTTCCTGCTTTGTGCTGCTGTGGCCAGAGGGATTCTTCCATAACTTTGTTCCCTGATGTTTGGACACCTTCAAGCACAGGTGAGGCACTGGTGGTGAAGAGGAACAGTCTATAGTCTTAGGCTGAGGGATAAAACAGAAAAAGTATCACCAGATGAACGCAGTCACAAAACATGTGACATGAAAGTATTTATACTGCTAAAACTTTTTGTATTTCATTGAGATTTTAGAAGATAGATTTGAATAGAATCTAAGTGTGTGGGATTAAATCTCAGTGCAAGTGCCTTTGAAGATCCCACAGGACCACATTTTTTATTAAAAAAAGAAAGAAAACTAAAGAGTCTTTCTTGCATAAAATCCAAAATAAAAATAGATAAATTGATATTTCTAACATGATAAAATATGAAAATGTCTTACTACCGTACTAACTGAATTTTTGGAGTTGTATCCACTAATGTTTCAATGCTTGTTATTCATTTCCTGGATAATAGACCTGTGCAGCCATGGAAGACAGTCTGCATAGATTCCTGAGTGATAAAGTGGATGTAATCTCCGGTTGTGTTGCCACCATAAAACTGTTGCTCTGTTGGTTGGATAGCGCAGGATAAGCAGTGATAATGGAGAACAGGAACACCACTAATCATTTTTCAGCCAGAGGAGAAGGAAGCACTTCTGGCCCCTGTTGTATATTTTCTGTATACCTGCTGTATATCTGCTGCTCTGACCTCAGTGCAGGAGATGAACCCACTCACCATCAGCTTGGTGCTTCGTGGCACAGTGGCATGTCCTTTGATGAACAGGTCTCCATGACAACCTGGTGAAGACTCTAGTGGGACATGGTCAGTGGAATCCTGACTACATACCAATGCGGCTCCGTCTCCAGACTGAAGGGTCTGGGCTGGTAAACAGCCCTCAGTGACTCCCCGCAGCTGGACCTCCCGCGCCATGATGCTGCCGTTAGGTCGATTCGGTTCTGACGCTGCCAGGTTCTTATTTGGTCTCTGAATCCGGATCAGGTGTTCTGGCTGCTTCACTGACTTCTCTGATCCAAGGTGGTGACTCCTGGTGTTTGAACTGCTTCCACTGCCTTTCTCCCACACAGGACACACAGATGACATCATGGATGAAGCACCGGTAGATGGCAGGTGTTTGTAGAGGCTGGTAGCCTTGGGGAGCTCCGGCGGAGTGTGCCTGAAAGACGATTTAAAGGTTGCACCTGAAACCAAAGCAGCAGTGGGAGCACTATGCGTGCTGGAGCATGCCCTGAGATTCCCTCCGCCCCACGGCGATGACTGGTTGGTGGGCATGGCGGCGTGTTGCAAAACGCCTCCAGATGTTGTAGGTGCCGTCAGAAGTACAGGTTGATGCTGAGTTTTCTTCAGCTGAAAGAACTTGGTAACGTCAGCTCCAACAAGTTCTTGATGAATCCTCACTGACGGCACTCATCACTGGCACCAAAATTTCACCCAGGATTCAGGGCAATATCTGAGCTCTCACGCAGGCTGAATCGAGACAAATCTTCTCAAATCCTGTCAGGAGTGTTAGACTGCAAACTAGAATGTTGTGCGGGGTGTCAATAGTTGACCGGTGAGTTTATAGAAGCCAGGGAGGCACTTAGCTGTACAGCTTCTGCCCTGAAACAATACAAAGGATAAGAAAGTAGTATGACATGATGCAGATGAAATGGCCACAAAGTGAACTATGAATAGATAACTTTCACTGCAAAACACATAGAAACTACTGAATAGAGTTGGACAGAGGATCTGAGCTCTAATGGCCATTGTTTAACAACCTACAGCGATAAACTGTGTAATTAGCCTCTTTTCTTCAAATTGTGGCGAAGAGAAGTAAGAATTATTATAGCGTCTTCCTCTGCCTCCTCAATAATCTGTATATTCTCCAATGTAGAGGGATCTTTGCTTTTAGTTAACCATCCTTCTGATTTTTATCTCCAAACTGCTCCTGTGATTTCCTCACCACTACTCATGTAACTCTTTATCCTCCTCGACAGAAATTCTTACATCTTCAGCTCTACTTTCTTTATTTTACCACCAACTCCAAAATATGTCGTGTACCTTCCCTTTCCCCTTGTAGTACGCGTCCTAACACAGAGACCACCCTAGAGCTCGTCTGCCTCTCCACTACCCGTTGTTGCAGATGGTTGAGCCCGGGTCCTGTCCATCTACCATGTTCAGACCTCTCGCTTGTCTCTCAGCTGTCACCGACTCGTGTCGAGGGAGGGATCGCTCTCACGTGCGTCCTCATCGCTAGTTTCAAATGAGTTAGTAAACAACACTTCCCACGTTGAAATAACACAAGCCCACGTCTCTTAATAAAATAAACTAAGACGACTCCAACCACCGAGTCATTATCGGCTGACAGAGCAGCTTCGATATCTGGGTGTGTTTACCGCTTCGCCGGGAAGTTAGCTTAGCAACAATTTAACGCAGAGACGAGATATTCCAATTATTGCTCGGTTTCTCAAAAATATAAAACAACAGCATTTCAAGTGGTTAACAAAATATCTTCCTTACCGACTTTATGTCCAGCGGTGTTTCCCAGCATTTTGGTTCGTTTCTTTGGATGGAGGTAACTAGCTGGAGTTTGCTTAACAACATAAAAGAGCTGTGAATGCAGCACCGCAGATAAAGATCGTTTGTGCTTAAAAAAAAAACACCCGCTCCTTCGTCGTTCTGAAATATTACAATACTGCCACCCACTGGTAAAGAGTGGTAATTTGAAATCCTAAATAAAATCCGTCTTGTGGTGAAATTCTTAGATTTCACCATTAGATGGCATTGCTGCATACGAACATTCCTCATTTTAACGTTCCTGATTTTTTTCTTGCTCTTTCTTTTTATCTCACTATCTTATTTTTTAAATCTACCCTCTCGTTCCTCTTGTACCCACGTGTCATTCCCCAAATCTCTGTTTAACTTTCTCATATATTTAGATTTCTTTAGTTCTAGTCACTATTTTATGAACTTTTTACGTTCCTTTCACGGAGATGTATGTCCTGTTTGTTCTCTTCTTTCCTTCCATTGTGTGTGTTTTTCACTCCTTGATTATTTTCCTTTTCCTCTGTCTCTATAGTTTACTGATAAACCAAGAACACTTGGTTTATTTTTCTCATTCCATCATTTAATCACAGTGTTTGCTTTGCTATGTCTTCCAAACATGGAAGCCATTCCTTACACATAACAACATCTGGAAAATGAAGTGTGACGACTTTCAGTTTTGACACACTGTAGTTTACTAATGTTATTTTCTGAAAAACTAGTAATTATTTGTCCTTGTGTGTTTCCGTCTGCCAGCCTCTGCTGCTAAGCCTCTGTCAGTCCCCATTCTGTGATGTCACAGGCCATATATGGGTATGAATAGATATTTTTATTGTATTTATTTTATGCATCTTGTTTATTATTTTACTGAGAATAAACCATACCATTTTTCAGGTATCAATCTATCACCAACTGAGATCCAAATCTTTAATACACCTGATAGAAGGAACCTGATTATTCTGTTTTATCTTCAAATTATTAATAGTACTGATACTTAGCATCATTTTAATCCTTTGTACTCCTTGGTTATTGTTATTTCTTTCACGGTTAAATAATTTTCTTCATTTCTTTATGTTGGCCTTTCTCATTACTTGCACTAATTGTCAAACTTTCAGTAAATTAATTTTATTTTTCTCCCTCAAACCTTGTTTCATTGTCCATCTTCACCCATCTCCCCTTCCTCCCTATCTTTCCTGTATTTGCACATCTTCATGTCACTTGGGTTACTTAACTCATGTTTTAACCTATTTTCCAGCCCTCTGTCTAACCCTTCCTCCTCTTTTCTATTCCTCCCTCCCTCTGACTTTTTCATCGTGTTATCTCATCATTCCTCCTTCCCATCTTTGTCGCATGTCAAACCTCACAGACAGAGGAGAGAAGCGTGTGTATGTGTGTGTGTGTTTGAAAGAGAGGGACAGAGCGAGAGAGCTAAATAGAGCAGGAAACGGTAGACAAACTAACTGTGAGCAGTAGAGGTAGCTGTGGACAACCTGCAGGACGACAACTCTCCTTTGTAAAAGTCAAGGACTTTCTGACTTCTTCTGAACCAGCTCTGATCCTGAAGCTTCTCCGAGTTCAAAGTAACATCAGGAGGGACAGAACCAGTGGACCAAACCAAAAAGGTTTTCATTTGGACATTTGCAAACAATCTGGGATTTTTTTTCTTTTAAACAACAAGAACAAAACAGCGCTGAAGGAGAAAAGAGGAACAAATCTTTGGTTGTCTTTGGTTCCAAACCAAAGACAACAACTGGGAGAAGAAATCTGGTCACATACTACAAAACATTTTTTTCAAGAATGAATAAAAGCTAAGAATAGAAGGCTTAAACGAAGCCACAGCAGGAGAAGGACAATTACTGCCACCCAATCATGCTGCTGGATATTTGTCCTTCAGATCAGATCTGATGAAATAAAAGCAAAAATAAAACTAGACAGAAGCAAAATCCAATTCCATTTCTCATTTGAGATTTTCTTTATAAAAATACAAGAAGAAAATACAAGAACAGAATTCACAAGCTGAAGGAACAGAACGTGAAAAGAGTTTCTCTTCTTGCTTAACCAAGAGAAGATTCCTCAAGCGAAGACAATTCCTCTGGGACTGTAAGGCTTAAGAAGAAATAGTAAAAAATGCAGAAATGACAGAAGCAAAACATTAGTGGAAGAAATAAAGCAAAATAAAGAAGAAAACCCATTAAGGATAAATCAGAAACATTTCAGCCTGATCATGCAGCTCCTCACGTTCCTTGCTGCTCTCTCCTCCATCCTCCGCCCTGCTCCCTCTCTGGCTCCTGCGGCCAGCGTGGCCCTCAGCCGGCTGGACCGCTGGGTCCGCTCAGGGCTCCAGGTGCTGCAGTGGGACCAGCTGGAGCGCTGCCTCCGCATGTCCTCCATGTCTGAGGCAGACTGCAGACGGCTCAGCCACCTGCCGCTGTCTTCTGTGGCCGTGTACATGTCGGAGCAGCACAGCGTTGCAGGTAGGAACAGATGGAAGCGCCGCACTGTACCAAACAGCTGCCATCATTCAAACAGCTGCTCACTTTTACAGCATTCTGCAGAGTGATCCAAAGGATCACTGATGTGTATTTATTGCCATTATGGTAAACTAGATATTAGTTTTGAAAGTTTATTGTCAATCTGAGAAGCTGACTGTTTGACAGTAGTTCTATCTGTTTTTTTTTTCATTTATGTCAATTGTTTTCTTTTTTGCGTTTCTAAAAAAAAAAAAACTTTTAAAAAATGTGTAAGACTGTCATGATAAAAACTACATTAATGTTAAGAGAAAAGATATTTGGACAACAAAATAATTAAAAGACAAAATTTTTGTCTTTCATCCTAATTTGATTTTTTAACACAATGTTAAAATTTTTACACATACTGGTAATATATTTTATCATCTTAAGAACATCACCAACTTTTACTGTTTTTCTTCCAGTCCAGTGTAGAGATAGTAGTATGTGTTTTTTACAACATGTTGAACTTACTATAGTTCACTATTCGAATTCTGGTCTGTCAGAGGAGAGTGAGGCAATACAGTGCTTTAGAGCTGATTGTGAGAGACTTTTATAGGTTTGTATTTGTATTCATGGTCCCAGTTCAGCCCTCCAGACCCAGAAAACAGGGAGCTTCTACTTTCTACTGCCAGATTTATTCATTTGACCTGAGTCCTATTTTGGAAAGCTATACTCCTTTTATTTTAAAGCAGCAAGTGTAGGAGCTGTCTGGACCATGGACATGTACCAGGACCAGGACCGGAGCTGCTTACTCCTATGAGATAATAACAGATGCATTAAGAATTCAAATACATATATTCATATCATATTTATTTAATCTTTGTGGATGGTGGCCACGTCATGCACAGTGAACCTCAGTCTGATTCGTCTGCTGCATTTAAAGATCAGATGTAATGGACTTGTTTTGTATTTGTCTTTTCTCCTCAAAGTTCTTCCACATATTTAACTGATCCTCACGACTGACTCCTATTCAAAAAGTCAGAGAACTCAGTGGCAACATTCTGCTCTTCCAGATCCCTCAAACAAAGTCCTGGCTATCCTGCCCGACTTTTCCAGTGGCATGCTGAGGTCCAAGCTGAGAGGAAGCTTCAGTGTTGGGCGGATGCTGAACAGACATTATCAGCCCCTCTACAGTTCATCTGCCCATGATGTTGTTCTGGTTCTGGATCCATCACCAGGGGAGAACTTTGGACACCCTGTGGTCCTCTTTTATGTGGACATGAATGTAACAAAGAAAAAATGTTCCCACCTGGATGGAATTTATTTGGGTGAGTGTTGAATATCCTGGTCTTCTTCTCTGACAATAAAATATTTTTGGTTTCTGTTTGTAGCATATTTTGGTGTATGTGAACACAGTACCTCCTGTATTGTTAATTCCTGTGGTGAAACGTGTTTTAGCACAACTTTAGTTGAACAGAATTTAACTTGTGGTTCAGTGCAATGTCCTGCAAAAAGTTTTATTTATTTATAGTTTTTTTCCACAACTGGTCAAAGTTGATTGTGTTTTATTGTTGATTGTGTTTTATTGTTCTGTTGTGTGCTGGAGCGACACAAAGTTATACATAATTTCAAAGTGGAAGAAAACTATAAAAGGTTTTCAATTATTTTTTCATATCAAAATCCTAAAAACATGCACTTGTGTTCAGTCACTCACTGGTGGCAGGAGTTTGTCTTGCATTCGGTGGGTTGCCGGTTTGAGCTCCTGCTCTGTCCATTTCTATGCTTATGTAAAGACACGTCACACACTTTGCCTGCTGATGGAGGTAGAAAGGGCAGACGGTTCTGTAGCTTGACACTGTGTGAACGTGAATGGGAATGGCTGATTCCACTGTTATGTCATTTATAATGTTTTTCTTGAGTGTCCAGAAAAAACATTATAAATGAAGTCTGATTTCAGCACTGGAGCAACAAACTACATGGTGACTTGCTAATACAGTAATTTAATTTAGGTGGGTTATCTGTCCTAAAACACAATGACTTCCAGTTTAGACCCAAAAACCCGAAACCAGAAAGTTCTATGCAGATGCCTTCTAGAATTACACTTATACAAATATTAGTCATTCAGATGATATTTGAATGAATTTCTTGATATTTCTAGGCTCAGATTTTTATCCATAGAAACCGGCTGATCTATAAAGAAAACTTGAGAGTTAACAGAAGACAAACTATGGACCCATTCCTGTAGAAGATATCTGAAGGGATACAGAAGTGTGTGAAAGTTTCTGAGCTCCTGCTGTGAGAAAAGTTAAGAGCAGATGTTAAGGTCACTTTGCCCCCATGTCACACGAACACGCTTCTGTCAATTATTCATATCTGTTCATGCTGCAAAGTACTTCCTGCTGAGCTGGCTGCAGTGAATGGGTTTGCATGGCTTTCTCAATATTTAACAGAACTCCACATAAATTTACTGAAAAAGATAGAACTATGAACAAGAAAAACAATTTTATGCTGATGAAATTCACATTCAAATCTTTCCAATTTTTTTGTAAATTACAACCACAAATTCCTGCAATTTATATGTTTTAAAAGCAAAAATCTGAAAACTGTGCCATACATGCTATAGTTGGCCAAAATGTTCCAGTTTCATCAGGTTGAAGATGCCAAAGATACGGCATACTGGATGGATTTCTTAAAACAGTTCAACACTCTTGTAACCCTACCATCAAGGATTGATTCCTGTTACTTGAATCTTTGGAAGCTTCAAATCACATTTTTTACTGCAGGAAACAATGAGAAACTATTCAGTCTGGAAGATGTTTCCTCACCTGTAGGAGATGAGTGTTTGACTCTGGCTTTGAAGGGTCGCTGCCAGAACCAGCTGAAGCGCCACCAGACTGGTCCACAGAGGCTGTTTGGCAGCAGACGGGTGGCAGGTGGGACGCTGAGTGGAGGCATCGCTGGCAGCCGCCTGCTGGAACGAGCCATCGGAGGTTTCTGTGAAGTTCACTTTCTGCCACTGGTGGTTGCCGTCGGAGACAGCAGTTGGACGCAGAGACTCAGATGTGTTGGTAGGTCTGCACTCTGTCATATAGCCAACACAAGTGAAGTACCAGTGAGACCATGCGCTCAGTTTCAATATGTATGCCTGTAATCAGCATGCTATCACTTTGCTTCATTTTGTCCCAATATTATAAAAAGGCTAAGACTCAGTTTTAATGACAACCCTGTCAGATGTAACACAGACTTGTTAGTGTTTGTCAAACTTTATTAAGAAGATACATATGCAGAAAAATACAGTGTGCATCTAATAAAATGGTCATCAAGTTGTAAATGTTATAAATGAACCCTAAGTGTATAGAAACAGCCAACAGATTCCACTGTGTCTGACTTTCACATAATGTATAAAAACAGAGCCTTTCGGTTCCAGACTTGCTGCAGTTTTTGGGATCATGGTCCTGTTGATGACAGTTAAAAATCAAGCTTCAACCCTTGGACAAATGGGTTTGTCCAAGGGTGAAAGCTCAAGAATAATTTTTAGATACTCAGGAATTTATGTAATTTATTTGAATTTTATTGCCATGAATGTTAACATTTCCTCTGCTAATCTAGTCCATCAGAGGCTAAGATGGAGCTCATTAATTTTTTGCAGTTTCTCTGAGCCTTACACAATCTGTCATCAGGGAGATTTTCCTCTGATATATTTACCCATTCAGTTTGACCTCTGTTTCATTATTTTCAACCCTTTTCAACTGACGAGAAGCAACAGCTGGTTTCATTACTGATGCCTTTCTTCCAAAGTATTAACAGGAATTAACACAGAACTGACAAAACTTTGGCTTTCATAGGAAAGGTTTTGACCTTTCCTATGAAAGCCAAAGTTTCACTGGTAATCAAGTGCATTTAATTAATGCATGTGGGTTGAGCTGAGATTTTACACATGTTGTCCACATAGCTTCATTTTGGATAGATATATAGTTTATTTTATTGGCTTTTTTTTGATAGTTAATTGACAGATAGTTAATGAGAGAAGGGGAAGACATGCGGCGAAGGTCGCCAGGCCATTAATGGAACCTGCGATAGCTATTCCAAGGACTATGGCCTCCATATGTGGGTTGTGCTTATCTCCTGCGCCTCCACAGCACATCCCAGCATTAATATATGATTTCTGTGTGGAATAGGCGCTGATTGTACACTTGAGGTTAGATTTTATAGCTAAGCTATGGCTTTAAAGCAAAGAGAATAAAAACTAACATTTGATTTCGATATGATTTCTATATTATCCATAGCAGTGTATTATTAATACGTCTTAAGATATTACAATGACCAAATCCACGTGGTGTAGGAACATTTAAGTAACCAGCAACCAATTTATCAAACTGTCTTTATGTTTTGTTTTATTTTGTTTTTCACTTTTTAGCTTAAACTCATCCGAGTTACTGTAGCTTTTCAAAGATGTCTTTTTCTTTTTTTTGTAGTCACTTACTGTGCTCTTAAAGTTTTGCATATTTGTTTATTTTTTGTAATTTTGTTTTCCTGTATTTTTTCAGTCTCAAACATATTATATATTATTATAAAAGTATTACTGATTAAACTTTAGCTTTAATAACATAAAGCTATATCATTTTTAAAGTTTAATCAGCAATACTTTTATAAAAAATTTATATCAGATCATGATTTCTTGGTTAATGTTAAGTTGTCACAACAAAGACATTTTGAATAATGTCATCTTTGTATTAAAAGTCTCATGATTTACTGAGTGACACTTAATGAATATTTAGGACTGTTGTCATAAAGACTTACTCATGTTCATGACAGGTGTTATGTCATGTTTATGACAGTGTCATGACAGTCTTTTTCACAGCCCATCAAATGAAATGTTACCAAAAAAAGAGTAAAATCATTGCCCAATACTAAAAAAAAATTGAACAACTAAGTTTAAGCAAAAACGTCGATATATTGATATTCTCACTTGGCTTAGTATACTGTAATTGGCTCCATCACCATTACAGCAGCGGACATGGGCAGGCTGCAGGGGGCTGTTCAAGTCCAGAAAGGAAAACTGCTTTGGCTCAAACTACGTTTTCCTATCATGCTCCTCACACTTGGAATGCAATTCCAAGTAACATAAAAGACCCTTCCCTTGTGCTTTGACATCAACGTGCCACTGGTGGAAATTAGCCAGCTGGCTCCAATCTCATGTATTTATATGTAAATAATCATGAATACATATGACCCCAGTTGTAAAAAGAAAGTCAAAGTTTAACCAGTTGATCTGCTCGCTGTTCATCAGTAACTGCCAGCTTCAGAACAGCTTCAAGTGTAACTCAGTCCAATCATACCAACTTCCAGGAAATGAAGTCTTTTGAGAACAACTTCTGGGTACTGAGAACCCCAGAATACAACCAAACAAACAAAAAACACACAGCTAGTATGTTGCAAATATCAGGGCGATAAAGATTCAAATAAATAAAAGTTTGTAGCTGGGCACACTAAGCCTGATCTGACCTCATGGGGAGCCCTGTTGTTTTGGAGCTTGACAACCTTTCCCTCTGATGATTTTCCTGTTCTGAGCTTTTTCTCTTTCTCCTACGACAGACAACGCAGAGTTTGCCAGGTGTCCCCAGCAGCTTCCCATGAGCTCTCCCAGTCTGCCTGTATCAAGCTGTGAGCTCAATAAAAACACCAGGCGCTGCCACCAGCAGCCACTGGCCACACACCTGTCCTGCCGCCTCTACCAGACCTGTGACCATGCCGTTCTCATCTCAGGTCGGACCATTGACACGTTTCTTCTGTCCCGGTGATCAATATGTTAGATGATTAAAACATCTTTCGACACAATCAGAAATAACTTCAACAACTTCTGGGAACTGAAGTTGTTCGTGTTTTGATAAAGTTTTAACTTATTTCAGCATTTTGGGCACAAGCACAGATTGGAGTCAAAGTCAAGATGCAAAGACAACTTTTACTGAGAGGCATATTAAAAAGTAGCCATGCAATTCCACTCAAAAAAACATCTGGCATCCAACACAGTCTGGGGTTTCTCCACCTTTGCTTGGATTCTGTCTGGTAAACATCCAACTGGGCCAATCATGGACAGAAGGAGAAATTTGTAACGATGATGTTGCTTTTCTGCACTGTTTTAGAATAGTAGCCGACCTGTTTTAGCAGTGACAGCACAGGAAGCTGTTCAGTACCTTTAAGGGCTTCACTATCATAGACTTACACCATGTCAATAACGGTTTGGTTCATAATCAGACAATATAAAAATAGTTCTAACATTGAAGCAAGCTGCACTAAATGGTAGATCCTGAAGCTTCCCTCTTTCCCTTTGAGTCTTGGTCCGCTTTCCACATGTCGTAAACCTAATTCAACATTTCAAGTTTGTCTTTGTTTTTTATGATGTTTTGTACATCGTGAACAAAACTTCATAAGCTCTAAAGAATCAAAAAAATCACAAAAAAGTATCGACATGCATTACATAAAGACCTCAATGGACTGTTTCACATAAAACAAAACCTGAAATGGACACCAAAGGCAAATTGGATTATGCACATTTTTCTCAATGTCATAAATGTGTTATTTACTGGAGAAGTGTAACTCTAATCATCTACCTGTATATTTATCTACTGATATGTGTGCGCGCGTGTGTGTGTGTCCAGGTGGTTGGCAGCCTCAGATGACATTTCAGCATCATGCTCAGAATCTTCAGAAATTCTACAAAATGCTCAGAAACAATGGTTTTCATAAAAATCACATCAACACTTTCTTTGCCAGCAGTGGACAGCTTCTAGGTAGGAAATGAACAAGCTCTATGATATAAGAAGCTATGTCAAAGTATATGCAGAGACTTTAATTAAATCCTTTAATTAAAAGTTCAATGGTTGTAGTACCAGTCAGGAATTACAATATGAGTTATGCAGCACAAAACAGGAACAAAGAATACGTTATTACAAAATAGCAATAATAGAAATAAGTAAAATGACAATCTGATTAAGTAGGCTTTTGCCTTTTCTCAGAAGCATCTGTGAACAATTATAATTTCAATCCTGATTTAAGTGACAGGATTTAAGTTCAGTCTCTTAAATCTTATGTTTTCAGGAAGCTCTTCCAGAACCTGGAAACAGAGAATCTAAATGTTTAGTGCTGATCCTGCAGCACTAAACAAGACAACATTTTTTGGATCTGCAAGGACTTTTGACTTGACAATTTTGGCCCACATGAGAAACGTTTGGACATCACTGGTCTACTGTTGATAGCTGAAAGAAATTCTGGGATGGATTTAAGCTCAAGAGCATTCAACCCTACATATATTAAAAAGTATAAATTACTTTTATTTTCAAAGTAATTCTATTCAAAAATAGTTTATTTACCTAAAATGGCTCATGCCTGAGTATCTTCAAAGAGTTGGTGTTGCTGTGTCCATGAGAAAAGTCTACAAAATAATATATCAGAAATAGAGTAACAGAGCTGCAGCCATGAGCGGTATAATTCTAGAAAAATATTCTAAAAAATAATTCTAGAATCATACTTTAAAATACTAGAACTCATAGAAATCAAGTTTATTTGCATAGGACATTTCAGGAACAAAGCAGTTCAGAAATACAAGATGTATTTTCTTTTCACCTTGTGTGGATGGCAACAGGAAAAATATCTGATAAAAATTCTACTTAATGCAATAAATTGCACAATACACAGCAAAACCTCATAAATCTGTATTAGAGCTGAACCTCTTCTTTCTTTTCTATGTGCACCGAAGATGTAGAGGGCGTCTACTCAGCAACAGAGAAGGCAGTAATCCGTAACCATGTGTCATACATTTGCCGGAAGCAGCATTGTGCCGACACTCTGGTTCTGTACCTGAACTCACCAACACGCACTGATGGAACCATGCTGCTGTGGGACGCCAACCTGAATGGCATTGTAAGAGAAACACTGAAACTAAACACACTCTTTGCTATCTAATAGTGAGAGAGGATTGTGAGCAGCCAATGGTTGCTGAGAATAACAAGAAAAAAACATCATTAGAGGGAGACTCATAAATATTAAGGTAAATGTTACTATGGTGAGAGCTACTTTCACATTGAATGATTTGGCTGCTTCAGATACCAAACAAACCAGTCTGCTATGGGATACTGTGCACTGTCCAAGTTTTAATCTGCTTTGACGTCCCAGGATTTACTGACAGATGAATGCAAGGACATGAGCTTATTACTGCAACATATAACATTTCTTAGTACCTGAGTGCTGCTCTCGCCTATTACTTTGCTGAGGATTTTTGTGCTCTTGCACAATAATTAGTGTTCTGTTATCAAATAAGCATTTCTGCTCCTAAATCAAAATGGAAGCACCCCCAGCCTTTTAAGAATGTTCAGCCTGGACAAGTGATTGTAAAGTTCTTTGTTACAGCAGCTTCAATCAGATCCAATACATCTTCTGGATCACTGTGAAAACTTTGACTTTAGTCAACTGATTGAGTTGATTTCCACAACTGGAAATCAAGACAAGTATTGTAAATACAATGACAATAAGTGTAAAAACCTACACTTAAAGCCGACTTAAAAGCCAGTGAGAAAAATACAAAAATTAAGAGAAGACTTAAAAACATAAGTCTTCTTATGGAGTTTGTCTGATATGTGATGTTCACCCGTTCCACAGTTCTTTGGCAGTAACACAGTAACAGAACCTGTCACCTCTCAACTTTCAGGACGACTAACATCAACTGATATGACCTGCGACAGTGAGGGAACATACAGCTGCAGCACATCAGACAGATACAGGCAGAGACCTAAAAGATTAAAATCAACCCTAAAATGTCCTGGAAGTCAGAGAGGAGATGCTAAAAGAGAAGGAATGTGCTCTGGATTCCCAGTACTGGTTAAAAGCCGAGCAGCAGCATTTAAAACCAACTGGAATCTAGAAGGTCACTTGTGACTGAGGCCAACATAAAGCTCAGTTTAGCATGATCTAAACAAATTCAGCTAAAAGCATGAATAATGATGCAGAGAAAGAAAAGGTTTTACTTTGGTTAGTTGTCTTAGAAAAAAAAAAGCTGGATTTGACAACTGAGCTAACCTGTGCATCAATCTAAGACTGCAATCCAGCCTTACACTGAGGTTTATTGCGACAGTTTTCTTATAATTTAAAAGAGTTTACAGTCTGTTGCAGACAGGAAATTTACCTTTACATCTAAGGTGATTAATTTTATGCTGGACCTGATCAGGAAAATTGTGTTTTCAGCCAAATAAGAGTTCTAGTCAAATTTTCCCTCTGTTTTTGGACTCTGACACATCAAACCCACATTTACTTTTGTACTTGTTTTTGTCATTAATTTGAAATTACAACCTAATGCTAATCACAGAATATACCACAGTGCAGAAGTTTCAATTTTGTTGCTTTGATGTCCTCTTCCTGAGCAGGCTGACCTGAAGGAGCGCTACTCAGTGAGCGAACTGCTGGCTGACCTGGCCGGCTGCAGGGCCACCCGGGTTCTCCTGTTTGTAGATCAGAGCTACAGTGGGGTCTTGTCCAAAAGGCTAAGAAGTTCCCAGAAACACCATAATGTGGTGTTGATCCAGCATCAGTCCCACCAGACCCACAGGTTGTTCCCGGGCTGGGATGATAACAGCTGGTCTTCTATCACTGCTGCCACTTGCCTGTTAGACCACCTGGAGAAGGCAAGTTTCCATGCATTTGCTTTAGTTTTTAGTTTTCTGTGGTATTCCGCTGATCTGATCTTAAGCTGGTCTTGTTATTTTCAGGTTGATGGGACGTCCAGGCACTTGGAGCCATGGGCCGGCCTGTTAAATGTGACGTTGGCAGGAGCTCCGTGTAACGTGACCCCCCCTCTTACAGACAGTGAGATGCAGCGAGAATATCAGGGCTGCCAGAACCTGCCGACTGCTCTGTGGTATCAGAAGCATGGGAGGACCAACTGAGAGACACCAACAGACTTATCCAAACAGGACAGGCATGGATTTTTTTAAATCTCCAAAGTATGTTTGCCACTGTGTGTGTCTGTGTGTGGAGGCTAATGCTTGTTAAAACTTCAGTTTAACTGTGTTACACACTACTGTGTGTTTATTTTATGACATAAGTTTACTCATCTCAGTGGGATGCTCTGAACACCATGTGATCTGTGTGTGTGCGTGTTGGCGCGTGTGTGTGTGAGTGTGTGTTCACGGGTTCAGCAAAAGGACAGCCTATCTCAAGGGCCAGCACCAGCTTACATTATGGTCAGAGTGTGTTTGTGTACAACACGTCTTGTGAGCACTTTAACATTTTAGATCCAAACATCGGCCTATTTTTATCCTAACACCGGTGTCCTTTCATGATTTTATTTTAATCTGCCCTGAATTCAACAGTTTTTATCTTCTCCTCTGAATCCTGTTCACATCGTTTTAAATCTAACTTTGAAGTTGTTGTGTCAGCTGACCACCAAGACTTTCTTCTGATTGCTCAAAATTTCTTCTCTTAAAAAGACAGACCCAGTAAAAACACCAAAATATATCTATTAAAATAGTGACTGTGGAAAATTAATATAACAAAAACCATTATTAATTTTGTTCTTTACAAAGGTTTTAAAGTAATTTCAGTTCCCTATATACAGCACTGGAAAAAAATGAAGAGACCACTGCACTGTCTAGAATAAAAGAACAATGTTCATTTTGCTCAAACATAAAAACAAAATCCGAAAAACTGATCATTTTAAGTGCTGTCTTAATTTTTTCCCAGAGCTTTTTTTTTTACACCAAAAAAACAAAACAAAACAACTTTCACACAATAATATGAACATTTTGAATTAAATATTTGTCTGAGTAATGCGAGCTCAGTGAAATGAGTATCTAGAAGTCAAAGGTATTTATTGGTTCTGACACAATTAATAATATTATACAGTCAAATTTCAGTAACGTGATCTGGGCTATAGACTGAACACTAAGGCCATGTCTACACAGCATGCTTTGATGCTCAGTAATTTTTTTTTCTGAAATCTAATTTTATTTGCATGGTCGTTCCTGCTACTGCATGATGTGACCCTATCAGACTTAGAACCCCAAATGCACAGATGAAGAACAATGACCTTCAAACAGCAGCAGAAGTTCTAATGGATGGAACCATTTGTGGATCAGTTTGGGTTGGTGTTACATATTTTTGCTTTTCTGCTATAGTTGACGACTGTTCTTACCTTGATTAAAATTTTAAAGAAATCTACTACAACCTAAGCAGTTAGTATATTTGTCGTGTGTGTGTTTTCAGTGTCATGGGTGATGTAAGCAGACTGATCTTTTCCCTGTCACAGTTGTGCACCAATAACCATTCCTCACGTTAGTTCAAAACAAAGAGGCTGAATTCTTCAGACTTTACTAGATGATATCATGTCCTGGCTGTAATTTTAGTGATTATATATTTGATCTTTTGCTCTTGGCAGCCCTGTACACCTGCTGGCTCTATTCTACTATGATAATTGGTCTCAAATACTACAGTTAGGGCCAGAAATATTTGGACAGTAACACAATTTTCGTGAGTTGGGCTCTGCATGCCACCGCATTGGATTTGAAATGAAACCTCTACAACAGAATTCAAGTGCAGATTGTAACGTTTAATTTAAAGGGTTGAACAAAAATATCTGATAGAAAATGTAGGAATTGTACACATTTGTTTACAAACACTGCACATTTTAGGAGCTCAAAAGTAATTGGACATAAACATAACCCAAACAAAAAAGTTTTTTCTCAATATTTTGTTGCGAATCCTTTGGAGGCAATCACTGCCTTAAGTCTGGAACCCATGGACATCACCAAACGCTGGGTTTCCTCCTTCTTAATGCTTTGCCAGGCCTTTACAGCCGCAGCCTTCAGGTCTTGCTTGTTAGTGGGTCTTTCCGTCTGAAGTCTGGATTTGAGCAAGTGAAATGCATGCTCAATTGGGTTAAGATCTGGTGATTGACTTGGCCATTGCAGAATTTCCACCTTTTTGCTCTCATGAACTCCTGGGTAGCTTTGGCTGTATGCTTTGGGGTCATTATCCATCTGTACTGTGAAGCGCCGTCTGATCAACTTTGCAGCATTTGGCTGAATCTGGGCTGACAGTATATCCCGGTACACTTCAGAATTCATCCGGCTACTCTTGTCTGCTGTTATGTCATCAATAAACACAAGTGACCCAGTGCCATTGAAAGCCATGCATGACCATGCCATCACGTTGCCTCCACCATGTTTTACAGAGGATGTGGTGTGCCTTGGATCATGTGCCGTTCTCTTTCTTCTCCAAACTTTTTTCTTCCCATCATTCTGGTACAGGTTGATCTTTGTCTCATCTGTCCATAGAATACTTTTCCAGAACTGGCTGGCTTCTTGAGGTGTTTTTGGCAAATTTAACTCTGGCCTGTCTATTTTGGAATTGATGAATGGTTTGCATCTACATGAACCCTTTGTATTTGCTTTCATGGAGTCTTCTCTTTACTGTTGACTTAGAGACAGATACACCTACTTCTCTGAGAGTGTTCTGGACCTCAGTTGATGTTGTGAACGGGTTCTTCTTCACCAAAGAAAGTATGCGGCGATCATCCACCACCGTTGTCTTCCGTGGACGCCCAGGCCTTTTTGAGTTCCCAAGCACCAGTCAATTCCTTTTTCCTCAGAATGTACCAGACTGTTGATTTTGCTACTTCAAGCATGTCTGCTATCTCTCTGATGGATTTTTTCCTTTTTTTCAGCCTCAGGATGTTCTGCTTCACGTCAATTGAGCTCCTTTGACCGCATGTTGTCTGGTCACAGCAACAGCTTCCAAATGCAAAACCACACACCTGGAAACAACCCCAGACCTTTTAACTACTTACTTGATTACAGGTTAACGAGGGAAAGGCCTTTTGAGTTACTTGCAGCCTTTGGAGTCCATTGTCCAATACTTTTGGTCCCTTGAAAAAGAGGAGGCTCTGCATTACAGAGCTATGATTCCTAAATCCTTTCTCCGATTTGGATGTGGAAACTCTCATATTGCAGCTGGGAGTGTGCACTTTCAGCCCATATTATATATAAATTGTATTTCTGAACATATTTTTGTCAACAGCTAAAATAACAAAACCTGTGTCACTGTCCAAATATTTCTGGCCCTAACTGTATGTAAGGCTCTCACAGTTGAAACTAGAAGTATACATACACCAAAATAAAAAGACCTTTTTTTTCTGAAGTTAAATCAATCAAAACTTCCCCTTATTTGAACAAGTAAAATGTCAGAAATGAAAATAATTAAGGAGAAAACATAAAATGTTTTTAAAAATGTCAGTATTTGGTAGCATTGCCTATGGAAATGTTTTTTTAGACCACTTCTGGATGTCTCCTCATTGCTCAGAGAGAAAGTAATGATTCTGTAGGTAAACTTCTTATTCTATCTCTCATTTTTGTGGCATTTAGCAAATCCAAATAATTTTGATAATTCTAACTGACCTAAAACTAGAGAAGCTTGGTCTGATTTAATTTCAGAGAGAAAAAGTAGTATGTGTCTTTCTATGTGGTTTATGTCAGGTTTTAACTGTACAAGTTTCTTTCATCACATGGAAAAAATACTAAAAAAGTGTAAAAGAGAGCAGGTCACTTTAACGAATCAAATCAGCCTGAATCCATTGTGTTTGTTTTCTCTGGATGGGCTGGGTTGAAACAAGTCTTATCATGTCTGATGACAGTAATGGCTGGTTCTGATTCTGCCAGTACATTTACCAGATCAGGAATTGTTGAACAACCAACTTGTGGTTTCGTTTTAAAAATAGTGTTTAAGAATGATGGAAATGGGATTTAATGTCACTGAGCAACATAACTGTGATCATAAACTACAAACTATATAAACTACATAAACAGTTAGTCTGACTTTCGGAGAAGTGTTTGAAATTCAAAACAATTTTAAGAATGGGCAAAAGTTTCAAACCACAGATTTCATGGACTCAGCAGGTCAAGTCTGAAGAGACAGAGAATCTAGAAAACAACTAACTAGTTGGCTGCCTTTAAAATGAAGAGTGACAGCAGTCCCTCCTGCAAAACACAGTAACTACCATATTTAATCAAATCATAAGAATATGCTTGCTAAACTCCAATAATCTGATCACCTTGAACCTGTTCTTTACCCTAATAGGATGTACAATGTTCTGTCCAGTGATACTTGTCTAAATGTTAACAGTGATCCCATAAAGCACATCCTCTTGTACCGTCTTTTCTTCTCGCTGTTACACAGAGCTGTTGTAAAAATGTAACAATTTGATGTAAATTCAGAAGATAGGAGTTGATGAAAGTAACAACTTCTGAAAGCAGAAGCAAGAAACTGAATTCCAGACTTTTGTTGTTTGTGTGATGAGCAGTACAGTGTGTGACGTGTAATTTAGCTGAAATGTTTCCAGTTGCATGCATTGAATCACAAAGTAAAATTAATAAAGTACTTAAACATGAGGACTCTTGTTTACTTTGCATTCTTGAACAAATAACCTCTTGAACACATCAACCACATTCAGAGGATATGACCATTCTGTGCATGGCTAACACATGACAGTGACCACATACTATTACTAAGTGTGCTGCTTTAAGAGAAGCTGTTGACCACAAAATGTAACTGCTGTAATAAAGACTGTATCATCCCTTTGAATCGTTGAAGTCAGGGATTCCACAGTCAGGTGGATCAGATCCAACATCTATACATTGTGGACAGTCAATTACTTGTGGTAATTTTGCATGTAGAACTATAACCTTAACCCATTAGGAACAGAAGTAACTCAGGAATAAAGAGGCAAGTATCGACTCCCTCACCTGCCCTTGTTTTAATACTCTTTAAGTAAGGTGTCAGAAATTAAACTTAGTCATTTTGTTAATATGGAGAATTTTGAGTGAAATGGTTGGTCACATAATTAATTAGAAATAATTATTCAATGTGCTGTTTGGATTTCTTATTTCAGAAATCTTATTTCAGGGTTCTCTGCAGCTATGTAGTGGAAACAGCAGAAAAGTCTCGACCTGCAATCAGAGACACGAACCAACATCTGTTAGAATGACACCAGATGCGCATCATCTCATGTGAAGCCTTCAGTCCTGTCAGGATCAGCCTGCAGTAGTTGTGTTAAAAGTAGTTTTGGCTTCAAAACACTGTCCTCCATTAAAAGCTCTTATCTCAGCATTATGCACCTCTTTCAACATTTTGTGTATTTTGGACACTTTTTCAGTTGAGTTTATTTATATAAAGCCAAGTCTTTATATAAATAAACAATTGGTTATCTTAATATTAAATAACACAGTCAACTTCAGTTTATTATTCAAATTGGTTTTAAATGTTTTTTTTTTTTTTTTTACCAAGATTGCATCAGGTCACTAACCTGCAACATTCACTCCTCCTGGATGAACATGTAGTGACAATGGATGGTTGTTTGCATTGTGTTGTTGACTTTGCATCAATCCATCTTAGTAAGCAAGCACAAGATGACAGTGGACAGGAAATCTCCACTATAATGGGAAGAGACCTCCCCCAGAACCAGAACCTGAGTGGATATCTGCCAGGACTGACTGGGGACT